ATGGAAATATTGTAATAGAACAGAAGGCAGCAGAAAGGGGTAATGGTGTTGGGGCATTTCATTCATAAAAGTACAGACTGGCAAGGGGTCAAGCAGTAGTGCAGGGAACATGGTATTGGGGCATTTATTCATAAAAGTAGAGACTGGCAAGGGGAACATTTATAACTAAATGGGGAAGTGGCAGGGCAGATGACGCTCCTGGGTTCTGTATACTTGTGGACAGGCGCAAAAGCCAGAGAGGAAAACCAAAAAATGGTGTACCAGATTTCTGTGTATGTTAAAGAACACCAGGTGGTCAAAATTTCCGCAGCCCTCCATCACGGCGTCTCTCATAATAGATAGATAGATAGATAGATATGTGGGGTTTAACGCCCTAAAACAACCGCATGATTATGAGAGACGTCGTAGTAGAAGGCTCCGGAAATTTCGACCACCTGGGCTTCTTTAACGTGCACCAAAATCCGAGAGACAGGCCTACAACATTTTCATCCCCATCGGAAATGCAGCCGCCGAAGCAGAGATTCGATCCCGCGACCTGTGAGTCAGCAGCCGAGTACCATAGCCACTATACCACCGCGACGGGGCATAATCATAATCATAGGGTGGTTTTGGGATGTTAGACCCCACATATTAATCAAGAAATGGTGCAGTGCATAGAAAATGACATTGATGAACTAGGAGAAGAGTGCAAGGTAATCGTATCATAAGATATGGATGGATACACTGACCCAGCAGGCAGAATGCTAATGGATATGTGTGAAATGCATGATTTAATCATTTGAAACAGTACCGAGAAGTGCGAAGGGCAGATAACTTGGGAGGTGAGAACGCTGCAGTCGACCATAGATTACACAATCATGTCACATAGGATGTATGATCGGCTAAGGGTGACGAGCATAGATGAATATTGGTAAAGAAGCTTAGGTAGTGATCACGAACGTAGCAAGGCGGAGTTCCGGAAGAGAAATGAAAACGGGAAGGAGGCATTATGAGCAACCACATGATCATTTTCATTCAGAAAGGCAAATAATAATAGCAACTAAAGATATTGAGAAAATAATCAATGAGAATACTAAACAGAGAGGACGCACACAAATCTAACCTGGTTGTTTGAGTTAGAGCTTGCTAAGGTACGATTCAAATCAACCGGAAAAAAGAGACACAAACACAAGAGCTGGTGGGATAAGGAAGTTAAGAGAGCCATAGCAAGACGTCAGGAAGCCTCCAGGGAACACAGGTATGCTAAACAGAGAGGCGAACCGGAAGATGATGTTGAAAGAAAATAGGATAAATTTTTAAGCTGCAGAACGGAAGTGTTCAATCTGATCAATGAAAATATTAGAAGAATGAGAGCGCAATGAATGGTGGAAGTAAACAAAAAGGATAGAAAGGCAGCTACAAAGTTTTGGAACCATCTCACTTCTTTGAGTAATAAGACAAGCATGGAACAGAGGTTTTCAACAACAGTTCAAGGGGTTAAGCTTGAAGGGGATGAGGCAATGGATATAAGAACCATAATGACAGAAAAATTTTAACACCAAGGATGCGCTGCATTCACTATACCAGATGAGGGTGGACCAATTAGTGCAGTGGCTCCACTGGGACAAGAGTAGGAAAGGGCAGAGAAGAGGGTTCTTAATAGCACATCGATAGACCCTGACGGCATCTCAGTTGTGCTAATAAAGAAACTAGGACCAAACTCTAAGCAAATATTAAGAGAGGCAACAAGCAAAAAAGCTCCCAATGGGTGAAAACTAAGCAGGATGAGCATTATCTATAAAGGAAAGGAGGACAAAGCTGATATAAACAGCTACCGTCCTATAACAGTGACATCAGTAGTTTACAGGCTGGTGATGCAGATAGTAAAGGAAAGACTACAGATCTGGGTGAAAATGAGGGGGTGCTGGGAGAACTACAAAATGGGTTCTGTAAACGAAAGAGGTTGGAGGACAATCTGCTTTCATTGATGCAATGTATTGAAATAGTGGAAGAAAAGAACACAGGCCTCTGTGGCTGGCATTTCTAGATAGAAAGGGAGCTTACGATAGCGTGATTCAAGAAGACTTGTGGGGAATACTGGGTACACTAGATGTGAAAGATAGAATAACTAATCTTATAAAGAATATCTATAAAAGTACCAAGGTAGTTGTAAAATGGGAAGAACAGGTATCTGAACCTATAGAGATACAACACAGGCTTCTACAGCGATGTTCCTGGTCACCTTTGTTATTTATGCTGTATCTACAGGAACTAGAAGCCAAATTAGAAGGGAGTCGACTCGGCTTCAGCCTCTATTTTGCCAAGCAAAGAAAACACGTTGAACAGTCTATAACAGCATTGATGTATGCAGATGATATAGTATTAATAGCCGACAACAAGGAAGATCTGCAAAGATTGATAGACATCTGTGGTAATGAGGGAGATAGATTAACTTTGAAGTTCAGCAGGGAAAAATCGGCAATCATGTTTTTTAAAGATAATGAAGGCAGTGTGCATAAGATACAGGAAGTCACACTAGAGAGAGTGGATAAATAGAAATATTTGTGCGTATGGATAAACAACGGGACTGAGAAACTAAGGGAGCACGAAAAATACTTAATGACTAAGGGCAACAGGAATGCAGCTACAATGAAATGTAGGGCACTGTGGAACTACAACAGGTATGACGTTGCGAGAGGGATTTAGAAAGGTGTCCTGGTCCCGAGTTTGGCAATGCTGTGTTGTGCATGATCAGAACTACAAGCAAGATTGAAAATTAAACTTAGCATAGGTAGACTTGCTTTGGGAGCACACGGGAATACCCCAAATTAGGGGATACAGGGTGACATGGGATGGACATTTTTCGAGTGCAGGGAAGCTAGCAGCAAGATAGAATTGGAGGAGCGATTCAGAAAAATGATAGGGGAGCGTTGGGCTAGGAAAGTTTTCAGCAATTTGTACACGAAAAATGTTTATACTAAATGGAGGAAGCAAACTCGAAAATTGTCAAGCAAGTATTTAGACAACAGTAGAATACCACTTCAAAAGGAAACATCGGTTAAGAAGGTGAAGGAAACAGAGAGGGACATCTGGAAGATCGGAATGCTTATGAAATCATCACTAGAGACCTACCCAACTTTCAAGCAGGGAATTGCAAAAGAGAAAAATCTACGATAATTTTCAAACCACTTCCCTGTTGTTCGAGGCAAGAACCGGAGTATTGCGGACTATGACGTGCCGAGCCAAATACGAAGGCACAGACACGGTATGTAGTGCATGTGGAGAGGAGGAGGAAATTGCTGGACATTTGATAATGTTTCGTAAAGGGCTCCGAACTATAGTCGAAGATAATGGCGTGGAATTTTTCAAAGCATTGGGGTTCAGGCACAGTGAAGGCAAAACAGACTAACTGGTAGAAATAACCAGGAGGAGGCTAACAGATTGGTGCCTACAATCAAGGTGCGAGTGAAATTCAATCCTTCAGCACATTTAAACTTGTGGCTAGGTGGCGTGAGCCATTGCCTGATCTAAAGGGTACAGCCGGATACATCCATCCATTGGTTTGATGGCCCGTGCACTCGCCTCCACGTGACCACGTCCACTTCGTTCTCTTCACCTTGTCACGGCAGCATGAGAAAAGTTCTTACGATGAGTGTTACGCACGGGTACCGACATCCTCCCAAATGCCCTCACCTGCCTACTTTGACAGCCAAGGCGTGGTAACTCACGGTCGATTGCACGCACAGAATCAAAGAGATCAGCAGGCAGCTCACACCTTTCAATGTATTGTGTTCTCATTGCAAAGTTTTCTCATTGCAAAGTGAAGCGACGATGGTCGGTTCACTTGCTGGAGTGGTCAGGTTTCCTTAAGGCCCAACCACACACATGCGTTGCAGCGTGTGGCTGGTACACTCGGCGTCACGTTTTCTCCCTTGGATGAAGAAAGAGGTTGCGCAGCTTTGTGCAGCCGCTCGCCCTCTCCCTTAAGTTTAAATTTTACTACACCTAGAGCGTATAAGCAGGCAGTGATTGATTCATTGATATGTGGGGTTTAATGTCTCAAAACCACCATATGATTACGAGATCCGCCGTTATGGAGGGCTCTGGAAATTTCGACCACCTGGAGTTTTTTTTAACATGAACCCAAATATGAGCACATGGGCCTACAGCATTTTCGCCTCCATCAAAAATGCAGCCGCCACAGCCGGGATTCGATTCCACAGTATAAGCAGGCATAATAAGCTTTTCAATTAAAAAGCAATCGATCGGAGGATATGTTCATTTGGCCTTGAAGTTGGGCTTCACAGCGGAGGGAATTTTTTTCTCTCTCTCTGTCTCTGTGTGTGTGTGTGTGTGTGTGCGTGTGTGCATGCGTGTGTGTGTGTGTGCGTTTGCAATAGAGAGTTTACGAGCGAACTAACAGTTGTTCATTCAGTTTGTATACTTCACTGCAAGTTTAAATCAAAGTGAATTTGAATATATCGATATTCGTTACTTGCACAAGCGTACCGATCACGTAATAGGGCACCAGTGCAATTATTCACAAGTATTCAGAGTACTTGCAAGAAAAAAAAACATTCCACTCCATTACAAGACTGAATAAAATCCAATTTCAGTATTTCAGTCAAATACATGCAAAATAGACTTTAATGTTACCCTTGAGAAAGGTGCAAGTTCTGTTTTAGCCAGGCTGTGCTCTGGTAAAACCTCTCGCTCTGCAGCACCCGCTGACGGGAGGTGCAGGAATACCGAATGTCATAATCTGAAGGCATTTCACCGGCATGGGGGTGGGGGGGGGGGGTTCTAGTAGCCACTACAGTAGACTGACCCCTAAAACTAGATCTCTTTTAAACCAAGAATTTCTTCAGCATAAAAAAAGCATCGCTACAAATCTGCCAGAAATATTTCAACAATCCGATTGCTATTCACCAATACGAACCAGCTCAAGCAAATTAAAGTATTAGAAATTTTAACAAATGGAATAACCTTGAGGGACAAAGAAAAACAGAAGAATGTCCAAAGTGTAGTTCCATATGCTTTATTATGATGACTCATGCGATGGTAAAAACACTGGCAAAGCAACAGAACTGGCAATGGCTGATTATGACCTCCCTTAGAAATTTTGTTTGCTTAATACAAGCTGGCTTTGGCCAAATTCTAACTCCATGCTGAATGGAAGCAGGAAAAAAAAAAATCTGAGGGCATAAGAATGCTGAGCACTCTGAAACACCATCTCGATATGGCCGTTATGCTCAATAACTGGCTAGACAGTGGAAGCATCAACGGATGCTCTGCCGGAAGATGGTTGAGGCAGTAGCATTCATGTGCAGCTTCTTCTGTTTTTTCTTTGATGGGTCGACTGAAAAAGCAGTTCCATATCCGCAGCGTTTCATCCGCACCCGCCGATGCGACCATGGTTCCATCAGGGCTGAGGCACATGCAAAGAACGCGAGCAGTGTGCCCTGAAAGAGGACAAAAGAAGAGTCACCCATGCAGATCATAAATGCCAAAATTATGCACAAAAGGGAAACGCAGGCATGCAAGCATCAGTTACCTTGACTCCTTACATCTGTCACTGCTAGACCGAAGATGCATGGCAGGACTTTGGTGAAGTACAATAAGTATTGCCAAACGTGTGCCAGGATAGGCAAAATACACTCGAATAAAGTGGCAAGCACAGTTTCCAAATAGAATTTCACAAGTCATTCCGTTCACTTTTTATGCTAATACAGCTGAATCCATTTATAAAAAACAAAGTGGAGTTCTTGCTTTATACAGTCGAAACTAGGCTAGTGCGAATATTTTAACGAATAGTTGAGTATTTGAATTTGCTTTGATTCGAATTTAAATTATCGAATATTTTTGAATTATTCGCAATGAACGAATAAATGTATATTATTCTGCATGTCCCCGCCTGTAAATGTGGTTTCACTGCAATGTAGAAATGATAAGCCGCAAAGGCACTTATCCAAAGATCTTCGCTTTGCCGCGAAGCCCCTATTCAAATTTAAAGGGGCCCTTAACACTTACTGAACATGGTCAGAAAACGCTGCCGATCGGTAGTCGAGGCTACTGAGAACACGCGAGGCAAATATTGTAGCGCAACACGAAGCCTGTAGTTCACAATAAATTTTCAAAGCTAAAAATTGCTTTCTTTTCTCGACAAATGACACTACAAGCTCAGTAATCACTTGCCACAGCCAAGAACAAATATGCGGCTCCGATCACAGCCTTTGGGTGATTTGAGCATGGCACGCTCGTCGTTACCGAGGCCGCCGCTTGTCCACGAGTACGTGTGCGATCGCACTGAAAAACCGCGTATTCAAAGGGAAAAAAAAAAAAGGGTGCTCAAGGTCACAAGGCGAGTGCGACGTATTTTCTGTCGCCGTGCCGTTCCTCCCTGCTTAACTTCCAGCTATTTCGTCAGGACGGGAAAAGTGAATGCAATTGCAGGGTGGGACCAATTTTTGGAACTACTCTCGCACTGGACTGATTCTAGGCACTTTGCGACAGTAAATTTGAGGCAACAAGCATGTTTACTGGTTCCATGGCTACTTGAAAAAGTGTTGCAGGGCCCCTTTAAGGGAACATGTTACCCTCAAATCAATTCTTAATTTTATTAGGCTTGTTATGACGGCTTATGTGCTCCAAGTATAATAAATTTTAAAACATTAACATATGCAAATCATCACTCGCATCCTACCGAAACTACTACTCAAAGTTGTTTCGACTTCCTTTGATCGGCAAAAAAAAAAAATGGCATTTTCATAGAGCCCTTATTGCAATTCAAAAGAAATATTGTGCAGGTTAGTTAGGTCATCATAAATATTTCCTTTTTTTTTATATGCCATACATACAATTCGATTCGACATTATTCGATAGAAATTACTATTTGCTTCCAATTCCTTTCGAACCTAAAATTTACTACTTCGCACGAGCCTGGTCGAAAGCCTTTATAAGAGACACTTATATAAGAGACAAATGGGTATAAAAGACACCAGTGTGTCTAAGGTAAAATACGGGTTGATAAGAAATGTGTATGAGGTACCCTGCTTATAAGAGACATCTCATATAAAAGACAAATTGCTGCCCCAGAACATGCTTCTTATAAAGGGGTTTAATTGTATTGAGTTCTCACGCCTTGTACGATGTGTCTCTTTTAAGAACAGTACTACACTCCCATTTTCTGATAAACCCTATTTCAGTGATGAGCACAGATGAGTCTTGCATCATTGTCTCTTACAAAGGCGTTCAACTGCAATACTACTTGAATGTGCTGTCATAATTGCTTGCACCAGTACAAATATGAGAATGCAGAGTAGTGCATTCTCACACTAAAGAAGCAAAACCTGCACATGTGCAGCTCGGGGAGGGAGTTGAAAGAGCTGCAAGAGTGAACGTTGCAGCTGGAATTGAAGATGGGAGGGAGCAAGCAGTTCCTACTTCTACCGAACATAATCGATTTAGGCACTGCAGTTTTGAGCGCTTGACCTTTGGTTTCCATACAGAGCTTCATTGCCAGAACTTTGAGGAGCTTTCCAAAGTCTGAGCTGGATGCTTTAACCAGCTAAAAACAAGACTATGCATGCTGCAGGAATGATGGCCAGAAAGCAAGATGAACATAATACACTGAAGCAATGTGACAATTTTTTTTATGACTAGAAAGCAATCCTTTGAATTCTTGATCACAATGTGGACCGATATTGGAATTTTTTCGGCCAATAAATTCTTTTTCTTGAGGGTGAATACTTTATGATTATATATTTATAAGACAGCACAATTAGCATCACCTGTTTTACTGTACACAGCTGTCAACATGCAATTTAAGAATTTGCAAAAATCCTGTGGACATCTTAAAGAAGGGATGTCATTAAGTATGTATTTTATTGACAGTACATTTACTCAAAAGATTTTGGAGATATTGTGGAATACTTTAGCCTTATTATCAAGAACAATATACCTTTAGCAGCAGCAATCAGTGACAAGGAGTAAATTCTCAGCTACATTTTTCTGCTGTTGCTGATATCCCCTGCACTGGAAATTAGGCAATACAAATCTCAAGGAAAAGTGAAAAAATATCCTTATGACCAAAAATCTGGTTTTGCCAAGAAACTAGAAAAATCCATTTTGAAAATATGATATGCATGAAAAAGTTTATTTCCGTAGAAATAGCCCTCGTTTGTGCGACACACACAGACTGAGCAGTAAGGGGTGGCGCAGCTGGCAACCATAAACGCACACAGCAGCGCTTCGCTTCAGGCCAACTGAAAACTGTCGAAGTCCACTTCATCACAGTCAATGCCAAAACGTTTCATGCCTTTGATCTACCACTGTAATAGGAGGATGCATTCTGAGCTGCGTAGTTGCTATCGATGAAACCATCAACAGCGATGGCGGTTCCATGGGCAGCTGTTAGGGCTAATAATAGTCCCTTTAAAATCCATGTGCACATGGAAGTGCCTTTAGAACCGAGTTATTGCTACAACTACATCTACCACTGCTTAGTCTTCGAAAAACAGCGTCGCAATTACGAACGTTGCATGCGTTTATACATTCAGTTTGCCAATGCCATAAATGACGACAGTGAATTTGTCCACAGCGTTTGTAACAAGTTATAGCTCCATTTGCAATCCGCCTGCGCTTTTTGCGAAGGTGCCTTCAGAGCAGCATCACTGCTATACTAATCAAGCCTATTGCAGTTTTGTGCACAGTAGTGGTGGCAAGCCACATCGCTTTGACTCTGCGAACATTGGCCGTGTGTATACTTCAGGATCTCGGTTGTGCCATACATGATCACTTCGTTAGAGACCGCCAGTTCTTCCACAAGAATTATGGCAAATGATAATTTTGACTGCGTGCGTGCTGGCTGTATGCATATTTTTTTAGTTTCCAGGAGACGCTGTTGTTGACCGCCGCTTGGCAGTTTCAACACCCAAGTTCGCATCACCCATCACGGCATAAAAAGAAATGTTTGGAACATCCAAATGTTGGTCCATTGCACACAAAGAAACACGGCCAAAGAATTTTACGAATTCGTATTATACTAAATTACTAGGATAGTGGGAATACTTTCTCAAATATTCAAACGAATATCACAGTATTCGAATTTGAACCATTGGAAATTTAGAAGTATTCTAAATGAACGATCAAGATGTACATTAGTCCACACGTAACCCCTGTAAAGGTTGTTTCACTGCAGTAAATGAGTGCTATGTCACGAAAGCACCTAGCCAAGAGAAATCCAGACTAATTTTTTGCGGTCCTCTACCAGGTTGAAATTAAACAAAACTAAAGTAAAATAGGTTTACCTGCTTATCTGGCGATGATGAGTAATAGAATGAGAAAACGTAGGCGTGAATCAACCGATAAACAACCTGTCGAGCAGTGCCCGACCACAAACCACGGCAATCATGTTGCATTGTCAGTAGTGGCCCAACAACGAACCACAAAGGTTTTTTTTTTTTTTTTTTAAGTTTACCATGCCAGCTTATATGCTTCAAGTATAGTATATTTTAAACCTTGACATATTTTACAGGCTATCCCTTGCATTCTTCCGCAAGTGAAGTCCTGCTACTATTCAAAGTAGTTTTCACTTCCTTTGAACCAAAGGAATAGCATTTGCACATGCCCCATTTCAATTTAAAAAGAATACATTGCACAAGTTAGTTTTATCATAATAAACACGAGCCCATTTTTCTTTTTCGTATGCTATATACACTATTCGAACTCAATTCATTAATTAAATCACTATTCACTTCAAACTTAAAATTCACTAGTTGAACAAGCCTACCGAAATTCGTATCACCAAGATTCTACAGTATACTAGGCTGATGCGAATATTTGAACGAATATAATTTAAATTCACTTCGATTTGAATTTAAGTAATTGAAAATTTCGAAGTATTCAAAGTGAACAAATAATTGCATATTAATTCACACGTAACCACCTGTAAAGAAGCTTTCACTGCATTAAACTAGAGCTAAGCCGCGAAAATGCTAACCTTGGAGAAATCCACCCTGTCACGAAGCCCCGCGACAAGGTTAAATGAACATATTAACATCAAATAGATTGAGCATTTCTTTAGGTTGAAAAGCTTGTTATACCTTGTTATACTGACTTATACATTCTAAGAATAGTAAATTTGCAAACGTAACATATTTTACAGGTAATCAGTAGTATACTCTATCAAAAGTCAAATCCTGCTATTATACAAAGTTGTTCTCACTATTTTTAATTAAAAAGGGCATTTTCTCAGGCCCTGTTTAAATTTTTTTTAATTTTAGGTCAATAGAAGCTGGGTCATGACAAATATGCCCATTTTTCTTTAGAGTGTGCAATACATGCTATTCGAATTTTATTTGAAATTATTCGACCAAAATCGATTGATTGATTGATTGATATGTGGGGTTTAACGTCCCAAAACCACTATATGATTATGAGAGACGCCGTAGTGGAGGGCTCCGGAAATTTAGACCACCTGGATTCTTTAACGTGCACCCAAATCTGATCACACGGGCCTACAACATTTCCGCCTCCATCGGAAATGCAGCCGCCGCAGCCGGGATTCGAACCCGCGCCCTGCGGGTCAGCAGCCGAGTACCTTAGCCACTAGACCACCGCGGCGGGGCGTATTCGACCAAAATCACCATTAGCTATATTCACCATACGCACAAGCCTGTTGTATACACCTGTTGGACTCTGCATCTGGCAATCTACAAAAAGGTGATACAGGTAAGCACAAAATTCCTTGCATGCACTTTTTTTGTGATGCCATCCTTGTACACCTAGAACATATTTTCAGGAACAAAATACTTTGATAAAACTTCATGCAATGTCAGCAAAATTGTACAAGGTATTCCTATGCATAGTATCTTGAAGATGTGACAGGTACGTCTAACCTCCATTTCATACTTTACACTCACCGATGAGATCCGCTACTTTCCTCATCGATGGGTATTTCCATATGCCAAGTTCGTGCTTGGAGAAGCCATGACCCGATACGATTTCTTTGTACTCGTTGGACCACAGGAGAGATGATACCTGTTAAATTAAAGAAATTTTATTGTCTGATGTGCCAAAACCATAATACAATGAGACAGCAGTCTTTTCTGCAGATCACTACACAAACTGAGTGTATACATCAGTTTGATCAAACCATTAAAGCAGAATGTCACAAGGAAGAGCTTAAGAGCGAGAGTGAGTAGACTGACTATTTTGGTGCATCATATATCAGCGAGTCATCCCTCACCCAGTCTGACAAAGATTTGACTTTTCTTTGCACGCATAACAGGTGCTTAGCGAGTGTGCGTGTACGTACACTTGTCACTCAGCAGCGACTGCAATCCTCAATGTGTAGAGGCGACACAAGCAAATGACTCACCTGTGATCCTGTGTCAATATGGTTTAGCTGGGTACCCATGCTGCAGCTCCAGAACCGAATGCAGCGATCAGCGGTACCACCTCCACTTGCTAAAACACTAGACTGCCAAGGACACCAGGCGATGGCCTGCAATAACGGGGGCAAATGCAAGTGACACGGTCTGGCAATATAAAGCAGTTCTGCATTTAGTTCTGGCTCAATCCGTCTACATGTAGGGCAAATGAGAGAGGAGTTATGAAAAGTTATCCTAAGAAGCTTGCCCAACATATAGCTAGCAGGTTGATAGTACACTACATTAGTGAGCCAGGAGAACCAAGTACAGCAGCATTCTTCGATTATATACGCAGAGCAGATGCCCAATAAACGAAATTGTCACACCGGGATTACGAAGCTGTAGGCTGATTGAAATAAGATTGCCTCATAGGCTTCCAATACTCAGTGTAGCAAAACTTCTCTGTTAATTTTAATGCTACCTACCTTCAGTCGAACGGCACACATGCCCAACACTGAGAAATGTGCTGGCATTCTTGTACGCACACATCTTGCAAGTAGAGTACTTATTCGTGTAACTCACACACTCCTGAAATATGACCCCTACATTGTAAATTAAGCAATAGTAGCATCAAGCCAATTTTCGCAAGAACTAATTTATACAAACACTCTTTTTTCCCGAAATCAATCTCCGAGTGGAATTTGTTGCCCGAAACTCTACTCTTCTTTCCTTTTCACCATGAAATGCGCCTTGCGTTTCCTGGCTTTCACAATACTTGTTTGATTTAACAATTTGTTGTGTGCCTGAGAGTGTGGTGCCTTGCTTATGGATTGTGTTGCAGTGGGTGTACTCAGCCCTCTGGAAACGAGTATAATTTGATGGTGATTGCTATGTTTTTCTTACATTTCGTGTATACCAGTATCAATTTTGTTGTAACTTTGTTGTACTTTTATTTTACCTTTGAACTTGCTGTACCTTTCCTGCTTGGACCTTAAATGGTTCGCAGTATATGATAAATCAATAAATAAATAAATAAATAAATAAATTTACTAGCATAAATCAGACTCTTCTGGGATGCAAATGAGACCATAAAAGCTCTACTACAATAAGTTTCGTTAAATTGAACCTGAAGGGACCAGGAAAATGTTCCATTTAATGAGAGTTTTGTTAACATGCACAGGGTACAGAATTCAAGAGAGAAACCAATCATTTGAAAGAGTTGTTCCATGCAATTAGCAATTCTGATTAAGATATGCTCATTTAATGGGAGTCAACTGTATTTCCCTCTCTCACACACAACTACACACGTGCGCACCCACACAAGCGCCAATACACACACAATGTTGGTGCTAGCCTTCAATGCCACTTGCGCAAGCTGACCTTGACGGCAGCCTGATGCTCTGTGAAGGAGTACAAAGGCTGGACAGCCCCGTGGCTCATGGTGTTTGGCCACACGCGCAGCAGGTTGTCGTTGCCACCGGTGGCCAGCATGCGGCCATCAGGCGCCCATCGCAGACCGCACACCTCCTGTTGGTGTGCCGACAGAGTACCCACGTGGTGCTCTGCCACACGCACATCGTGATGGTGTACAAACCCCGACCGTGCGCCGCTTGACAGCACGTGTCCGTTCCAGGACAGCGAACAGACCCGCGACGCGTGCCCCGTCAGCGTACGCAGCCGTTTGCGCTGATGAATGTCCCACAGTTGGACCTGTGCACGGTGCAGAAAGGTTTTTGAAGGGCATGCTGGAAAGCACAAAACCGCAGACACTTGTATGCAAGCTAACGGGCTGCAAATGCAATAACGCAAAAAGCGAAATTCTAGCTGGCTGGCGATTCATTTTTAAGCGTACTACTGTTTGAGAACTGTCATAAATGACTGGCCGACCACATGTTCACTCGTACATGTGCCGATTTTGCAATGGTTCTCCTCCAGATTACCTGCACTACTAATCTTTTGCTCCCTACTCTTATAGTTGGGATTAGCCACTCGACACATTCAACACTACACACAGTTTTTCACTAGGTATAGCATTCAGTCAACAACAACACGTTGCAATCTGCAAAGGGACACAGTACTCCATTTCATTATGCCACCCATAGTTCCTTCTGCGACTAACCATTGGTAAAGTCAAGTGCAAGGTTATCTCCTTCACACACACAAAGAAACCTGCTTTTTCACAAGCACCTCTTAGAGATGTCCCATAATTTTTTTATGGGGTATCAAACTTTTTGTCATTGAAAAACTACAAGGTTTCCAGGATGTAAAATCTTAGCATTTTTTTTCTTTCACCAATGTGTTGCACCAATGTGCAGGTTAAAAATTTCAGGAGAAAGGCTGTCTTCCCTTGACACTTGCACAAATGTGATGTTTCCTTATAGCTAGAGCACTTCTATACTCGAGGACAACTTTTCTTGGCAATGAAGGGAAAGCGACGTGGGCGGAGCTTCTGCATGTGCATTTCTACGTAAAGTAGTCTGGTCAGGTGCCCGTCTCGCACCACTGTGGAACGTTATGGCGGCACACTATCAGCGTTGCATACAATCGCAGACTCTGCTTGGCAGTTCAGGCACACGTAAAAGGCAGTACTTTCTCATGCACGCAAAAATGCAAAGTGCTAACATATAAAGTGACGTAAATACAATCATCTCCCGAATGAGTGTGCTGCATACCGTCTCAAAAGGCTGTATATAGAAAACTAGGTTCATCCTCATTTACATTACAAAATCAACCTCCTTGACTTGAACGTGCCTCCGTGCCTTGTCACCACCTCAATGCAGTGCATTTGAAATGCATTTGTAGCGTTTGTGCTGCCAGCATTTGTCTAGCGTTTATGTTGACAAGACGCTGACATTATGGCCGTCAGGTACAATGACAGGTGCAGTGCTTTGCCACTCTTTCTCTCGCTGTTCGCTGGCTATGAATGTGTAAATAAATGGTTACAGTAGAAATCCTCATCTCGTCATTGTATTTACACCACTGAAATTACTTTGCCCGTAATCTCGGTGCAAGAAATGCATTCGCATTTCTTCACGATTTCCTTCAGGAAGGGGGGGCAATTTTTTTATTGTGCAGAAAATATTCATGCAAACGTGGATCTACATTACCTAATTGGCAGTAGCATACTTGTGAGTTGGCTCCGGACCCTCCGATTCATTACCAAGAAAATTTGTCTAAAGTATAGACTATTGACATCATTATGTGTTGCTTTTTTTTTTTTCAGTACGTATTCATTCCATAACAGGCAGCAAATCAAATTATTTTTAATGAAAAGAACATGATGGCCCATTATAACAATTTCTGGGGTATCATTTGCCAAAAACATGACATTACAACTCAGTATGTTGATATTTTGACACATGAAACACTAACTCGAAGGGGCCAACAAACGATCCTGAGGTAGCAAATTTGCTATAAAGAAATAACTGTACTTTGTACAATGTGAACATGCTGCAAAAATTCTCCGAATAAGTGATGTATCAAAGAAGTTACGGGCGCTAGACCAATCTTTGCGCAATCCTTTGGCAGGTTTCAGTTTCTCACTCAACCTCCCCGACCATCTCTGCCGTGAAGGGTATGGACAAAGCCCATGTCCCCGCTATGCACATTTCCGCAGTGCAACAAAAAGCAAACAATTGATGCAGCCGATGCCCGAGCAAAGCTTTCGCGTAACATCGCTTGTGTCAGTTACTCTGAAGCGACACAGTAATGAAGTGCGGCAAGAGGAAGCAACGAGGTAATCGAATGTTTAGTAGGCATGGCAACTGTGCAGCCTGAACCACATCACCACGGAGCGAAAGCACAGTGCGGAGAACCGATCTCGCAGCTCGACATTACATAGTTTCCCCACAGAAAACATTACATCACTTAGTGGACAATGAAAATTGGTCAGGTATTGAACAGGTGCATGGAAATATTTTTTTTCTAAATAGAGAGCCTCCATGGCTCAGCAATATTTGAAAAATGTGATCACTGTTGCCTCCTACGCGAATGAGCGAGCTTGTTTGGGACGAAAAAAATGAGCCTGGGCCTGTTTACTTACTTTTTCAGATTCCAGTGCATGAAGCGTGTCACTGAAGGGTGGACATCACAAATTTGTTCAGGCAGTATGGCATACCCCAACGTTTACCCAAATCTGAATGTAGGGGCATTGCTACATTTTACTTCCATCAGGATGTAGCTGCTGTGGCCGGCGATTGAATCACTGTAGTTTGTACAGCACGACTATTGAACGGGGCACAAAAAAGATACACATACAACAGAGTGCTAACTTGTACCCAAAGGAAGAGGCATTCATGGTAGAAGCCCGCTTGCCTGGGGCATTGCCAGTGCAAAAGCTTGCAGATCCATATTCCTGCATGTGTATACCTTTCTTGAGTCCCATCGAGAAGTTGCGCTATACAACAGAGATGCTTTACCAACACGCTCAGTCTTCAACCTTAGCGGTGATAAAGCATAGAACCCCGTGCCAAGCAATGCAATGCTATAGCACCAGGCTGCCAAGCCATCGAAGAGACTTCCCACGTAAGAGCATGTAGGCAATGAGGACAACTGTGGAAAACAGATGATCGCACGTGCCTGGCTGTCCGAGGTACCCAGGGCAAGGTATGTCCCATCGGCACACCAAGAGGCCGAACACACATAGTCGGCTGGAGAAGGAAGCTCCACCAGTTGATCCACTTCACCAGACGAGGCATTCCAGGTATACACTTGCCCCTTCAAGCACACCACCAGAAGGTTGCTAGACGACCAGTCCATGAGGTTCAAGTCTACAGAAAGGGGAAGTTAGAAACAGCTTCGACTAGCACATTACAGTGGCCTCGCCCCTGTTAATGAAAATCTGTTAAATGGAATGGCTGCTTAAATGCAACAAGTGCCTCAAATACGGCTGGTTATGTACTCGAATAGTGCCTCCCTTATCCACCTTTCGGTAAATGGAACTCGTGACTGAACATATTTTCCTGGGTCCTTTAGGTTCCATTTGATGAGAGTCTACTGTACACTAGCACAAGGCTTAAAGAACTGTCTTTTGTCGCTGATTATGGCATGCATTCTGCATTTCAGCAAATGCAGCTGCCCTACTAGCATTAGTGAACTATTTCACTCACCTTACCCAATCCCATTCCCTGAACCACCTTTTCCAAGCGGCAAAAATGTTTTACAATGTGTACATTCCTGAAATATTTCCAAAAAGTTTTTTGTGACCTACACAAGTGGAGATAATAAGGGTGCCCTGAATTCGTTATATCAAGGTTTCGTTATATCAATATCCGTTATATCAACTCGTTATATCAATATCCTGAATTCGTTATATCAAGGTTTGAGTGTATTTCCATTAATTGAAGATGCCTGTCGGCTCTCCTCCCAATAAATCTACCAAATTACAAAACACATGTGCTATACACTTGAATAAATGTACATCCTTAATACAGGACAACTATTACATAGAATTACCCACTGCAATATAAGCGACGCGAGTGGTCAGACTGCAGAGAAAGCCACAACTCACAAAAGTCGTCTCTGATGTCAGGACAGTCCAGTATGCGCTCGGCAGACTTAGGTATGAACCGGAAGTACTTTTTTGCCGAAGGAAGTTGTTTTGAAGCACTGTAGAGAATCTTGTTGCCGTTATGCCCTGTGAAAAATTGGAAGCGAAAATGCTTTAGCACGACGGGCTAAAATTAGTTCAGCGGCATGGCATAATGACAGCAAGGTTGCTAGGGTGAGCACAAAAGAAGGATTGTCGCTAGATTGAGCACAAGCACAATACTGTGGCATTCTTCTGCAAACAGAAGAATGACACTGGATTCTTGCAAGCACACCTTCCCTCACTGCCAGAACATCCGTAAGACAATGACGGTGCTTTTTTCGATATCAAATCGCTGGTATTTAGGCAATGATAAAAAGGCAGGTGCACATAATGGAGAAAGCAATTCTTTTATACCCAACGATATTGCTTTGCATAGAAGAATTTGTTTCTTGTACGTGTACCCTCTTTCTTTTGTTATTAAAATACTGGACCCACTGTAGTTTTTACTGAACACATATACATACCCACGTAAAATGACTGGGCCCGCTTACTGGCCCTTTATTTAACTTCAAAGTGCGGCTTCCCAGCAGTCGAGATTTTCTACGAATAGGCAGTTTCATGGGGTGACAGCTGCACGCTATCGCAATACCAACATTTCAGGCAGATTACATACATGCAAGTATTACTGGTTTGTTTTGAATATTTCTACATTTATAAAATTTTGCAGCCAGGTTGAAGCAAATACGACTACTGTAATACTACGAATTTAAATATCCAAAGCTATACAATATTAGCACTGGCCTAGGATAGTCACTTCAAAAAGCAAAAAGTAATACCAAGTTTTTTATGTGAATATCTCCCCTCCACTACCATACGAGAGGAGGGACGATATTTTCACGTGGTCACGACTATGAAGAAGGCAGCAGTCGGCTGGTTCAAGAAAAAAACTTTTACATGATCAAACCTGTGCCTGGTAAACAAGTCAAGTAAACAAAAATTGTGCTATGCGGTAGGCCCAGAAATGAGTAATTGTTGCAAAACTTGGAAGTTCATTAGCACATTGATTAGGAGTGTGCAAACAGCGAATTTATGAACCGAATTAAATACATCTAACAGCAGTAATGACACCAAATCGAATACCATTCGAATAGTTTTCGAATGATAAATAGTCCCTTTCCAAAAGAGTCTTGGAACACCGTAACATTTTATTCGAAACGAATATTCAGAAACTATCACCAAAGAACATTACAGTTGGTTTTAATAGACTCAAAATACCACGATTACAAAACTGAGGTAAGCTTGTATAGGCAGGACCTAGGATCTTCGTAATATTTTACAAATGTTGGTTCAAATATAGAATTCCCTAATGCCAAGTATAATCCATATGATCCAAGTATAATAAATTTTAAAACAAAGTATCTTACAGGTTATCACTCGCATCCCACCAAAACTACTACTGAAGGTTGTTTAAACTTCCTCTGAATGAAAAAAAAAAGCATTTGCATAGAGCCCCTATTTCAATTCAAAAGAAATATTGTGCAGGTTAGGTCATGATAAATATTCCCTTTTTTTTTATATGTCACACATAGCTTTCGAATGCAATTCGAAATTCGATCAAAATCACTATTCGCTTAGAATTCGCTTCGAACCAAAAATTCACTATTCGCACAAGCCCAATATATACATATATTCTGCTCAGATCAGAGGATCTTGAAATACTCACTTTTTCATTGGGAAAAGTAGTGCACAAATAGCGCCACCTAGAGGGTATTGTAGCAGTTAGTAGCCAAGCCAGCACCAGGCTTAAGCACATGCGTGAGGCCGCCATTATAATCTTTGTGGCGAGTGTCGAGGCGAGCCATTTTCGAGTTTCGTTTTGAGTGGTCGGTGCATGGCGTAGCACAATCCCGCCAAATAGGTGGTGTCACTATAGTGCCGCTTATAAAAAGAAAGTTAGAAAGTTGTCCTAGCCAGGCGGAACATTGGAGTGGACGAAAAAAAGTGCACTGAAGGGGCTGCAGTGCGAGATGACATTCCAGGAACTTTCATTGTGGGCATTTTTAAGAAGTGCGGCATATCCAATGCCGCTTGATGGCAGTGAGGATTGCGCACTGTTTGAAGATAGCGATAAAGAAGTCAGCAATGACTACTCTGAATAAGTGCAGCATCTTTACGATGCAAATAAGCAGAAACAGAGCAAAAGAACAGGACTAGTGGCTATATGTTTCTACAGTTATTTGCATCATGAACCAACTGCTTTGTTTAATCGTCATGTTCAATAAACATTTTCTCTTTGCAAATGCTGTGTTCGCTGTTTTGCACGACCTACATTCGAGGTAAATTTTTTTTTTCCATGCTTTGAACTTTTGGGGACCGGCTTTAAAATCTGGGACAGCCTAAATTAGAGTAAATATGATTCTATATATAATAGCACAGTTTTGCTTCAATCTGGCTTTTTTTTTAAGGTACGTTTGACATTTTTTTAACATGGAGACTATCCAACTATAGCACACCATTTGTGCATGTGCATTCATTTTGTACTCACTAAACACGATTTTGGATATACTAACTATATAGCAGTTATGACGACCATACTTCGCTGCACTTACAATTTTACTATTGAAACTACATCCACATAAAACATACATTTTTTTTCAAAGCCTCCTACTTTTACAGCAAACACTTTCAACACAGTCGCTGTAAAAATATGGCACATACAAAGCCAAAGAAAAGTCAAACACGGGCTTCACTGCAGTTTACCTGCGACAAAAATATTGTACACCGCGGTGAGCCCTGCAAATGGGAAGCAGCATAAAGACTTGCGGTCAGCTTTTACACTGTAAACTATTCTGCCCCCATTAGCTGCATCTTCGACCGCAGAGGATTCAGCTAACAATGCCTTTAATAGCAAGAAGCGACAGAATTGTGTCGCATAAAAGTTCACTGCGACGCTCATTTCATCAATGCCACAACCTGCCGCAAAATGTCTTCTACCTTTCTGTTATGGTAAAGACTGGTCGATCAATGATAACGACTTGCGTGCAGCTGTGGCGGTGTCTACACAGATAAGCATCAGAAAAAAAGCAAAAGCAAGGTGGCGGAAGGCAATGAATAAGCCATTTTGACTCTCGGTCAACAACCATATCACAGATATCTGCACATATCTGCTCATGTTTAAACTGCACAGGCTTACAGTGGTACACAAGGGCATCATGCTGCTGTTGAGAAGTTTGCCGACACTGCCTTGAGGCTGCTTGGGCGTTGCTCGCGATGTCTACATCGTGTTGAATGAACATGCTACTCGCCATACCCGAGCATGATCCCGAGCGAAGCATCAACATAGAATGCACAAACCCACGCGTATATTAGACTGCAAACAGCCCGGCGTGCAATGGCGAGAGCAGAGTAAGCGACGCACTGCATGCAACTAGCCACGAATTATTCGTTCCCAGAGGCGGTACCGCGCTACAGTGCGACATCATTGCAAACCCGATTTAACTCATTCGCGAGCACACAGTGGGTGTCGCGTAACACGTGAAAAGACTTAACTTGTCATTGGAGAGTTTGCGCTCACTCTTAAATAAAAATTCGGTAAAAAACATTTGGCTGCTATGTGGATGTTTTTAAGGGATTGTCGATATGCAATGAACTACTGATGTAGTGAACACTTACGGTGGCACTTTCGAGTTTGTTATAAATGTATTTCACTCTTTTCCATATGAATACTGAATCAAATGGGACATTTGATATCAATACTACTTGAAATTTTTGAATATGTGCCCAACAATGAGTCCACTGTATTTGAACTTTTCAAATATGTGCCCAACAATGGTTTGTGCCATCAGGATAAGGGGCAGGAAAGCACCGTTAATCGTAACCTCTATTTAAAACTTAGTAATGAACCATTTAACCTGCCAATCTCATAGAACTTAGTTTATACAAGTATACAAGCAAAATAAAACACCTTCAGGTGCTGGAGGGGCTTTGTCACTGTAGGCCATGATGCGAAAGTTTGCCAGGTCCGTGCTAAGCTGCTCCTCAAGTGCTGCTCGATATTCTGCATTATCAGTGTTCTCCTGAGTGTTATCTTGATTAGTCAGCTGAAAAAAAAAAAAGGATGGAATACAGTGAAGTGACATGTTCAAATATAAGAAGAAAAATGGGAAAAGCAACCCAGAGCCTGCGACTACTACATGATCACACATCCAAATAATCGCTCCAGATAATCGATTTACAAACCAGCTACCGCAGACTCGGGCATTCCACGAGAAGCCACAGTAAATGGAACAGTTTTACCTAGCAACCAATTTATTTAGACCAGCAAATTTGCATTGCATTAGGCATTTGACAAGCCATCACAAGCTGCATCTGCACATCGGGTGTATGCGGACAGCTATAAACCAACGCGATAGCAGCCCTAAATACTAGTCTAGGGCACGCCTGGAAATTTTCATGATTTGTGGTGACAGAACGCGTGGAGGGCTGGTAAATCAAGCCCGCGAGTGTTCAAATGAGTTAAAAACAACACTAACGGCCGCCTCTGCACTACATTCGTGGCTCCTGGTGGATCAGTGACCACGTGGCACAATTTTCGTAAACGGCAGATTTCCCGCTACTCTACATTGGTTTTGTAACCAAACACGCAACAAGCGCTTTATTATAAGAGGTGACGCTTCGCGCCAATTGCGAGCTACACGAGTCTTTAGGCTTAGCTTTAAGAGCGGTTATAACAGTTGATGGCCCTTTCTTTGTGCCAAAAAGCATGGCTACTTTTTTGCTTAGCGAGAAATAAAACAGGCCTTTGTAGGTCCGGCGCCTAGTTTGTATGAGCGCATTGCTTACACTAAACGGGGCTTGAATCATGAAGTGTATGAACGGCGGGTGCTTTAAACAACTTGTGGAAGGAGTCGCTTGTCTACCCATCATCGAAGTTCTATAGCAATTGCGATGGTCTTCGATATTAAAGAAAAGAGAACACTGCCCGCCGAACTGCGGGCAGTGTACTATGGTTGCACGCATTGAGAGGCATTATAGCGCTTACCCCTTCTTTCCCCAGCTTTCGATTTAATGAAGGGTTACACAGCACTTTGGAAAAGTTGTTAATGTTCCCCAGGGCCAGAATGTTTTAGATCACATGTTCTAGATGGAAATTGTCCCTAAGCTTAGGCATGTGTAAAACAAATTTTAGATTACTCTATTGTCTAGACACCACAAGAGAGCACAGATAAAGATAAGCATCGCAAAAAGTTGACACGAAAGAGCAGGCAGATCAAAAGTTCATTGATGAGCATATGCTTTTTCAGACTGTCATGCAGTCATATGTCGGCAACAATTACAAGCTTGTATAGAAGAGGAACTAATGTCATGGAAGGTCATTCTCTTTAACGACATCCAGTTGGTCTGTCAACCGTGTATGGCACACGGGCACTGCTCGCTCTTGGGGTCTGCGAATTAAGCCACTAATCAAACTATCAGGCTACTGTTGCGCCAACATTCAATGAACACCTTTACAAGCTTAATAGTTTAGAGCCATAATACCCTATTTGCTATACCTACAGCACGAGCACACAACCCGTATTTACTTTTAATGCATACAGCCAGTACTTAATGAATACAGACCACGTAATTCGCTAGTTCGAACTGCATTTTTTGCCGGTTTGGTATGAATCGATCCCCGCCATTTCGACCAACTGGTGTCGTCTGCTTGGATGGGTTCTTGTGGTTTCGACTGTGCTTGCCTGCAAAAAAGAAGTTGCAAAAATGAGAAAGCTCGAACGCGAAAAAGCTGTACCACCAACAAAAAGCAAAAGAAATGCCTGCAACATAAAACTGAGGCAACTGCTGCACTTTTGTGAATTAACGAAAACACTGATTCAGAAAGGCACCAAAATTAAGACTGCGGCAAAATTTTTACGCCAGGAAAAAAATGCAGTGCACATGAATCACGTGTCTTGCTGCTCTGAATCACGCTTACTGCACGTGTCTGAATTTTCCCCGACATATCAGCAATACCAATGAATACAGTCGTTACTATGTAGCTTGCCAAGTAAGAGTACTTGTGCACTTCAGTTACATAATTTTCTCAGTCGATTTGCGATTGCATCGTTATACTATTTTCAGGGGGCATCATGTAAATGTGGGTTAAGTATCCGATATTGATGCTGAACAACTGGCAGCCACACTGACAATATTCACGACGAGCTGAAAGACAATGCAATGTCCGACCTTTAGACCAAGATCGGTAACTAGCTTTGACTTGGCATATGTTGGCAGCTACATTGTCAAGTTAATAACAGAGTTTGGATGCAGATCCTGTGAAATCCTAGCCACAACATGAAACAAAAATGATCCATTGTATGCACTGTTGCAAGGCCAATACAGGAGCAAGCTATGCTACTCGAGGCCAGAGTTTCTTGCTCGTTGAACAATTTAATTATTTCGTTTGAACGCGTGGCAACACATCTGCCCAGAAATCGTCGAGTATCAGTTGATACTCATCGAGTATCAGCTTGAATGCGCGCTAGCACTAAACTGCCCAGATAATGTGGACGACAGCCACACGAAGTGATTCGCAGCTTTATTTGGCGAGAAGTTCACGAGAATACGTCTCAAACCACGCAAAGAAGACCACCGACTCGCAAGGGAAGCCTGCCAATTATGCACACGAGCACTCCAGAAAGTTCATCAGACTGTGACCAAATGAACTCTTGATTCCCAACAAGAACAAAAAATGTTTCATCAAGCTGCTTCTTTTCGTATTAATTCCTATTTTGAGTTTAATTCTTTTTACCTTCGTAGAAATAAGAAAAACGCTTGCTAAGATGAATGTGAAGTGCGACAGGTATTACTCAATAAAAAGTATTCGAAACAATTCGTCCGTATACTTTTTTTCTTCAGGTGCTTCTTGTTAAAATGTCCCTCAAATGTTAGCGATTCAGCATTTCCCGAATGCAAGTTACGCTGTTCGATCTTAGGCAGGGAATTCAGAAGGGTGGAAGGAATGGCCTATTTTAAGGATTCCCATGTAAGCGAGCCTCAAGAGGTATGCATCATGTGTAGCGACGGCAAAGCTAAAGGAGAGGACAATTCACATGTGCCACACGTCTATGCCGGGCCACGCCCATGGTATAGCTCAACTGGAGAGGGCGAGCAAGGGTTGGGCTGCAGCACCATGAACTAGCAGCTGTGAAAGGTGTGAACTAGACTAACCTTCACTGTGCTCACACTTTGCTATGTTATCTTGCTTTTTTTTCTTTCCTTCCAACCTCCGATTGGCTGCATAGCGCTGCAAGAACGCGTCGCAAACTGAATAAAGTGGGATTAGTTCTCCTGGCACTGCTCGGGTCGTTTGTTTCCTAGACAAACTGTCATCCAGCCTTTGAATATGTAACAACACAAAGCACAGGCCATGAAAGAGTACATGCGAGCCACTCCTCTAGTTCGGTCGTGGTACTGTGTAGATTTTGTTGCCAGAGTCGCAGTTAAGGTTTCCAGAAGTTATGAATTGAAAATTCTGTTTTCTTTTTCATTCACGCATTAGACTATGTGGGTGCATCTTGCAAGGTACATCCACATAGCGTCTACGTGCTACATTTGAACCAAGTTATATAACAACGGACATGGGCCGGGCATGTAGCGCGTAGACAGGATAACAGCTGGTCATTAAGGGTAACTAACTGGATTCCCTGAGAAGGCAAGCGGGTTAGGGGGAGACAGAAGGTTAGGTGGGCAGATCAGATCAAGAAATTTGTGAGTATAAATTGGCAGCAGCAAGCACAGGACTGGGTTAACTGGCGGAACATGGGAGAGGACTTTGTCCTGCAGTGGACGTAGTCAGGCTGATGATGATGATATAACAATGCTCCATTAGTAATAATCTAACCACAAGAGGATGTTAGACGAGATCAAAACCTTTGTTTCATATAGTGTAAGTATAGAGGAGCCCCGTTGCAAAATTTGACCCATAAAACAAGTAGAAGCACCATGAACATATCGAACAAAAACACTTTGCAATAGCAAAACTATAAGTGCCCTTACAGTTCGTTGGTAGCAGTACATAGCAAGGGCATGACCTATAATGTGTGGCTCCTCAACATTACCCTCAAGATAAGGAAGCGTTCAATCATCTGAGGCTGCACGCCTTAACATATGTTGCAGCAACAAATAGACAAGTCATCTGTCGAGGTGCTCTTTTCAAGGCTGTTAAAAAAAACTGTACTAGTCCTTCAGCCTTGACAAGATTGCTTTGGCTGCGTATACTCCTCACCAATAGCAAATCTAGCGCAAGTAAAATTTCTAAGAAAATTTTATTTACACTAGATTTCACATTTGATGCCTCATCAAATGCAAAATTTGACTGTCCGAATACCGCATGAGTGATGTCTCCCGCCTCACAGTCTCAGAAATGAGGGATGCCAAAAATCGTTACAAGGTGAATGATTGTATGGTGCCGCAGATCACCAAAAATCTGTTTCAGATCACCAAAAATCTGTCACATGATGACATCACATAGCACTGAAGCTTGGTCATCGATTGATATGTCGGGTTTAACGTCCCAAAACTACCATACGATTACAATAGACAACGTACAGGGAGGCTCTGGAAATTTTGACCACCTGGGGTTCTTTATCGCGCACCCGAATCTGAGCACAAAGGTCTACAGCATATTCGCCTGCGTCGAAAATGCAATCACCGCAGCCAGGATTCCATCCAAGAAGCTTGGTCAAAAGTGGTCCAATCGCAAAGGCAATGCAAAAGCAGATGAGGTGCAAATCTTTGATCTTGCAGGTAGTGCAAAGCAGTGTTTAGTGCAGAAAGCTTTAATAGATTGATATGTGGGCTTAACGTCCCAAATCCACCATATGATTATGAGAGACGCCATAGTGGAGGGCTCTGGAAATTTTGACCACCTGGGGTTCTTCAACTAGTGCAGAAAGCTTCCAAAGGGTGGCGAGGCAGCATAAATCATAGGCCTACAAGTAAAAGAAGATGCCTTAAAGTAGTCTCAAAGGTGTACCAATGCAATTTTGAGACTTTGCAAAACTGACATTCTTTGTTTCCTTGGTATGCAGAGTGAAACACTCCACACACTAGATTCAGCCAACACTTACAAAAAAATTTTCTTTGATTTTAATGTTTTTGTCACAGAGCATTAGCAGGTCAGCCCCACTGCAATGAACATCATCTCGATGAGTCAACACAGTTCCACCGAGTCTGCGAACTCTACGTCCTGCATGCTGTGTAAACCATAGAAATCACTTTCAGGGTCAGTGGACACAATGCCCTCATCATTGTTTACGTGCACCACGAGCTGGTGGCATCGCGAAAGGCCATCTCCCCATGACATCACACTGACATGACAAGTCAATGAGAAGCTGCCGCCTCAATTTTGAAACCAAAAGTTTTCGTAAGGTAGCAGTATTAAAAATACATACAATGTATTCCCAGGCACCACAATACACTTTTAAGGGTTCTTGACGTCCATGTTCTTATTTAGGGCAACACAAAAATATTTATAATTAGTGTCTGTACTCTAAGCGAATGCATAAGGGGTAAAAAAAAAAACTCACCAGGGGTCTTCTTCGGAGTCTTTGTGGGCGTCTTGCTTGTGGCATTGTTACCCTGGCATGCAGAGTGGTTTGATGAAGAGTTAACTAGCGCTGAGGTGGATAAAATGGTGGTGCTGGTGGTGTTCAGGACAGAGGAGTCCATCGTCTTGCATGAACGTGCATGCCCGCAGCTGTTGTTGAGGTCTTTGCTGTCCCTTTCCGTCAGTGGCATGGTGCTGGTATCGCTGCAAGTTTTAATTTCAATATACAAATCAACAGAAGTGAATTTGTAGGCACTGTCCACTTTTGTGGAACTTTCTGGGCAAAGTCAGATATGACTAAAGTCAGAAAGCTACCAAAACAAACAGAGCCGAGGGAATTGCTTGGAATGTCAACAGTGTTTCAATATGAGGAGTTAATTTGAGGGGGGGGGGGGGGATGAGTGCGTGTTACAGCAGCTGCAACGAGAAGCAAGCCATAGCAAAGATCCAGAAGTCAAGACACTGACAACATCCACTTTTGCACACTCCCGCAGTGGTCATTAATGCTAGTATAGGAATTACTCAAACATCACGCACCCAATCTTGTTATATTCACAGATTCCACCATGCTGACTGAGATAAGGTCAATTAACTAACACACAGCTTCGGATGTGCTATTTGCACTGTAATATGGGGACTTCTGTGAACAAGACTGAATATTGATTTTTGCCCCGCCGCGGTGGTCTAGTGGCTAAGGTACTCGGCTGCTGACCCGCAGGTCGCGGGTTCAAATCCCGGCTGCGGCGGCTGCATTTCCGATGGAGGCGGAAATGTCGTAGGCCCGTGTGCTCAGATTTGGGTGCACGTTAAAGAACCCCAGGTGGTCAAAATTTTCGGAGCCCTCCACTACGGCGTCTCTCATAATCATATGGTGGTTTTGGGACGTTAAACCCCACAAATCAATCATGAATATAGATTTGATGCTGAACCAATTCCAAAAGTCAACTGTGATAAAGGCAGCATGGTAGTTTGAGGGCTCATTCACAGAACTCTCCAAGGTAATCCTATCAAAGCGGCCGAAATGAGAGTACACTGAAGTCGCAAAGAGAAGTGAATGTTAAAAAACAATTTTCACTTCTTATTTTGCAGTGACTGCACTGAAGGCCACTTTCTAAACAAAATCATCAGCCATTCAAGGCTATTTGAGACCATACTGTTTCGATTCCCCGAGTCCCACAACTTCTAGATTTGCCAAAGTTAACAAGTTGTAACACTACAGCACTCTGCAATGTTAAAGGTTATCATTTTCATTAATTCAGCATGAATAAACCTGAACATGTACACCAGTGCAATGAACCTGTGTACCTCATAAAAGCTGTTTGAGTACTATTAACAGCACGTAACCAAAGTGCTGCTGTATCAACATCTGCCGATCCTGGATGTGTATGTACAGCCCCAACACTCAATGAGTTTGTAAACGTTTACTGGCATCAGTGATGTTCCGTGCAGAAAATTTTCCATTTTTGGGGAATTTTCAGCCATCATCTTGTATGAAAGGGGAAAAGGGAATATTTGCGATATTGCAAGAAATTTCAGAAATGGTTATATTCACCAATGAAGATCAATTTATCGCGATCAAAGTGCGCCTTCGGCATCTGCAAATGATTCTGGCGCATGCAGCACAGCCCTTGGGACTACTCATTTATTTAAAGCATCTTCTAGAGTACTGCTGGTGTGGACTCTGTGAGCACTATCTGCGATGTAGTACCTACCGCATGAGAGTTGAAAAAAATGATGCTTTTGTTGTTGTGCAGGAGCACAGGCACTAGTTCCGATATCAATAGTCACAAACATGACACGCACATGCATTTGGGTATGTGTGCGTGTTTATGAGGGAAGGGGCACTCGTATAATACAAATAATGTGCAGAAAAAATATGCTGGGAATTCTGTCAGCCTATGCAGGGAAATATGCCCCAAATAGGAAATTTCGAGTAATTAAAATGGGAATTCTTCGGCATCACTGACAGGAATAAGTCATATTATTGCCAAATCGGCAAAGAATCAACGATTAATAGGGAGTTTTCGAACAGGGGCCCCAAAAGTTTGGAGCCCCAAAGAAATAGAGACAAGGCCACTGCGCATGCGCAAAACCCAAACCAGGTTTGGGACGCTATTTCTCTAATTAACAATAGCCCCAAAAGCTTTGCGTCACACAAACGTGACGAGACCCACTGAAGTGATATGACCAAGAATTCCGAGAATATCCAAAGCGCTGCCGACCCTATTCAAAAACTCTTCGCTCCTGCTTGACTCAAAGTGTGCATATGCAAAGGGCTTTGGGGGCCCTATTCAAAAATTCCCTAATATTGTGGAACTTTGAGCACCCATATGTGGCATACATAAATATTCTTGTTCAAGAGACCACATCATACAAGTTATGAATATCCATTTCATTGCAGAAGTTGTGAAACGCAGAGCACATTAAACCAATTAATTATGAATTACGCCTTCTGAACAAACCTCACCAACAAACTAGAACCCAGTGGCAAATGTCAACTTTAACGGATTTTGGTAGCACAGCTGATATTCATAGATAATGAAGAAATTCATATACAAGTCGACAACACAAAGCATAGATGGCACTAAAACACGAAGACACTAACGCTCTGCTAGAGGTAGGTAGGAAGCGCCTCGTATGAGCTTGTACAGTTGGGATCACTAGTCTAGAGCGGTCGAGCGAGTGGTTGTGGATGCTGGCACCACCCACAGCTGCTACCTCGCATTAACTGCAAGCTTTCGTTCACGCTTGCCGGAATTATAGTGCAAGGTCCTAATGCGGTACGACTATGTTTGGTATCATTACGGCACCGGCCTCAGTGGGTCTTTTTCGAAAAAAAAAAAACGCAGCTGAAGCGGCCCACTGGCCGCTCTAGGCAAGTGTTATTCTAATCAGTAACGTTGATTGAGACTGTGCGGGAACAGTACTCCCACTGCTGTGCGCAAACACGCCAAACATGCTGACTGAATGAATCACGGTGGCCCACCGGATGCTCGAAGAGCCAAATAGGCTTGGCATATCGTGCAAGCGAAACAGCGTAAAACGAAGAAATATTGTCACGGGCTAAGTACATGCCTGAGAATGACGACGAAGAAGTGCTGAACGTGAACGTGCTCGGACTGCAGCAGCGCTGTACGCATTTGCTCGCCAGTATATTCGCCAGTACCCATTTGCTCACCAGTGTATACTTTATTCCCCGTAACAATATGCGCTTTAATAGTGCGCTTGAAATACTTGATAAACCATACGGGCAGATCATCATCTCGTGTGGGCCATGGTGAACGCGGCGAGTGCCGCTGTTATCGATGGAATGGGTCCGTGTAGTTTTTTTTTTTTTTTTAATATTAAGAAACTGCCGTGTACGCGCTCATCCAGAACCGAAACATAAACAGTGACAAGAGAAGAATAATCAAGAGGGCGAAAGAAAGGGGGAAGTAACGCATGGAAAGAACTAACAGTCCGACAACTAATATCGCAACTGCGTGCGAGTGACTCAAGCTGAAATGACAACACCCAGTACCATATTCCTAATAAGCTGAATTCTGTGCGAAGCAAGCGAAACGAGGTCGCTATGAACGTTCTCCCAACCGCTTATCGGTGCACATTTCCACGTTTGTCTTCGCACTGGCCCTAACGCCCACCAGATGCAACGATTTCCGAGTGACCCAACGCCCGCATAACAAAAGCTCGTCAAACGTCAAGCGCAGCCGAATAAAGCGCCCGTAGAACCTTACCTTTGAAGCAGGGGTCGGTGATGAAAAGAGTAAAAAGAAACAAGTTTTGCGACCTCGCAGTCCCACGGAGCACCAAGCCGAGATCAACCGCATGCAAGCAGAGCGGTTGAGAGGAAGCACGCACAATTTGAACGGTGGCGCCTAGCAACCCTCACCGACGCTACCGACACCTGCATGTCGCCTGCACAAGAGAACACCTTTAGGTAACTACAGATGGCAGCACAAAACTGTTTTTAAATGTATCATCTTATTTTTGAAGTCGTGCACCCTAAAGCTTTAAACCTGAAATTTTAAATAACGCCTCAATTTATTTTGAAATGTATAAATTTTGTATGTAAAATGTAACTATTGAAAATGTTAGCCGTTGTGAGTTGCAGTCATGGGCGCAAGAACAAAAATTTTGTGCGGTGACAAAAATGCAGCATTGAGTCCAGGGCAAGAAAAAAAAAAGAAAAGGAACTATTTTTTACGCATGTGAAATCTTGTGAAAACATATGGTGCACCACAGCTACTTCCTCAGCAGTCGGCGCGGATCGGCCAGGATGGATGGGTATATTCACTTCCTCCGTGGGTATATTGATTGATTTTGATAGCTGTACTACACTTCTAGTACACTCTAGTTGTACCCTTTAGATCGGGCGGCGGTTAACGCCATCTAGCCGTAGTACTTAGTGAACAAAAACTAAATTAATCTTTTTTAATGGTGAAGTTAAGTACTGACACTATGCAGTGAAGAACTTAATTTTTCCTCGTGCCTTGATTGTAGCCACCAATTAGAAAACCTCCTTCTAGTTAATTCTACCCACTTAAAGTCTACTTTTGCCCTACCTGTCCCTAAACACCAGTGCTTTGAAAAACTGCTGCCATCAAAGCCCTTACAGAGCATTATCAAGCAAGGAGGAATTCCTTCCTCCTTGTTATCACGTGTTCGGCATTTTTTCCTCCTCTCCACACGCACTGCATACCGTGTGTACCCCTTCGTATTTGGCCCGATAAGTCTTGGTTCGCAATACTCCCGTCCTGGCTTCAACCAGTAGAGAACTACCCTGAGTATTATCATAGATCCTTTTTTTTCTTTTTTTTTTGGCAATTTCCTGCTTAAAAGTTCAATAAATCTCTAGCGCAGACTTTTTAATCATGCCAATTCTCCTCATATCAGTCCTCCGTTTCCTTCACGTACCTTCCTCTTAACCGATAGTTCTTTTTTAGACCCCCTGCTCTTGTCTAAGTATTTACTTGTCAATTCTCTGGTTCGCTTCCTCCATTTTGTATAGACATTTCTCATGTACAAGTAGCTGAAAACCTTCCTAGCCCAACGCTCCTCCCCATTTCTCTCAATCACTTCTCAAGTTTTATCTTGTTGCTAGCTTCCCTGCCCTCGAATGATGTCCATTCCATATCACCTTGTACTCTCTGATTTGGTGTATTCCTGTGAGCTCCTAAAGCAAGCCTACCTATTTCTCGTTGCTTAATTTCTAATCTTCCTTGAACTTCTGATCTCATGCACAAGACCGCATTGCCAAAAGTCAGATGAGGAACCATAACACCTTTCCAAATTCCTCTCACGCCATCGTACCTATTGTAATTCCACAGTGCCCTATTTTTCATCACAGCTGCATTCCTGTTTTCTTTAGTCATTGCGTATATTTCGTCTTCCCTTAGGTACTCGGTCCCATTGCTTATTGATACGCCCAAATATTTGTATTTATTCGTTATTTCTAGCGTGGCCTCCTGTATCATAAGCTCACCAGTCGCAACAAGTTAGGCGCCACCTGCTGGCACAAAAAAAACCAAATAGTACAAAATTAGACTCTCGATTTCTGTTGAAACCTTCGCATTGATTCATTTTCAGTGTGTTTTGTACATGTTTAAACTATAGAGCCTATAATATTCGCTATCTCCTAAGTGGAACAGGGGGTGCGACTAAGTGGGTGCGATAGAAAGCGGTAAGTGGACAAATTAGAGGGATGTAGAGAAGTAAAGATGAGTGATGGAGAGCAGTAGAAAGGAAAAGAAATGAGAAGAGGAGAGGACGAGGAGAATTAATTTTTAAAAACACAATAGAATTTCAAACCAGGATTCACAACTGAGTATCCAGAATCTGAAGGCATACACTCTGCTTTTCAGGCATGGCAGCTGAACAAGCATTTATGGGAACCATATGATGGTGTCAATCCTTATGGGCTAGAAAACAAAAAATAGAGAGAGAGAGAAAAAAGAAAGACTGGAGGAAGAGAAACAAGAAAGAAAGCAGATCATAGCCATCTAAAGTATTGTTTGGCAAAAGGGTTTGATGGCCGGGCCTGATCACAACTAATAGCCAGCTTTCAGCAAAAGCAGGGCAAAACACTGTCCCGCAAGCAGGTTAATTGGCGGGGCACGAGCCGCTAAAGCGGGACATGGGGACCTGTCTCACCTAAATCAGGACGTCCGGTCATTTCAGTTTAAATCAACAGCTGGAGACCTTCCACATATGCTGAATGAGAAACGTAGTGGAACGGCTGGCTTTTTTTCTGCATCTATAGAAAAAAAGCTCGAGCGAGTGCTATATAGCGCACAAAGCTGTTAAATGTCATTGGTGCCGTTGTTTTGTTGCTAATTGTGATACTAGAAAAACAGCAGTCACGTGTTATTCAATTCCCCATTCTTTTTCACAGTAAAAAGTTCCTGCTTTTTTTCAGCTAGTTTGTATCGTTTTTTGGTGGAACCAGAAGGTAACCTCCTGGCTTCCTGCTGGTCGTGCTGGTCCCAGGAGGGTACTTACCGGTTTTCCACTGGTTACAGTAAAACACTTATTGGTTTTCAACTGGTCTCAGCAGGCAGCCTGCTGACTGTATACTTTTTCCAGCAGGCTGTACGATATGAGACACATGCTGCCATGAACACCTACATTAAATAATCAAGCTGCATTCTTAGCTGGGTGTGTAACGTTATTATGAAAACTTTTAATAGAATAAAAGTTTTTAGTACTAGCCTGATGGTCAATAAACTGTGGCTATATTATATAACATGTACATGTGACATTCGTGTTTTATCAGCCGTGTATTACCTTGTTAATTCTTCTTCTAGGCCAACAAGTGTCACTGTTAATCAATCGTACTCCGTGAGTCATTGAAAAGCAGCATATTAAAATTTCCATATTTGATTGAATAAATTGTAGGTTTATAAGAGCACTGAAGATGCAGTTCATGATAAAAGGACCAACAACCAATTTTCAGGGTCCTTATTTTCTTCAGTACAATGCAAAGTTATTGTTCAGAGTGTCTAATTGTAGAATGGTAACGTGGAAAACACCTTGAAAAATTTGGAATCAAAATTTTTTTATCTGCACTGCATATTAAGTCGTATATACACATGTAACAATACTGCAAACAATGAGCGCGAGAGTGGTTTATGTTCAAGCATGGCGATTTACAGCGCATGTGTACACTCCTTACTCACGTGCCGCATCTCGACATTTTGCACCGGCTGCCGCAAAGGCAATGCGGCGTCTCGTCATGCAAATGATTACCTTGTAAGCAGCACAAAAAGAAGCGGGAGTAAATGATAATATATATACCACAATTTTTAGGACTAAATATAGCACGTATAGCAGCATATCAGACTATGTGACTACGTACAGCAATGTGATCCACTCCATATTCCAGGTTCAAAGCTTTCCTGCCAGGTTGTGTGGCATACTATGTTTTTGTTACTTTAAAACATGGTTTAAAAATAAATTTCTATTAAGCATTCAAGAAGGATACTGCAATCTGTCGATATAGTTCCAAGCCTTTTCACATCCACCTTGATCTAATCCCAAATTCTGGCCAGTTTAATACCTCAAGATACGACGGGAAATACGCAGATCAGATGGGGTGCTGTCTCAATGAATTAGCACATTTTTAACCATTTAGAGTCCATTGTAGGGCCGTTGTCAATAATGCATTAGAGCGACAGTGATCTGTGGTTGCACACTTTTCAACAAGCTTTTTTGTGGTTGATTACCGCATGCATTTTTTCAAGGACATTGTGCGCTATCTCTAATAGATGAAGTAAACTTCTGTTACTTAAGCTTTGACTCCTACAGTTTCGGTCCATAATGGACATAAGGTGGGTATAGGTCACGAACTGCAGTTCTATATTTCGTCACATCAGTGTTCATCTGCTATAGTAGTATTGCAGCATTCATGGATTCAAACGCGACGATTTAGGGCTAAGCAATGCACATAACTTGACCTCCGTGCACAATCTTTTCTTCATGTCACATCCGCATGATTTTAACTCGGGTGCTTACGTCAGTGCAGATGTCACCTTTAGCAGCCCAATTCGTAGTAACATGAGAAGCTTTGAGGATGCATTTAATTCATGGGCCCTGTACATAACTTCAGCTGTAAATTACTGTCCCAGGAGTGCATTTTTCAAGCAAGAGATGGAGATCTAGCTACTCATGACATTGTCATGAAAGCAGGGCAATGCAAATAAGCAACTGAAAAGCACAAAAGCTAGCAGTACACCTTACACAAAGCTTGCATTCCTGTTTAAATTATGAGGATACAATATGACCTTACATTTGCCAGTTTCTATGCTTTTTTTTTGTTTTTCTTCATGTGCAATTACCACCGATTCACTAGCTTTACCAAATAAATACCATCTGAAATACTGAATAAATAAGCAAACTTTATGCTAAGAGGGGTCTGGTATGAGAGCCTTGCTCTTTTTGAACATTGTGTTTGATTAAAGCTGTCTGATTGGTACTTTACCCGAACAAGAGGTGGGACTACTTTTGCAAAAGGTGAGCTGGCATCACACAGTGTGCAATTCAAAAACAAAGGCAAGACACCTAGTTTGGGTAACATCGATGTGCTTTTATTTTTCAAGTACAATAGCGTCAGGAGCAATCGTGCTCCAGACCATGCAACACTCACACTCATGACTCTGGCAAGCCTGAAACTAGCGCATGACACATCTTGTAACTTGCGACAGTGTCCTTTTGCTAAGTATATATATATATATATATTTATATGTATAATATAAACGCCTTGTTGTCGGCGATGTGAACTCTGCTTCTTGCAACTTTGTAGAGTTCATGGATGACTGGGCCGGGGATCACCAGAAACAACGTATGAAAAAACACAGAGAACTGCATAGCATATATCATTTGCCTGAAAAAGAAAAAATAATTAGATTAAAAAAATAGCAGACAGACCTACAATTAGTGGCATTTGATAGATATACAGTCTAATAAGGAGCACAAGTTACACAGCTGTCAAACACACTGTTAATTCAATGTCATAGTAGTGATGTCAGTCATAAAATAGCATTCTCTCACTATACTTTTTTTTTCAGTATTTTAATGCTGGCAATAGTAGAGAGACTCGAGAATGATTCCCACAGCTGTGTATGCACCCATTGAGCTGGTAGCATAAGCCCTTAGGATCCCTAAAAGACTAATTTGAGAACTTTGCAAAAGTGTAAAGTGCACAACTTATTGTAAGTCCTTAATCAAATGATGGTGCTTTCCTGGCACTGTATTTGTTTTTCAATATTGATCAGATGTGATTTTGGAGTGAGAGTTAAATGTAGTAAAACAGGGACATTTTGCAATATAATAATACAGGGACAGTTTAAAACGTGTGCATCACTAAATATCGCAGCGGTGGCCTGATACAAGTTCTCAGCCGCCTCTACTTTGGGGTGTAACATGGATAACACCACTTAGGGGGCCGATTTAATTGGCTGCCTCAGTGATGTCGTTGGTAATAGTTTGAGCTTCATATGAAAGCGGATAGGTTTGTTGAGGCACCTGGTGATGTCGAGATCAACCAAAAAGCCACAGAGTGTGGCCTTTACTGTTTTCTGTATGCCAACAGATGACCGCGAAATACATAAGTTAGTGTGAGGCACCAATTACTGGCGTGTTGCGTGTAGCGCAAATAATGCGGCTGATGAAGAGCGCGTAGCCAGCTCTTGTCCCGTCAACTAACGAAGCTGATCGGTTCCGCGAAGGCGAAGGCGGACGACCCGAGCACGGGAAAGAAGGGAGACGAGCGGAGCCGTCAAGGTCGCCCTCGTTCTGGATTAGAAGGGGAAAGCTTACTCGGAAGAGCGTCTGGCAAGAAGCAGGCCAGGCACCTGCCGTCTGAGTTTAAGCCATTGTTGGCATGCACGCGTGCCGTTGAGATTGACGCGGGGACCCGACCACTTGGCTGACCCAGACATAGTGGCGGCAGGGGAATGAGCATAACCTCCCCCGCTGTATGTCATTACCGGGTGCTGTTAGGATGTCGGGGCGCCTTGCTGTCGCATGCACACCTGTTGAGCGCACGGAGCCCAACGGTGTACTCACCGCTCTTAAGGAGGCTTCTACAAAGCAACATTCAATGAGAGAGCTGACGGCGCTCAAGCGTGAGAACGGCTGCCGATGGGAGAGAGTGTCACACGCGCAGAACCTCTCCCTTTGCGTGTTTTATTTGGTAACGTGGTTTTAATTAATGTAGTGCCTGTTATGAAGGTGCTACTGCGATTGGTTGTGATGATGCAAGTCCCAACATGTGATTGGTGTGTGTGAAGATCCTTTGTTCAACCGAGTGTTGAAAAGAGGATGTTTGAATTTGAAATAGGAGAGCGGATGTTCGGGCTTTGACTTGGGCAGTAGCCTGAGGCTGCAATAAAGCGTCTCTTCACTGGACTACGACTCTTTCTTCGCGCTGCCACAGTGCACTCGAGTCATCGAGGGGACCCATTCCGAACCTCAAACATCTTCCCTCATAGGCTAGTGTAGAAGCTAGTCGAGGAGGAGGAAATTAACTACAAAATTCAGCTGAACTTCACAGTGCGGAAATTGAGGAGGAAAAGCGTGGCTTGGGAAAACTACGACACTTAATTTACTGAAGCTACCCCAGTACAAACTGCTTCACCAAAATTATAGAGTGAGCTACTCTAGTTGTGACTGAGTGGGCAGTCAGTGCCATTCTGAGGGCTGTCAGATAAGGCAAAGATTGTGCGGAATTTTCAGATTGGCTGCATGCACATAGAGCATTTGGGTCAGTGAATTCGTGGTTTGAATCTTTCCAAGGCACTCACATAATATCAAAATATTGTTTCAGGTACCATTAAAAACTTCTGCCAAAGTTAGCAGTATGTCATTCTTGAGGAGACGGTGATGAGAAAATGGTGCCTCATGATGGACGCTGATGCCATGACAGTGATTTGACCGAGCGTTTTATACCTGTGTTATTCAGGTCTCAGAAGGTACAATATGTGCACCAATTCAAAAATCTTAAGTCTGTAAGTCTGAGAAAGAGAATGCTACAGAAACTACGGTGTCACTGCTCCTTTAACCATGCAAGTTCATTATTATTGTGTCTAAAAAAAAAAAATTAGCCCTCAAATTTACACTTCTTTCCTCCTAGTGTTGGTCACAGCTGTGGCTTTGAAGTCTTAATACATGACTTTCAAGCAACTTACTCGCTAAGATACTTACCATTTTAGACTCATACTTCCTCTCAATAATACGATGAGTCTTAGGGTCTGCAAGAGAAGAAATATTGAAGTTTTGCACATAAAAATGTATGAAAGCAGTTGCTGCGCCACAACATTACTGTAGGTACCTTTGTTAAACTTGCACTGAAACATCAAATAAATTTATGGCAGTAGATGTCGGGCCTCTTTTTAAAAAAAGTAATTACAACGCTGAAGTCTTCTTAAAAAGCAAACAGAAAACCTTGAGCTCTGTTGCAGTTTCAAAAAAAACAAAAAACGTCAACAGTAAGAAAAGAATTATTAAGCAACAATTCTATTCATGTTCTGCCATCCATAGAAAAAAAGCAACAGCATCTTAAGCAATATGAAAGCAAGCCCACATAAGATGTAGAAAACTGACATAAGTAAACAAACTGTTTCGTAGTTGTTGTGTACTTACTGTATTCTTCAAGTACAAAGATGATATCCTTTTGAGTGTAGCATCTCTTGATATTTTCTATCCTTACAAAGAACTGCAAAAGTGATGTTTCCCAGTATAAGAAATAGAGCAACACTTATAAGAACTGCATGCAATTAACTCAAATAGAAGACAATTAGAGTTTAAAAGCAACCATATTTCCTGAATTACATAGTATATACCTATTTCTTCAGGGCAGCATATAAAGTACAGTACATGCAACTAGCTAAGAAAGCATAATGTTCTCGCACTGCAGAATTACCATGACTTAATCGGCACAAACTTAACAAAAAAAAAGATCATTCAAAAAGACATCGGTTAAAACATGCTCCCACTATAAATAATAGTTGTTTACTTCCTGATGTTGATAATTATTTATTTATTATTCTTGATTTACGGTTGAGCTATATTATTGAAAACTTGGAGCAATATTTTAGTACTTTGTTTCCAAGTAATTTTATTGCGACATGGCATGTCAATGGTAATAATTACATGTGTATTTATGGTGCTTATTATAAAATAAACACTAATTTGTTTCCCTCAATGGCCTTATTTTATTACAATTAGTGTGTTTGATGTTCGGGTTTCATGGCTTTAGAGCCAGGATAAATGGTAAAAATAAAGGAAAGAGGATTGAAAGATATAACTAAACCTCACTCGTTAAAGTAGCCAACACATGTATTACATTTGATACCAATGGATCTGAGAGTGCATGATACGCAATGCTTGCGATTCGTGCACGAGTTGCACGAGTAAACGATTTTTGTTGCTCCTTTTGTTATTTGTGCATTATTCTTGATGGAAGCTGACCAAGAGATAAAAAGCTTTTGTACTTGATGCATATATTTAAAAATAAATTAGCATCCTAGACATGCATGACACGATTAAACAATGCTGCCTAGCAATAATAGGATTACTCGAAAGTTAACAAACCCAAACTAATGAAATTGAGCTAAGCAACACTAATACATTTTCGTTCACTCCTGGGTGCATCCGAGTTACCAGTTCTCGGCATTCAATTAGGTGAGTTGCCAACCATGGTTGGTGCCAACTTAAATGACAGAGTGACCAGTGAAAAGGTTTCAAATCTTCTACTTCTCATTACAAAAAAGTAATTCCATGTGAAGAGATTCAAACTATGCTAAGGCAAACAACATTACAGCATACACAGAATTTGCCCTGAACAATCTCACTGAGTGAGATTGTTCAGGGCAAATTCACTACACAAAATTTCATTAGGATGCAACACAAAAAGCTGCTACTACTTCACGTCTGACAAAATCGATTAGAAGCTGACAAAACAAGGCTTACATGATACATATGGCAAATTCGTCTCCATGGGCCCAACCATGAAGCCTCTCTAATGTGTGTTGCCAAAATCACCACAATTTCGTGCATTTATTGTTTATGTCAACGAGCAAACTTAAAAAAAATAAGTCAATGAAAATGCGGCATCTTCAGCACACTGACTCTAAATGTGCACATAGATGTTGTATGTGCTGATCTAATGAATGCTGTCGGTTTCGAGTGCCTGAGCGTCGTTCCGTGCTCATTCGCTGCTCCGAAATTTTTCAGAACAGTCCTGCCGACATTTTCTTTCTACACTTTTCCACTCAAGAGCCAGAAGTTAGTGCGCATACAACAAATTTATAGGCAGGCTACGCTAAATAGTCTGCTTCTACACTGTGCATGTCACTGCAACTCACTCAGTACTACTAAAATATACAGCATTGTTTATTATGTGCTAAACAGCTGGTCGCATTGTACACGTAAATAAAAAAGAAGGGAGAGGTCTTATGAAGCAAGACGCTATGCTTTCAAAGGAATGTCATGTACCAAAACAAAAAAAAAATTTTTTTCAAACGTGTTTTCTTTTTCTCCAAGGTTTTGCTGTAAGTTGACGCACTGCCAGAGCAAGCGCACCAGATTCTAAAGAACAAAACACTATACTCAGCAACAAATTTTCTTGACAGCAGTGTGAAAACTACAGAACCAAAGCGCGTGCCTGCTGTCGTGTCAAAATATAGTGCTTAAGTCTATCGATAACTTTCCCATTCACCTAGCTGAAATAAGTGCTGCTGCACTTATTACGAGCCTCAAACAGCTGGCAGAAGTCGTAGGTAAAATAAAGTTATTGTTCACTTTCCAAGAGTGCTTTCCTTTTCTGCCCATTTCTTGGACAGTGCCACCTTTTCGGCACACTCGTTTGCCAAAGTAAACATGGTGCCAATGACGTAGTAGGTCAGTGTGCAGCTGCAAACACACTGTTCAGTTCTCCAGAAAAAATATTCTCGTAGTATGACATTAAAATGTGCACTGAACCATCAAAACGTTTATACCATTCGCATTTTACGTATATACTCAAACCTCATTATAACAAAGTTGCATCTTACACGAAAATAGGTTTGTTACATCCAAAAATTCGTTATAAAGGTATATTCCTAACATTATACCTATTGCAAGACTATTTTTCATTTAATTCTTTACATAGAGGCTTGAGCTGTATATAATTTTATAAATGCTTTGATGATGCAAGCGGGCGAAATAAGTCGCAAGCTGCCGTACTACTTGCCAAGCAATGCAAATGTGTGGGAGCCCCCCTGCCGTAGCCTTCGCTCCATTGTCAAGATAAGCTGTCGCTGAGTATAACAATACATATAAAAAAAGGTTGCAGAGGCTTCAAAATACACCAGAAAGGGGGAATAAAAAAAGAGAACAGAAGCAACTGGGCAACAAACGGATATTCTACAGCTAAACATGGATCATTTCAGTGGAAGGGTCGCAAAGAACATCATGCGCTACTCCATCTGGTTTTTAAGAAACAATGTGACATGCCAGTGCAGAGTGAGGCGGACGGGTGATAAGACACAACCAGGTGCATTGTGGTACACACTACATGTGCTGCCGATTCCCAACCAAACATATCGTAAGAGGTCAGGTCAGACGCGCAGGAAAAGAACAGAAGGCATCAAACGCTCTCTGCTCACAGAATGAAAAAGTCCGCAGAATGACGAAGCTCGTAGTCTCCAGTGCAAACCTTTCAAGTTTTGAAGTCAGCGCTACTGTAAAATTTTCACTAGCTCACTCTCTCCATTACAAACATGGAGTCGTCTGCCAAAACATACAAAGCCAAGTACTATTCTTAAACTACGACTACGTGCAGATGCTACAAAAAGTGTGAAATGCTTGAAGAGAACACAAGAACAAATGTGTATTGTACTCAAAATTGTTAATATTAACACCGGTTAGTTTTACTGAACACTTGCCAGTTGCCTGTGAACGTTTAGGCAAACTTTGTATGAGATCACTCGCAGGAGAATATTTTAGGTAAGAAAAATAACTGACTAGGGCGACAGCAGAAGGAAAAAGTAATTCACCAGGTTCTTTCGCAGCATTCAGGAACGCATAGCTTAGGCAGCTAAGACTTATAAGTGAAGTACTCAGAAATATATATGCGAACTACATTTTATATGGCAGTATTTAATTCAAAGTCATGCTACAGCATGTAATAAGTCCTCAGGTTTGTATACAATGCCTGCTTCGACACCTGTTAAAGTTATGCCCTTTACTAATCTAAACTCAGCAGTCTTAAAAAAAAAGTGCAAAGTGAGGCGCGCAAGGAGCAGGTTTCCACTGCATCTGTGCACATGCATCACAACATGCACGCAACAACACATGCATATAGAGCCACGGTAGTATATACAGCACTTTGAAGCTTCACACACCAACAAAAAAAAAGGTATCCAAGAAGATAGAAACACCGTCATAAGCAAAATGGCAAAGAGACAAAAAGAAGGCAATAGTAAAGTGCGGCAGAAGATTTCGGGGAGGACGTGCAACAAGTCTTCACAGGCACCAACATCTGCAACAAGCGAATACAAACCCGTCAAGAAGGGAAACTACAAAAGCAGAAGTATATAAAGAAGGAAAGAAAAAGAGAGCAAAATAAGCCCAGAAACACAAATTGCATGGGAAAGAGGGTGACACCCACAAACCGAAAGCAGCAGCAAAAGAAGAAACTTTTGGAGATGGTCAAGTCAAATAATTTGGTGTTACTCCAATTCTACAGGAACCAAGCAGTATAGATATATAGTAATAATACACAGCATCATGCTTCTTTTTAAGTCTAGGTTGAAAAAGAGAAAGAGGAGAAAGACAGAGAAGGAATTAAGGTGGTGCATGTGCGTCTGCTCACGGGCACGAGTGTCGTCTGCCTCTGCAAGACTGCCGCAACTGTTAGTTGCGTCAGCCTTGAAGCTGATGCAGCATACTTGGCCACTGGCGTGTACACGATTGTACGTGTGTGTGTGTGTGTGTGTGTGTGCATGTGTGTTTGCATTGTGTATATAGAACAGTATCATGGCGTGCAACTACAAGTGCAGCTAAGTATAAGCAATGCCTAAACAACTATTACTAGCACTAAGCGGTGGCTGCAGTTGTAGCAGCAGCTGTGGTTACGATGATAGTTGTAGTGACAGCCATTGTAGAAGCAGCCCCCGCCTTTCTTTTTTTCAGCTCAATAAATCTTTTGCGCACACGAAAGAGAAAACGTGCTTCCACCAAGCACCACTACTCGACAGTTAGCCACAAGCGAAGAGAGAAAGCTTCGTCAGAATTTAATGCATCCTTACAGGGCACAAGATAATAAACGTCTTGCATTATTGCTAGACTCTCTAAGCCCTCTTATATGAGTTGCAAAAAGTAGCAACAAGGAAAAAAATAAAAGTTGGGTCTGTACCTCAAAGTCCTTTTTTCCCGTTCACGTGGGAGGAGTGGACAAGAGACACACAGCGACATAGAAGAAAGAACCCCAGGGTTGGCATTAGTTAGAGAAGGGAAGGGAAAGGGGAGGGGAAAATATATATATGTATATACAGGAATGAAAGACTGTAGTACATACATGAAAATGGTAAAAATGTAAGTAAACGAGAAAAATGAAATGCTGGCTTTGTAGAAATGACAGAGCACAGAGGCATGGTAAACACTGCTACCACTGTGTGCCGTCTTGCTGCTCAACTGGTCTACAGAAGAGTCTTGCTGCAAGTGGCACAAAGACTAGAAAGAGGAGGCACTTATATTTTTTTTTTTTTAGTGCGTGTGCTTTGAACGTGCTACCATGTTCGAGTCTGAAGCGTTTTTCTTTTGAACACACACTGACAATTTTTTTTCTTTTTAAGTCAGCAATGCTAACTGATGGATCTAGGTACACTGTATCTCTCTCTGTCTTTTAGCCTAGCTTTCTCAAATGTCAATTTATTCACTGTCTGTAAAAGCCTATCCCCATGAGATCAGGATGCCCAAAAAGAAAAGAGAAAAGAAAAGTAGTACGAAAAAAGAAATGCGTACAGGAAGCAACAAGCAGCTTGCTTACATGAAACTGAAACTGAAGAAAGAAGAAAATACAAAAAAAAACAGCCTCATAACTGTCCCAAATAAACAATGCTCCATTATCTTTTTTTTTTTTAAGGCTAAGCTTGTTCTTGGTTCATGAACCATGCCAGGGAATCAGAGCAAAAGAAAGATTTGAACACATCAGAAGGATGGAACAAAATTTGTACACATACAAGAAGAACAGAAGATGGACAGAATCTAGTTGAGAAAATAACAGGGATCAGTTATTTGGCTCACAATACAACCTACAGGGCTTTGAATATGAGAGGCAAAAAGACAGGCATGTTGTCAAAATCAGTGGAGAAGACACAATGATAGGACCATCTCAAAAGTCCCTTCGGTTGCTCCTTTCTTTTCGAACATACGAAAAGATGTATTTTTTTTTTTGTGGGTTGGGATAGAGAAATGTAGGTACGTGAAGAGATATAGGAGGCAGAAAAATAGAGGTATACATATATGCAAGAGAAGATGGTTGTAGATATATATATATATATATATAGGGGGTAATATGTACGGTGGAATCAAAAGCGAATAAAATAGAGGGAAGGGCAAAATGTTTCAAAAATTGCATGCACAGACCTCATTCCAAGATTCACCTCGCTAGAGAAGAAGAGCAAAAAAGAGAACTGGCTTCAAAAGGCACGAGACTGCTGCATACACTTAAATACATACTTCTTTTTTTTTTTTTTCTTGCCCCCCCCCAGAGTCTTAAGTTTCCTTTTCTCTATGCACCCCACAAATGTACATAGTGGTATCCAGGATGACAAAAATCGAAGGAAAAATTTAAAAAATAAACAAAAAGGAAAAGTGTGCACTGGCAAGATCACTTTCAAAATATTGGTCTGGGCAATGTACGAGCTGGAGCATCAATAATACTAAAGCCTCTACAGGAAGTTCCAAAGAAAAAAAAGTTAGCAAAGAACAAATAAAAGCCACTCACAATAAAGAGTGGAGGAGTTCTTACTGCCTAAAAGTAAAAAAAGGAATTAATATACGAAAAGAATGTTGAATGAATAGAGACCTTATGGTGAGAATCAGGTCATCTGTCAGCGTTTGTGACAAGCAACACGTTTATCCGGAGCAACTGCGTGAGGACCTATCAGAGAACCTAAAAGTAACTTATGAAAACAATAGACGAATAAAAAAATAGCGAGGATTCAAACAAAAAAAGCAATGGGCAAGGAGAATAACTGCTCTTTCGAAGCAGCACGGGCCAAAATGCGGTTCTGGGAGTTACAGTAGGGCAAGAGCACGGAAGCGAAAATAGCTTCTGAAGTTCAGCCTTAGTCATCTAAAAAAATTGGCCAGAAACTGAAAAAAGATGTATATATATATATATATATATATATATATATATATATATATATATATATATATATATATATATAGAAAAGAAAACTAAAGACAACAGGGCCATCAAGCAGTCAGCTGCACTGTACCACAAAAGTAAGCAAATAATGGTCAAAGCAAGCCATAGGAGGAGTTTTGAGAAGGTCCTCTTGACACAACAAAGGAAAAAACTACGTCCCCTTGTATTCTACGCTATTTAATGACACATCAAGTCTGTGCACTAAGTTTTTTCATAGTCCACACCGATCCTTATACATGCTTATTCAACCTTTTAATCTCGAGAGTCAAAGCACAACCACAATTTGCTTGTTTTAATACCTAGTGATCCTCACACCTGTTGGGATTAGTCCCGAACATAACTATACAATAAGAGTTAGGGTATAGCATAGAAGAACGAGTCTCTCTCGTTCGGTGCCTCACTTGCTCCTTTTTTTTTCTAACGTTACAACGTACATGAAAAGTTGAATCAAGATCATCACAAGACTAGCGAGTCCTAAAGTTTGTTTTATTGTTTTGTCACACTGCATGACCCAAAACGCAACAGATGTAAGATGCAGTCAAACTCAGACATATTGATTCTCAACGGGACCACGAGAAAGTTTGATATACACATAATTCAACATACAAAATATTTCATATATCAGAAATATTTCAGATATTTTGCCACTGTTCAATATGAACAATAACTTATTACATGTGGGTTCAATATATGCAGATTTGACTCTATAAGGTGTAAGTGAATTTCGAACACCCACACAGAATATATAAATAAAAAAATGAAGTAAATATTAATGCACACTATGAGACAATCTTGTACAAAGAATTTTTAATGATTTCTCTCACAGAACACTAAGCCATAACTATTCAATGTTAATCAACAATTATTTTTTAGAAGACTTCATTATAGGGCTTTTGTCAAGTCCAGTTCAAAGATTACTATACTCAAAGCCAACTAGAAGATCACTCAGGTGATTTAGTACTCGTTAACACCGAATATTCAAACACAACCGGATTATGATGCTTGTTGTAAAACCAACACACGGAAATGGCTATTCTACAATTAAAACCCTACGCGTTAGAGTGGCTTCGTTTGTACACAGCAGATCCTCACAAAAAAGAGTACACAAGTTCAATGCATCATAGCCCTGACTTTTTGTCAAAGCTTCGCTAAGTTCAGTCCTCCTTATATGGCCTGGATAAAGTCACAGATAAGTTCTTCCAGGTTACATGAGAAGACAACCCCTTAATTTGGCAACTTGCAGGCTCATCCAAAGGGTACAAGTTTACAAAGATTTCATATTTTAAGTGTTCCTTTTTGTACAGATGCCATTCAGACCTCTCCTTCTTTAATGAAATGTAGGATTCAAATAGAGGAAATGAAACAAAGAGTTGACATAAGTAGCCATCATTTCTGCTTGAATAGTGAAGACAGGAACCAATATAGTGCTTTATAGTCATAAGTTATGGTTAACAGTTTGTGCTTTCTTTACTGTGCTGCAGTTGTTGTGTGCATACATAGTACTGGGTTTACGATACAGGCAAGAAAACATCATTAACCTTACAAACTTTCTAGCAGAACAACTTTCTGCTAAGAAAAATGAGTTCTGCATAAGCCTGCAATGTGTAAGAAGAGTTACGAAAAAAAAAAAAAGTCAAAGCAAAACTATAAGTATATAACATCATTGGCTAAACAAGAGCTAACAATAACAGCAAACTTATGCAGTACTGCCAATGAATTTACTAGCTCGGAACTACTATAAGGCACCTTGCTGTAGACAAGGCTTGCTTCACTACAACTGCACACATGAAGAAATAAAAAAAAACTAGACTTAATAGCACTAGTATTAAAAAAAAGAAAGTGCTATGCACAACTGTTATTGTATGCCATATTCCCGGCTTCTGAAAATTAAGGTAAGTTTTTAATTTAATTCTTTCCTGTAAGAGAACGAACTGCTCGTTTGTGGCAAAAATGTTTCACTTGTCATTTGGAAAAAACATGCCTATTCTGAGCAACAGCAAATTTGATATACTATTATCAAAATAGAGTACTCTGAATAGACAGCTATAGTTTACCATTAGTGTGATAGCGGGGGTTAAAGAAATAGCGTCACCGTGCCGCAAACGTTTGTTGCGGACAGCATCTTATACTTTAGCGGAATAGCGTTTACGTTCCCCAGCTGGAACGGTAACGTCACCTAGCGGAAGGTGAATAAGTTAAAGAACAGTGAAAAGGTAAATAAAACGAGAATGGTTGCCTGAGTTACCGCTCGAAGCAATGTTACAAGTTTTTTTTTTTTTAATAATAAATGTAAATACACATGAACCATACACCAAATGCAAAAATATTTATGTTGCCGATTTGTTTACATTGTTCTCCAAGTTAGGCCTAGAGACGTTCAAAATAGGAAGCTATGTCAAAAACTATGCTAACCTATCCATAATACTCGGTCATCGACGCTAATTCTGAAAAAAAGCAAGACCATTTTAAATAGTTAATTGCTGCAAACAAAGTGAATCTTTTAACGTAGAATTATGCCAGAGTCACTTCAAAGCGGGCGTCCAGAACTGCCACCATGTTTTACGTACTCAACCACGCAAAGACGGTAACATTAAATCTGAAAAAATAGCATGCATACGGTGAGCAGTACGGGTCACGTACATTACTGTGCATGCGCACTTCGATCCCGCTATCCCGTAAGCCCGATATGCCCGGTAATCTATAACTGTCTAATACTACCAAAATTCTTGAAGAAAAAATATGAAGCCATCCAACATCGATGCTGGAACATGTCAAAAGTGGTAATGTTAGCTCAAGTATGATGCAGTGTCAAATAGCAGAAGTGGCGGTGCAACATTACTTCCAGTTCTCTGACGAGTCAGCAGAAAGCCAGAACCTCTACACTTTGCATGTGGCTATGTCATCCTTTTTCAATGCTTTATTAGTATCGTGGATCAACACAAAGCTTGATATTTTATGCCTGCTGTTTATAAAAATGGCTAGGTTTCTCCTTTTTCATTTTTAAAGAACAGTATTTACAATAGGCAGCTGATTTAACAACACAGAAAGTTCTACAGCAGATCTGGAATCTATAAAAGATCAGGACTATTTGTCACAACTAGAAACTGGATTTCATAGTAAAAAAAAAAGAGAGCTGAAATAAACTTTGGCTGCCCAGACACTAAGTGTTCTTACTTCGAAATGGCAATCTTGTCATAAAGATACTGCTGCACAAATACTGGCGATACAGCAAAAGGCTTTGTCAAAGGTTTTCTTTCAGACATTTAATTTAGGACCACAGGTGCTTAAAGGTGTTCCAATGATTGCTTCTCTTGTAACAGACATGCCTGAAATATGCAACAAATCCTTCCAATAATTCTCTGGTTACTTCTAGTCAAGTGATAAAATGTCAAGGCGTACAAAAGGAGAGGTTCGCAATCCCTGACAACTAAAATGCAACCATCTTTCCAACCTTGTATGGAATTGATAAACGAACTCTACTCGTGAATAAATATACACTTACAAGAGGATCCATGAGCTGCAGGCAAAGCAGCAGGACTGGTGCCAACTTTCCAATACTAAACATCTTGGTACTACTACCTATGTTCCAAGTGCATAGCACAAGGGAAAATTTGTTGAACTCCTTTCAAGTATGATCCGAGCCAGCTGGTGTGAATGAAGTCGGGATACAAGCGACGAAAATAAGTGTGCAGAGGAGTCAAAGAATTTGATAATGTGGGCTGCGAGACCAGCAGGTTAGCCTTCCAGAGTGTAAAAAGTCATAAAACCACACTTGCAGCCACGTTCCTGTGTTCCCAAGTTCTCCCATTGCATACCTTGCTTCTCTGTGCTGGTGAAACCCGGACCGTCAGATAGCACGGCATTTCTAAATCTCAAACAAATGTTAAAATCTGCTACTTTTGAAACAGCAACACCTTTCTTACAGTGGATGTCATATGCAGATAAATATTGATAAGGCAAGAGAAAAATGTGCATATCATACAGATATATCAGGGCTAAGTCCTCTGGTGAGAGCCACACAGACTAAATGCATAAAAACTGTGTTGCAAACATTACAGAACTTGCAAAGCACATGAATTCCCTGAAACACTCTGTTATGGTACAGGGCCACAGATTACAAATGAAAAGGTTAGCCGCACCCTCATTATCTAATACACAGACCCGACGAAAAATAATACGCCAAAGCTGGGAAACACAGCGGCACCAGAAAGCAGCCTGGTCAAATGCTCTACGAAAAAACGTAGACCCCTTGGGCTTATTTCAATTCCCGCAAGAACAGCATAGGACTACAGCCCGAAGACATACAGTGACCGTAAGAAAGTTTGCTGCGAGATGCTGCTGGGTTATGCAGCAAGGAAATACAAAACCATCAAAAGACTGTGAAACGTGAGACATGCACAGCTCTGTTAATCACAACTGCCATCAAATGACAGCACAGAAACGCTAACGCGAAATAAAAGCACATGCGTGAGGAGAGAACATTCGCATAAAGAAAACCACAGTAAAGACACAGAGAGGCAGATGCAGGCATTGAGGGTGCTTACCTTGCTATTGGCAAAAAGCAAGCCCACGCCTTCCATGCATACTTGCAAAATGCCACCTTCACGTGTAGTCAGGTCCAGCACTGGAAACTCTCCTCCAAGTTCCGTGCCTACAGAGTGAAGAAGAATCAAACTCAACCCTGAGCAAAATTTCAAGAGCTCAATTCTTGCATTTACTTCTGATGTAGAGTTGAACCACACTGATGCAAGAGACGAATGGGCATGAGAGACACCAGTGTGCCCAACATTGAAACAGGATTTCATAAGAAAATGCAAACACAGTACCCTGTGTATAAGAAATCCCTGATATGAAACACGACAATTGCTCCCCGCCATAGGTCGGCAAACTCTCTCATGAGTCGACTCACTCGGACTCAGATCGAGCCATGAGTCTGAGTCTGAATGAGTGGGGGTGAGCAATGTTATGGCGAGTTTGAATCCGAGTGAGTATGGTTGAAGAATAAGCCCTAGTGAGTCTGGCTCTAGAAAATTTTGGAAAGTCTGAGTCCAAACGAGTCCAAAGCGCAAGATATATTTCTTGAGTGAGTCTCGGTGACTTTAACCTTTATTTTTATTTTTTGTTGACCTATTGTTCTGTATACTCATTTTCACCATTACTATCAGCCTTATCTGAATTTATTCTTATACTCCCATCTACTAACAAGTACTCCAAAGCAGTATCGTGTATAAACCATTTCAATTTTAACTATTCAGAAGCGTGAATTACTTAGGGCGTGCCTAGGCCTCCCCCTCATTAAATCTTCCAGAGAAGATCAAAAGTGTGGACTATTGGACGAGTTGGTGCTTTTACATAGAAACCATCATGAGGGCGCAGCAAAACACAACACACAGGAAGAGACAGATGAGGACAGGCGAGGACACCTGTCCTCGTCTGTCTCTTCCTGTGTGTTGTGTTTAGCTGCGCCCTCACGATGGTTTTCATGTTCCAGAGACGGTTTTGATAAATACTATATCTTATGTTGTCATCTATTTCAAGAAAAAGGTCCCTACTCATTGGCAATCATTCATAACTCACAATCCAAAGTACCACACATATACTTCATTATAACAAAGTTTCATCCTACATGAAAGTAAGTTCGTTATACCCGAACATTCGTTACAAAGGTTTATTCCTAACAATATATCTATTGCAAGACTATATTTCATTTACTTCATTATAACGAATATTTCGTTATATTCAGGTTTGTTATATCAAGGTGTGAGTGTATATTAAAAGGCGCCAGGAGGAGCACCAATTACGTGAAATATTAGTGTTAAAGAGCATTGATGCCACGGTCAAACGAGCTAATTCTAGGCTAACGAACTCATGAGTCAACTCACTTGGAAACACTCAGACTCAGATTGAGCCGAGTATCTAAGTCTGAGTGAGTTCGAGTGAGTTCGGCTGAAGAAAATTTTCGGGAGAGTGAGTCCAAAGCGCAAGATATATTTCTGAAGTGAGTTTGAGTGAGCCCCACAATTTTTGCCAACCTATGCTCCTCAGTCGATGCCTCTTATAAAAGGGTTCAGCTATAATAATAATTGCTGAGGTATTATGCCTAAAAATTATGAAAAATGCCATAATCAAGGGCTCCGACAATTTTGACCACCCGGGGTTCTTTAACGCTCCCCTAAATCTGAGCACGCTGGCCTCTGGCATATTCGCCTGCATCGAAAATGCAGGCTGCTACAGCCAATATGCATTTACTTCCGAGACAGATACTGCTGCAGCTGCATGTAGAGTGCTCACAAGCCAATCTTTCCAGATACAGCTGTGCCAGATCTAGTTTTTTACCAATAAATAACTTTACGCATTACAGAGGAACGCAGTTCTCCTCTTCTTTTCATGCCTGCACATGTAACGACTGCTACGTACAGTACTAAGTGTGAGCATGTGCTACTCACCAGACTTGAGCACATTTCCTTGGGCAGCAGCCCTCTCCATCGCCTCCTTGATACAGTAGTACATGTCTTTACACTAGGAAAGAAAGAGAAAGGTTCTTCGTAAGATGCAAGCATCTGCGCAGATGACGACCAAAGGCAGAGAATGAAAACAACTTCACTTACTAACTGTTTCTATCAAAGATATGTTTAAAATATGCAGCCAGTAAATTCTTCCCATAACTACAGCAAAGAAAGCCTAAACATACAAAAAATGCGTGATCAAGGTGAAAAAAGAAGGGGGGGACTGGTAAAAACACGAGAGAAAAAAAAGTGATGTTCTGGAATTTTAACAAAATTTTTGAACTTTACAGCATTACTGCAATTACAGCTGCATAAACATTCCTCCCACCCCAGAAAAATATGGCGAACACAACCTAGATTGTAAATGCAACATACGGGAGAAGTGGACAGCCTCTGCTGTGGAAAGGGAAGTTCGTGTTTTTTTCCTACTGCTTTTGACATTTGTCTCCACTGACATACTAAACACTGGAAAAGTTCTTGCAGCAGAGTTCTACCTGGACTAGCACGTGGTTAATCCTGATGTATAACAAAGATTGTTAACAGGGTTTCCTGAAGAGCCCTTAGACAAGCTAGAATTTATAAACTTGCCAAATTAACCACTCGTAGCACATAGCTACAAAGAATATATATTCTGCACCTCAAACATGCACTATGGACATCTACTGCCTCTATTGCACACAACTGCAAACCGGCTTACACCTTTAACAGCTTACTTCAATGAGACAACTACAAAAAGTTTTCCTCTTCCACTCATGTCAAGATTGATTGAACTGCCAGTGCTGCTCACCTTTTTTGTATAGTACTTGTGGAGTTGCGTTTGGCCTGAGCTCCGCCTCCAGAGACAAAGTACCTTGTTTTTGGGGCAGTACGACATGTTCACCAGCCTCTCGTACCACCAGCGTTCAATCACAACCCCATTGGCACCGCGCAGCACCAGTCCATCGTCCCTCACCTTGAAAGACACAAGCATTCAAAGGGGGACCGTAAGTTTTGTAGCCGGCAGGAAGTAACTGCAAGTGAGATATGCAGAAAACTGCAAAGTGGTGGAAGGGTTGTGAAGGGACTTGAGACTCACCTTTTTGTAGCATAAAGCCACAAGGAAATCTGTACGGATCTTCAAAAATGAAGCTTTTAGTTTGTGGAAAATTCGTGCTGGTCCAGGAATAGAACCCAGGACTAACGCCTTCCAGAGGCGGTCACTCTAGTGATTGAACTAACCGGGAAGCTAGCAACTGGCAGTGTGATGGTGAATTTAAGGAGACTCTTAGTTAATAAAAATATGTTGAATAGAACACATTCACCTGGTCTCCTGAGGTTCTGTTTAACCAATAAGTTACTTCCTTGTTTCACTGCTTGGTTCAATGCCCTAAGTAAAACGCAATGGTTGTATATATATATATATATATATATATATATATATATATATATATATATATATATATATATATATATATATATATATATATATATATATATATATATATATATATATATACACACACACGCGCACACGCACACGCACACGCACACACACACACACACACACACACACACACACGCACGCACGCATGCACACACACACACACAAGTGAGGAGGGAGAGTGGAATTGCGGTAAACAAAAAGAACTTGAATGGAACGTCGTAATGCAATAGTTCAGCTCAGTTTGAGCATGAACGAAGGACGCAAAAGCGAAGAAGGGAATGACAAGCAACGACATTAGTGCACCAACTTGCTTAAGCTGCAGTACTAGTCAAATTAAATGGAACGGCAGCTTGAATGAAAGAATCACCTTGAATTAGGATGGCTATATATTTTGGTGCTGTGTGCCCTTCATCTTTCTCAATAAACAAACTTCTGTTAAATAGTGGATTTCTTCTACATGCCTGATAGTAACATGATCTGACGATTCTACGCTATGCCACTCCTTTTGACACTTTGTCAGTGGTCCTAGCAGCACATTATCCCTTAGATAAGCCACACCAAATCTTTAGTATAGCGACTGGTATGCGCCATTGCTCAAGATAACCACATCACAACAAATCTGGCCTCTAAAGATGATGCTGGCTTTGGTCTACACATTCAACCTGCAATAGTGCTCATGTGCCCTGAACTGAAGGCGGTGAAAATGAAGGTATGTGGATTCCATGTTAATACAGTTTGCAGCGGAAGCACGAAAGTGCTTGAAGAAAAGCTTACGGAAGGCAAGCAACGAAAGGCAAAGAGGGACAACACGTGGAAGAATGTATTTCCATGTGCATTACTCAGCTCTAAAATGTCCAGTTTCAATCCATGAGTACTGTGCAAAGAATGATACAGTATAATTACACATATTAAGGTCCTGCTAAGGAAACTCTCCAGAGTAACAACGTAGTTCAATGCACTCACCTCAAGAAACCTCACTTCCTCGTCATCAGTGTTTGTGGTGGTGTGAACGGTAAAACACTGTGACTGCATCTGTCGGCTTCCCAGGGGCTTGAGGTCAATTTCATTTCCGTACTGTACGGTAAAGGGAGGTACCAAAATGGCAAAAGGTAGAAGTAAAAGGTAATCAAAATTTCTGTTGGCTCTTTTGCAAAAAATGCAGTAAAAGACTATGTAGCTGTAACTTTTCACTTTACTGTCCCATTTGCTGAATACTTCAGTTGTTCCTATGATTTGAAAAGGGTATATGTATCCTTAACCAACACATATAAAGTCAAGGACAGAAAGAGGACTGCCAGCAGTACATACCTTCCTGATCCTAGTTCCATTCTGGTCCTGCGACAAGAAAAAAGAAAAAATATACAATTCAAGCAAACTAAGTAATTATTAAACTGTGCACAAAGACACGTTCATAAGATACAGCATCAACTTCTACATTTTTCCAGTGTTCCATCAAAAAATGAACCTATGTAAGTGTACTTATGAAAGCAGGACCAATTAAGTAGTTTCATTTAACTTTGTTTAATAATTCATTATCTGTTATTTTAAGAAGTCTTCTTATTATCTGTAACACAGAAGCTACAAAAAAAAACCTCGAAAGTACAGAATATTATCTTGAAGCTCCCAGTGGTCATGCTTACTGGCTGAAGTAGGTAGTTAGTGGTAACGTACATAAAGTCTGTTAGAAAAAAAAATTAAATTATGGCATCTCGTGTGCCAAAACAATTAGCTGATTATGAGACATACTGTAGTAAAGAACTAGATAAATTTTGACCACTTTGTAATGTCCCTAACGTGTGCCCAATACATAAAAAATGGACTTTTTGCATTATGTGCTTACATAAACACAGTCACCACGGCCAGGTTTTTACACTGCAACCTCAGCGCTAAGTCACCACAGGAGATGTTCAGTCCATTACAATAAAAAGTGTGCAGGTGTACCATCCATGCAATGCATGTCCTAATGCTTCAAAGACAAGCATTTGCAGTGAGCATTTGAGATGACCTCGCAATAGCTTTTGTTGCACCAAAGGAACACCTCGGCACTCATACACTAAAGTGGATGGTTAAACTAGGCTACATTCTTGATCATCAAAAAAGTTTTAGATGTATGCGAACATCAAATAAAGCAGCCTTTACAGCCAGTAAATAACCGATGACTTAATACTTAGTTGCACATTGCCAGAGCAATCAGTGCAGGGTTATAACTTTTCCAAGTCATTAAAAGGGGTAGGTACTCTTCCAATGTCACCACAATATTATAGTGAAACTAAATGTTCTAAAAACCACCAAATGTAACAAGCTTTACAAATTCCTACTGCTTCCAAAAAAAAAAAAAAGCACTTTGACAGCATTTTTCATGCCTTTAGGCATTGCACACCAGGAGTACTATTAGGTGTTATGTTTAGTATTAGAAGTATGCTGTCTGAGATCAGTATTAAGTGCTTATTCATCCTGACCACACACCTGACAATAAAACAACTGCTCCTGAATGTATTGTTTAAATTATGTTGTTGACAGACATCAATGTTTTACTATTCTATTCAGTAGCCTCATTACTCTTACAACTGTAGCCAATCGACAGACACAGAAAATCGTTATATATGAAAGCAAAAAAAAAACGAAAAAAGACAAGAATTTCAGCCATACCACACAGTCAAGTGTGTCCAGCATGGTGTTGATCTCCGCACTGTAGACAAGGCTGATGTGACATTTCCCGAGCAAGCGGCGAGCCCGCCTGCGAATCTCATCCACAGGAACCTCCATCATCAGCATGAAGGCGATCAGGTTGGACAAAAGCGTTGACAGTAGCCGGTCTTCATCATGCTCCAGACGTTTCTTTTCTGGGCTTGACAGGTACCGGTACCTGGAGATAGGAGGACACCACTGATTGGCAGAGGCACAAAGCTGTAAGGTGAGCGAGCAAGCACTTGAAGGGGCCCTGCAACACTCCTTCAAGTAGCCATAGAATGGATTCAATAAAAGAGTTTACTGCCTCACGAATTCACCACTGCAAAAACTTTTTACATCCGTCCAGTAAGAGCACTGTTACAAATAACTGTCGCACACTGCAATTGCATTCTCTGTTCTCTCGTCCCAACAACAGCACTCGAAGCTAAGCAGGAATAGATGGCACAGGGAAAGAAAATACGTCACATGTGCCTCATGACCTTGAGACCTTTTTTTTTTTTTTTTGAATATGCGGCTTTTTGGTATGATAGCACGCGCACGCAAGGACAAGTCGCCGCCTTTCACGGCAGGCCCAGTAACGACCGAGCGTGCCATTCTGAAACCAGCGAATAGCTGATGCAATGGCTGTGACGAGCCATTTTTAAACTTGTTCCTTCCTTTGTTGAGGAAAGAGCAAGAAATTTTTAGCTGACTTTGACCATTTATTGTCAATTACAGGCCACGTGCTGCGCTATAATATTAGGCTCACGAGTTCTCAGGAGACTCAACTACCAATCGGCAGCGTTTTCTAACCAAGCTCAATAAGTGTTGCAGAGCTCCTTTAATGCCTTTCACAGACTTCGAAATGGATTGCGCTCACAAAGTGTGAAATGTGGCTATAACGCACACCATAAGTTCAAAATGAAGGCATGAAATTCACTATGCTCCTTACATATTTAAGGGACGTCCAAGAATGAGTACTTGGCCCATTTCGCTCTCTGCAATGCACGGCTGCAGCAAGGAGTCAAACCGGCAACCAACCCTATTTATGCTGTCACGTCAGCCCAGTAGCTGACAGAGCCAGCATGCGGGCACAACAAATTTGTAATACGGCAAATTGCAACTATGTGTTATAGCATTTATAACACATAGTTCACAAAAAGCAATATCTTCTATTGGAAACTTGATGTCTTGCCCAATGAGATGAGCTAGAAATAATAGCCATGGCATTATGGCATTGGTTTACCATGCTCTATGGTAACTGTACATGTCACATGCATATAATAAGCAACAATTTTGTCACTTCATTTGTTAATTTTTTGTATAGCACATAAATCAATCGTGAAGTGCCGTTTTTTTCTGACACTTCAAATTGCCCGATTTCAGCATTGCTCCCTCTAACAACAACGGCAGTAACAGAGTGCTGTGGTCGGCTAAGAAAGCATGAAGTGCAAAGATCTGGCATGCTTGCCTTTCCATCAAAACCCCTGGCTGCTGGTCCATCCCTATGAGGTCGCGTTCCTGAGCAACAGCATCAAAGAAGGCATCTTCCCAGAACTGAGGCTCACTCCATATATTGGCCCGATCTTTCCCTGAAAGATCAGAAAAACGAAAGCACGCAGATGTATCCTGCTGAAGACAATAATACAGTGCAGTCCACTTATAACGATACCACATATAACGATATATCGGTTATAACGATGGGTCGACTTAACAGTCTCATTTTATGCATTGGGGCTATGGGGAAAAAAACCATATATAACGATATGTTATCCACCGCATATCGGATACAACGATGAAAAGTTTGCCGTGGACGGCATGTTTCATTCAGAATAATCGTAACATTTAGATTGATAAGTTCTTCTGAAACGAACTATGCCGAGACAAGACGAAAAGTTAGCGTAGGCGAGTACGTATGTGCCGCCACTGCAGGACAGCGCCGGCAGCGCGTCCCGGCCGTTCAAAAAGCCCAGGAGAGCATCGCGAGTTGGCGCGACGCGCTACAGATGGCGCCAGCTGTGTCACGTTTTGCGCCTCGCCGCGCGTCGACCGCGGAGAGGCTGAGAGAACTTTAAAAAAAAAATGCGAAAAGCAAATCGCCGCGCTCCGCGGCTCCCCGCCTTCTACAACGGCAAGCCGGCAAGCTACTCGTAGCTTGCCGAACGAAAGCGGGAAAGAGAGAGAAAATAAAAAAAGCGAAAAGCAAAGCGGCGCGGCGGCATGGGGGCGGGGCCTCGTTGGCATTCCGGCTGTGTACCTCTGGCTGTGCTTTCTTCCTCCCACTGCTCCCACCCCGCCGTCGGTCAGTCTCTCTTCCTCAGCGAACCCGTGATGGGTTCTTCGGAGTAGGAAATAAAGTCTTGTTTTTGACATCCTACTATCTACAATATTTATTAATTGGTGAAAATAGCAAAATGAAGCCTGGAGCTACAAAAGGTACGTCCGGCGACGATTTTTTGGCGGCAGTCCAGATATAACGATCACCGGTTATAACGATCATATTTTTAGGTTTTCTCGATATCGTTATAAGTGGACTGCACTGTAAAGCCAGAATGTGGCCATCATGACAGCTCAGGTTTGAACAATATATAGTAAAAATATCCCATATTTTCCAGCAACTAACAGATCATTTGTATTATAAGTAGCAATAATATTGACTAAGTCATCCAAACCAATATGGACACACAAGTAGGTACTGCATTTAAATTCAACTTAAGAGAAAAAAGGGCATGAAGTTAAAAGAAGTTTCATGGATCTTTTCTGGTAAAGACAGATGTTTTCTCTTGAATAAGTGATAAACTTGACAGATATATGCCACATTTAAAATGAACTGGCAGGTTCTAGCAACCAGAGAAAGCAGCACTTTGTTATCTATAGAACAGAATGCAGTCAGTCAATATAACGAGATATTATCACTCAAATCTCATTGTACCAAAGTCACATCTGCTCCCAAAACAAATTCATTATATCCGAAAATTCGTTATAAACATTTATCTGCTACACTGTACCCGTGACAAGAGTATTCTTCATTTACTTTGTTATAACCAGTTATTTGTTATATCCATGTTCGTTAAATCAAGGCTGATTGTGATTCTGATGAGTAGTGATAATTCTGAATAGTACAAGTGGTGCAATATAAAAATTTCAACTGGCTCTGTTAAGAACGGCGCAGCTTTGAAGAAATAACACTGCACGTTTATTAAGCTATGTTGGTAGGAACGTGTTAGAATTGACTACGAGGGTTAAGACTCTAGTTATTTTTTAGCTGTGCAAACATTACAAAGGTACCAGAGAATAACAGAATATTGGTACAACACCGTAAAACTTATATCCACTGTGTTCCCTGCATTACTTTAACAAGAACTCCAACTTTCTAGAGAGAAACTTGCCTAATAAGAAAATTACGAATTTCTCCAGTGGTAGCTGATCAAGTAAACCTTTCATGAAGGGAAGCAAAGTGAGCAAAGTGTAGTTGATGAAGCACTTTACACATAGAACTTGTGGTTGCAAGAACTTCAGGAGAGGCGAGTATTTTGCCCCTTTCGACAGCTTTTTGGTAGTGCTGGCACAACAGGAGGCTCACAAACAGCAAAACAGACCTCGCTTAATTCTGCAAACATTTATTTAAGTGTTTTAAGAACTACGACGGGGCACACAGGCAACTTGATGTAACAACTCTGAGGTTATGATTGTTTTGTTTGCAAGCTCAGCGGTGAACACTGACCTATCAATCCCTGATATATGTACGTGCGGCACTGTGGTGGCGGAGACGAGCGGGTGGGTGTACTGGGACTAGCCCCCTGGCCCGCCTGGCTGCCGCTGGGGTTCCTGCTGCCACTGGTGAACCCAAAGCCCCCACTAAGGCTGCTCTTGGTGCTCCAGATGCTTGAGGCACGCATCTGCCGTGACATCATGAACTGTGGGGGTAAAGGAGGAAGAAAGAGGAACCCATACCACAAACCAGGATCATAACACGGTTTTCGGTGTCTCCAGGCATGGGCAAGCATCTTCAATGCAGTCAAATAATTGGCGAGCCTTTTCGTTTCAAACACCTTACAACTACTGCGGCGTTTGAGGAAAATGCCTAGTAGATTTCCTTGTGATAATGACCTGACATGTCTTTTGCACGCTCTGCTATGACTGTTGGTAAGACTGGATACAACTATCAGTAGAGGTACGCGTGAAAAAAATAAATAGCATGCTGTGATAATACACCACGGTGAATGAGATTTGTGAGAGCATTGAACTGGCAGAGTCTATGGCTGCAGTAACGTAGAGACCAACCATAAAAGATTCCCCAGAGAGACAATATAAAATTTTGAGAATTTCCCAAAAACTTTAATCTAAACAAGTCCCCCCTCACACAGCCCTTCGAGTTCTTGTTGAAATTAAGCAGCACAAGCTACTCACACATATTACGTCCTCACACCAGAGCAAGTTTAATTTTCACTATCTATCCCTGGGCAAAAAACCCTTGGCCAAATGAATATCTCATGAGGAAATCGAATGAGAGACCTTGCATTCTTTTTCATTACTGCAAAAGCCTCTCGAAGGTAATGTTATAAGTTTTCAGTGCCATTTCACTATGCTTCATAAAGTGCTGGACTACTGCTACAAACTTGCTCGTGCTTTGATTGCTTTTACAATCTAGAATAATCTTGTGTTATCTTGATCCACTCATTTACACCTGCAATATGCCCTCTACTGCTACTAGCTTTCTCGCGTCATCCTGTAGTTGTAATGCACTTCCACATTCTTGACATGCGACAAGCCAAAGTGCGAAAATGTCATGCCAAAAAGCGGGTTTGAGCTTTCAGAGAGAAAACTTGCCTCTCACATTACAGTAATACAGAACACTACATTAATACAACAAGCACGCATACACACAAGCAAACAACACACGCATGCAGTAATATGCAGGGCAAATAATTGGAAAAAGCACCGTTCGTGTCATAGCCTAGTTTTTCAAAGAAAATGATAAAGACTACCATCTACGCAATACGCACTACCACCAAGTGTACAGTACCGAATAAGAAAATACTTTTTTTTACGCCCATGTTATTACCAATAAGTAACTGTGCCTATGACATATGCTGCATCTATAGTACTAGCTTGATTGCTTACACAGCAAACAAGCCACTGAAACAGCAAGTAAAGATGAACTACACAACGCAAACATAGGTTGTACACCAGTGCACTAGGTGCCTTCTATGTTATGTAAACAGACAGACCAGGTCTTTCCCTGCGTGTTACTTTTCACTATAACTACAATGCACTCCATTCGATCTTATAGATCAAAGCAGTTCAACACGTGAGACCAGAGTCGCTGCAGCTCCCTCTTTTACTTGTCGTGTGTGCTGTTTCAACCAAAGATGAACCATCACAAACTAGTAAGCAAAATATCAGTGAATGAACTGAATGACTTATCAGGGGGGTTTCTCTCTTTTAATACGACAAAATGATACTTTGAATTATGACAACTCATCTAGCTAGGTCGCACACAATATCCTATTTCGCATTGCGCCATGAAAATTTTTAAGGGCTGGAGTCTGACTCGCAGTGCACTAAAGGGCCCCTCACTAGATTCATCTGGAAATTTCGATTGCACACTAGACTTCGTAAATTGCTGTTCAGGGACAAGTGCTGGTAAAATATTTATTTCCAAGGGCGAAGTGGTGGTCAAGACCCAACGAAATTGATTGGAAGAAGCTGAGCGAGCAACCCATCCCACCCGCAGAAAAGGCCTTCTTCTGTTTCAGAAATAACTTTGAGCAAGGTTAAAATTGCAGAGAAAAAATATACACAAAGATTTTCACACAATCTTTTTTTTTCCTGCAAATTTACTCATATGCCACACCCTTCATAAAAATTTGAACTAGCTAATCCAATACAGCACCCTCTCCTGCTCCTTTGACAAGTACTCACAAACATTCTTCTTCCACTTTTATTGCACATTCTCCACACACATTATTCCACATTCTCCTCTATTGTCCCAAGTTTGAACTGTTGTCTGTTTGTGGTACCTCAACCTGGTGAGAGGCCCTCTGAAATAATCTAGAAGTTAAGCATACACTTAAAGGAGAAGTCTCGTGTTATATCATACTTTCAGAAGCACTCCTATATTAGATGGCACAGTATACAAGAAGCAACTACACTGTAATAAGCAGTGATACAGCTCAAATACTTATTCTCATCCACATGTGATTTGAAGCGCTTTAGAAAAAACCTGAACACTTTTGCAATGTGTGACACATTCATAAATGTATAAGCTATAACTAACTGAAATTTTTTTAACGATGCTTTTAAATGTGAAGTGTTTTTCATACTGAAGGTATACCAAAGGTGTATTTGTTAAATGTTAAGTCTGCTTATTACAATGTTAGCTGTTCACCATACCTACACAGTAACATATGTAAAGAAGAGATACAAAAATAGCATGTTCTAAATTTTTGCGCAATGCTCCCCTAATTCAATGCCTACAAACTAAAAAAGAAAGTAATCAAACGACTAGGTAAGCACTAATCTAGTACTACAGGCGTATGATAAAATATTCACAAACGTGGTATACTCGAGCAGCCACATGCCCACTAGGCCAACTACCACTACGAGGAAGCAGCAGAGAATGCTTAATACTCACGCCGCCCGCTTCCACCTCACTGTCAGAGACGGCCGAGCGAAAGGAGGCGTTGCTTCCACCACGCGACTGGCGAAAGAAGGCAGGGTTCATGGTCACGCTGCCTGTATCGCTGACATTGCCGCTGGGCACCGTCAAATCCGAGCCCTGGCTTGTGCCGGCGTCCGACACCTATGCAGGGCCACCCCAGACACAGGAGCGGGCTCTTGGTTCACATCATGCGCTATGATTAAAACTCACTCTACCCACCACCACCACACAAGTGCCAGCTAGGAAGCGTGAAGAGATGACAACAGGCAAGCCACCAGCCCAGCTGAATGCATCCGCCCGTATGCATTCAGTGAGGACAAGTCATGGGGCTCAAAAAATCGCTATGTCTTTCCACAATGCATATTTTGTGTCGCACTGCTGGGATATGACCTGGATACAACTCGACTTCCAAGAAATACGGAGTTATATTCAAGTCTAATGTGGTCGCTTGCTATTCATTATAAAGAAACCAACTGGAATAAATTAGACTTTTAGAAAATGTCTCTGACCACTATTACCTTCAAAGGAAGCTGAAGGGCTTTCAAAATTCAATGAAACTTTGGGGTTAGCAAGGACCAACTTTATCGTCGACAGTGTTGCAATTTTTTTTGTGATTGTTGCAGCATGAGCTTTACACTACGCGAAGGAAAAGTTTGTATTGCTCCTCCTACATGAGCGCATTGAAAGTGTGGACATGGCAACCCACGTTATCTTCGCTTCCTTTGGCGAAACTGTGCTGCATTTTAACCGAAGGTACCCGCCGCCCTACTCAACAAAACAGCGTTAGTGCTGTTTCTGTGACAAAGGCTCAAATAAGCACAGCGAAGATGAAATTTCTGCAGCCTATACGACATCTAAAATAATGACGAACAGCCAAGCGCAGCATGAACACGTTTCTCTCGTATCTTCGACCGTGGAATTAACGACTAACTCGGAACGTGCGGTTGCCACTGCTAATTCAGAAGGCCATGCTTCAGCAATGCTGCTGGTGCAGATAAAGTGGCATACCGAGGAAGACGTCACCGCGTTCACTCAGCATCTCAAGAAGTCCTTTGGCGGCAACCTCTGTTTTTTGCCAAGAAGTGCTACCTACTTACATTCACATTTAGGAAATGTCACATTGCTTCTTCAAATTCAGCAGGGATCAAACTGTCCTTACATGCTCTAAAGTCATTGTTTTAAAAAAGTGCCTTCAGCTTCCCTTTAATTGTCTTGAAAGAAAGACGAAAATTTTCACTCATTCTGAATCAAAGAGTGTGCCTAACTGAGTGCCTGTTCGGGACAATTTGATAGATAATTTTTCTTTTTCTTTGACTCACTCATTACACAATGTGGTCAACCGCAGAACATTGAACGTCAGAACAGCCATCCCCGTATCATATATAAGCATACAAATTCGTGGCCAAGTCCAGCAAAACTTTATGCAAGGTGAATTGCTGCACTTTTTGTACTTTTTAAGATACAAAACAAAAAACCAACAAACACTGTGATGGCAGTAATGCGTCAGTCATCGGCACCTTACGTAAGTTGTCATACAAAAGTTACAGTGCTCACTGATAGTTGAGGGCAAGGGACATTTTATGCCTCAAACCTTACAATGAATTCACTCAAGCAACACACAGGCTATAACTTCGAGGAAGAAAAACTGTCAACACTTCTTAAGCAGTCCCCTTTACAAGTACCAGTCAAACAAGGCACTACTAGTATTCTGTTTCGATGACCTGACGAGAACTGTCATATCTGACCAACGAATACCAGCAACGGTACCATTGTGTTTGCTTATGCTTGTCTCGTGCTTGCTTCAGTAAGGTTTAGAAATTCATAATAATGTAGTGGCGACTGTTGTATGATTATGTCAGCAACAAATCGAGTGTTGGGATACAACAAAAGTTGCAGTCCTCAAAGCAAATTCATGGTTAAACACATCACCTATACATTCCATACGCATGGGAAAGACCAGTTACGAATGTGACACCTGATATCAAACAATGTTAAGTGATACCACTTAGTTGGACCCTGATGTATATATAGTATCAGACTTCAAAGAAAATTTAGCAATTTTCAAAATGAGTGCCCCACTGACTAGCAGATTTGAAAAATTAACATGATACACTATAAATCAGGTTAGTCTAACAGACAATAGACTAAGGATCATCGTATACGGTAAACAAAGATACTAAACTTTTTCACTTTACTTCTGTGCATGCAATGACACATAAACGATGAATGACTGTTTAGCATACACAAAGCAATTTCAGGAGCAACAGCTACTGCTTGGAGAAGACCGGCTTGGAGTTGCCCTGTTCTGGGGCCTGTAAGGTTTTTTTTTGAATAAAGAATAAAGAATAAAGAATCACTGGACGTTCAAGTGACGCTGATTGTATCAAAGGGACTACCTTTCTTGCTAATCCTATGCATGATGTAGTCTGGAGTTCACTGCCTCGGTGAAAACAAGAAGCACTTGGACAGGTGCTTGGAATGAGGCACAACACAAAGAGGGAAGACGAGACATGTATTCCATTTAGAGCCCTCACAGTTCACCAATGCTGTTGACATCATGGCCCTTCGACTAAGGCTGTTTGCTGCAGAACTAGCACAAAGAAATTAAAATCCCCGTCGTTTCTTTAAAGCGATGACTACTCTACTCAGAACGCCATAAGACCACCTCTGTGGCACATATCCATGCCCATGAAGTAAGTGCAGACAGCTGCAATGACATATGCATGGCCTATGCACTGATGAAAGGCACACATCATAAGAACTCAAAAAAGCTTGTTTGTCCTCTGGTAGCCTACAATGTGTACATCAGGGAATCAAACTACCATGGGGCAATGTGCGACTCTCGCCTACCCGCTCATCTCATTATGGATTCAATAGTCTTGTCACAATCGCAAGGTTTACAGTCACAGCCAGTTATTGGTATTTCCTAATACTGCACAGTACAACCTGGTATATAAAGGAACACTGAAGGCAAATAACATTTCATGTCATAGTGACAAAGTATTAGCTAGGGGCAATCAGTACTGCGCAGGAGCAGATATTGTGTTTCAACGAACTGGTGCCTGTTTTCACTCAATAGCAGATCTACATACAAATGCGCACATATGTGTTGGCAAAAGCCGAAAAAGCCATGTTCCTTGTTGAAGATTTGATACTTTGTTATTGCCATCTTTTGCTATCGCATGATTGTGCAAAAGAGCCGGATTTTTTAGTGTTGTGAGTTTTGCCTGGATTCTTACGATAAATGGTCATGCTGCATCACTGCTCTCTTTTTTGGTCGATGTGCATCAATAAGCTTACTTATGATGCAGGATTATTCTAGTGGTCCCTCAGGTTATGTTACTGTTAAAACATAGAAACACAGAATGGGAAAACTCACAATGTAATAAAGCTTGATGCTGCAATTATGGCTTCATTATACTAACGTTCTGCTCTATATTTTTAGAAGTAGTCTCACTTGATTGAAACAATGCAGCAAATTATTTATTTCTATAAGGATCTGAGGACGAATTTCATTTTGCTTGTCATATTCATTATATATATCACTAAATCCTATTTTGCTATTATGAGGTACCAACTAGCTGTAAAATAACAAGCTACGCAAAATAATCAGAAGAGCCATAACATGCAAAAAGACTCCTGGAAGTGAAAATTTTTCAGTAATGCTATGCGTTCCTAAACAGAGTCATACTTATCCTACATGTACAGTGAAAGTTCGTTAATTCGCACCTCATTAATTCAAACTCTCAGGGTAATTTGAACTGATGGTCACGGTACGACCACGACACAGTTAAGCCTCCTTTATAAGAGACAAGCACTAGGAAGGCCCCGCCGCGATGGTCTAGTGGCTAAGGTACTCAACTGCTGACCCACAGGTCGCAGGATCGAATTCCGGCTGCGGCGGCTGCATTTCCGATGGAGGGGGAAATGTAGGCCCGTGTGCTCAGATTTGGGTGCACGTTAAAGAACCCCAGGTGGTCTAAATTTCCGGAGCCCTCCACTACGGCGTCTCTCATAATCATATGGTGGTTTTGGGACCTTAAACCCCACATATCAATCATCAAGCACTAGGAAGCAATTTTGGTCTTTTATACGAGATGCTCCATATAAGCAGCGTACCACGCACGCATTATCTTATCAACCCCTACTTCAATGTAGGCACAGTGGTGTCTCTTATAACCAATTGTCCGTTACATTAATGTCTCACAAATGGCTTAGACTGTATAGGCATCTGTAGGTTAACCATCTCATTAGTTCACGCGCACATGGGCTCCTCCATTAATACTTTGAACTGCGCCACTGCATGGTGGTATTTTATACTGCTGCAGCAAGCTTCTATGGCTCAGCGATAAATGGCTCCGAGCGCTGAGCACACTATAGTCGGACACGCAACGTCAATGCTCTCACTTTTCGCGTCATGTGGTGGTTTGTGCCATACGTGTCTGTGTAGTCTCCGTGTTCTTTGTGTGCCACACATCCAGTCGCTAGGCCTCGTGTACATCAGAGCTACGAAGTCGTTCGGTGCCGCGAGTTTTGTACTACGTGCAGTGACGGTGTAGCCAGGTCACGGCAACAACTGTTGCCAATTGCTTCCACTACAGTGGCTTTTTTGTGCCCAATGAGGGCACAGCTTCCGAGTAAAACAAGTGCGAGGACTGAGGTCATTCTTGCTGGACTGCGATGCGCTGGAGCATGTGAGCTTCGACAACTATGTCGATGCAGATCGCAGCGCAATGGTCTATGGCACAATCACCGACAATAATATCATCGCGCAAGTGACTAGCGGAGAAGCACTTGCCATCGATGTAGGTGAGGATGATGAAGAGGATGAGGCGCTGACGTGGTCCTCAGCCTCAGAGCTAATGGAATTATGCGTGTCGCGTGCCTATTCTTCAGCTTCGAGGAAGGCGAGAAGAATGTGTTCTGCGACGTTTACATGTAAGAAAACAAGACTATGGCGATTGAAATGAAAGAAGAGAAGCGGAAAGTGATCAGGGATCATTTTTCCAAATAAATATTTTGAATGATTTTTTCAACAACACGGTCTCAATTCTTGCAGTTATTTCAATAAATGTTGTTAGTTTGAATTTGGTTCAATTTGAACTTTATGAACATCCTTATGAAATTCAAATTAACGAGCTTTTACTGTACTGGAAAACCACACTAAAAGCCCATACAGGTTTGGTCAAATGCACGGGTGCTCTATTGCAATACTGCAAGTGTATATGGGCTATTATGATTTATTAATAAGGAACATTACATAACCGAACTTTTCAAGCAGTCTAGACAAAATACCAACAATTAGAGCAAATATTGTAGCGGAAGCTGTAGTACTATTCGGTGCATACGATGCTTGAATAATTTTCTGCAGATGCTACTCTCGAGACAAAACTCATTCAAATGTTCACCATGAATAAATGTAACAGCTTAAGTCAAAACAGCTTACTCATGTGCCCCACACACGTTCGATGGTCGTCAGCTTAATTGAGGTGCCAATAATTATCAGTTTATCACACAGTGCGTAGGCAAGCTGCAGCGAAAAAGAGGTGCTTTTTCCAAAAAGTGTGCATGACACAGCAAAATGTTTTTCTTTCTTTTCCCTCTGTCTCTCTTTCCCAAGTCGGAAACAAAGGAAGAGACAAGGGTGAGGTGCCACAAGACAACGTCCATGCAAAATAATGTAGGCCTTGGTGTGATCACTTGTGCAAAAAAAAAAAAAAAATCACTGGGTGAATACAACATTGCACCAACTTTTCAAAGCACCAAAAGCCACAGAGATAACTGTGCAAAAGGCACCTCAAAATGTAGAGGCAAGAAAAAAGAATAGAAAGATAAAAAATGTGGAAAAAGAAGCATGCTTTCTCCACAAGGCATGTGTACCAAGATGGGTAACGTTACTTATGTACAACGAGCTGTGATATAATTACTAATAAATACACATGTAGAACGTGACAAAAACTCGCTGCCAGATAAAAGCTTTCACTGAATTTAGCGAAGTGCCTGCTTAACTGTACTGTGCTAGCTAAACGAAAAGGATAAGGTCATATTCATCATTTCCAACTTCAGCTGTAGGACACAAAGTCGGGACCAGCCTTTAGACTACCACAGTGCTTCCAAGAGATTGCTATGCCACAGTACACACAACAACCCTTAGGGGTTAGCATGGTGTGAATTATACGAGGCACACCAATGACAAACAGCATGTATCACAGATGCAGAACATCTGGTGACACATTTGTGATGATTGATCAGCCAAAATAGTGGGAGCTGCGTTACTACACTGATGCAGATGAAGTTTAAAGTCAGGAATCTTTATTTTGCTGTGTGCATCATAGAGTACAGAATCAATTGGAAGTGTCCTGAATAGAACTCGACATTCGCGTGTCATTTCTAGTATGCAACAGTGTGCTCATCTACGATCACAGATAGCAACTCGCTACTACATTTCACGTCAGAATAACAGCTCCAGGAGCCGTTTCAGGAGAGCTTTCTAGATTTCAAGGATTTCTTGTGTCAGCGTCAGATACGGTAATTAGTAAAGAACAACCACAGTTTGCCCTCTTCCCTAAGAGTCCTGAAAAAGCACACTCCAATGGAAAACCCCAGAGCAAAAGAAAATGCATGTCTGCAAAACCACTGCTTCTCGATCGAACCCTGTCTCAAAACAAGCCCTGCAGCTCTCGACGTCGAGTCTAAAAACAAAGCTCAGTGCCAAAGGCGAGCATGCACACCTCACCACAGCTGACAAGAAGCGGGAAACGGACACTGACAGACAGACAATCCAGAAGAATGAAAGTCGAGGGGGCCGAGAAGGAAGAGAGAAAAGAAAAAGCATCGCAGGTTCGCATTCACTTATCGTACCTCCGAGTCGATGCTTGTCAATTTTGAGAGGACGAGCTTTTTGGCATTGAGTAGCCCCCGGAACATGTCTGATGGCTCGTTTGAATGGTCGATGCTTCCGGTAGAAGGGATCACATTCATCTGCGGAAGTGGGTGCTGTTGGTGGGGTGGTGGTGGTGCGTGCTGAGACATGTCAGTCAGGCCTGGAATTAAAGAAAAAAAAAGACCGCAGCATGTTCCATTTAATGAACGGCTCACCACAAACTCATCATCAGAGCAAGTGAGAACTAACGAAACCCTTGCGCAACCCAAAAAAATTGTGTTTGCAAAAAAGACGGTAACCTTGAGAGTGTGCTGAGCTTGAAGCCAAAAGTGCTGCAAAACATAGTTGATGCAGCGCTGAAAGAAGAAGACGCGGAACTAAAAAGTGCAAGACGAGCACTCGTCCTGTGCTTTCTAGTTCTCTGTATTTGTCTTTCAGAGCTGCATCGATGCAAATATGTATTTCAAGCTAGGCCAACTTCCCATTCTACTGCTACGAAAATTAAGAAGGCGCAGCTCATCAGATCATGAATTACCATTTAGATCAGAATTTCAGCACCACCAGGAGTGCAACAGCCAAAAAAAATTGGCCCCGTTTTTGCATTTATTCTGCAAATGTCGTCGAAAGACGATAGTCTTGCATGTGGAGAGAGTGAACAAAACATTTATTTGATGTTGTGCTCAAGAAAATCGGTGAATGGTATCGTGGAGGCACTGCGTTAAGTGTGCCTCAAACATGCAGCGGAGGCGAACGACCGCATCAAGTCACGTCACACGTGAGACGTGACCGCCATCTGGCAGTTTTTTTCAAAAACAAAGCGCATGGCTCTGAGACGGGTGTGCGCGCCCGCCTCAAGGTGATAAGGTGTAGAACGCAAGGCGACGGGTAGGTGCCACCACCGTCTCGTTTTAGCAAAGTGTTGGAAACACTCGCCTTTCCGTGCAAGCGTTGGATGGTCAGCGCAGCGTGATAAGCGCTGCGGTCCTTAAAATTGCTTATGTAGGCCTTTTCTAGTAAAAGGAGTACATGCAGAATACATACGTGTTGTTATGGTGCCCCAGACGCGCGCAATAATCACTTTTTAATTGACAATTTCACAAGTATGAACGCTGCATCTTGAGCGACATAGGTTGGTGCTGCGGATGGGGTCGGCCGTTTCAAATACCCGATGCTATCAAGAGTGAACAAACAGACAAATGTACAAACAGACAGACAGACAGACAGACAGACAGGCAGACCAAAATTTTTGCGTCGAAAGTCCCCAAAAAAGACTATGGTCTTTAATAGATTAAGGAGCAATTTTAGGAGCAGCAAAATGTTACTCTTGGAGCACTAAAATCCAAATTTGGAGCAGGTTACGGGAAAAAAAAACATTCCTTATCATAAAGCAGCGAATTTGGAGCAGTATAAGAAAGAAGGCTTACAATTAAAAAAAAACTGTTCAAAACATTCAACCCACCTAAACCTTGCAGAGTGAACATGAGCAAAACTATTTCAATAAAGTGGTATTCTGAATTACCCCACTGAGCTAACATTAAAGTCCATATTAGCATTTGCCATGCCTGTCGAATCCTTTGACAGACTCTGCAAAGGCTGAATGTGGATATACCGAATTAGCAGCCTTGAAATCCGAGCGATTCCTAAAACCGAGAAGGGAGGTGGCAAAAAAAAAAAAAAGTTTGCCGCACTAGTTTTTTTTTTTTTTCTATGGGCAACAGGAATGTCATCTGCTGGTCCAAATGATTGCCAGTAACTTTCTTTGACTTCAGCGATCATACTAGTACTCACAATTATGTGGCACATTGACGTATGAGTAATTGAACAAAATGTGCTGTGTACCGTGACTACAGCTAACAGCCCCTTCCAAATCATAACACTTTTCCGCGTGACGTGTACTGCAGAAAAGGATGGCTTAAGCAGCAGCTCTGCGCGGGTTAAAACAAGGTCAAGCAATTTTCGAACCGCTTCACACACCCTCAACTCTACCCCCACTCTTTTCTTTCTTTCTTTCACGATGAGATTAGGCTTAGCCACAACTTCTCGGCTCACTTGCGGGGCCAATGCGACCAGATAAAGTAGCAGAGGCACATGCCTGTTGGCCCGGCGACGGCCCCAAATATATATTGCCAAAACGACATAAGTTCAAGCCAGAAAAATATTTGTGTCGTTGCTATGGACAACCAACATGGCAGCTGGCAATGACGACATTCGCAGCATATCGATCTTGTTCGCGCGCGGAAAATGCGGCATACGTTCCTAACATGCCATAAGCACCTGGGGACTAAAAAATTCATAATTTCCACAAAGCATTGATAAGGCTACGGCAAAGCTTTTTTTTTTTTCGCTTGACGTTCCATTGTACCGGCGATAGGTATCCGCTGTGATCAGTGGACCGATGAGCGCACGACACTGTTACTTTATATATAGTTTATTGGTCGATTGCACCTTGCGAGTGTCCTCACCTAACGAGTTATAACACTGTGGTTTAGGGTTTGGGCCTGCGTGCTTTGTTTGATTGATGATGTAAAGTGCAGGTGGCCAATGCTGCCTCAATTTCTCACTAAAATTAGCACACCTGATATAATTTTGAGGCTAGTCGTGAATTTTGGTGCAGGGTTGCTCAACTTCAGCCACACCAATTTCACATTTTGGAGAAGCTCGAACCAACTATAGGAGATTGTATCAAAATGATGCAATTGGCGCAGCTGTTGCGCCCCTGCACAACACAATTGACAAGTAAATGGTAGGCTTGTGGGAATAGAGAATTTTAGGTATGAAGCAAATTCAAAGCAAATAGTGATTTCGGTCAAATAATTTCGAATCGAGTTCGAATAGCAGTACACGTTACCTATTATACGAAAAAATTGGCATATTTGTCGTTATGGAATTAACCTGCTCAATACTTTTTGAAATTTTAAACAAGGCCAGTGCAGATATTCCTTTTGGTTAAAAGAAAGTGGAAACTACATCGGAATAGATAAACTTAAATTTCTGTAGAACACACATGATAACCTGCAAAATATATTACATTTCAGAATTTACTATACTTAGAGCATGTAAGCCAGAATAACAAGCTTTTAAACTTAAAAAACGAAGAATAGACGTGAGGGCAATGTTAATTTAACATTGAGGTGGGGCTTCACGGCAGTGCAGATTTTTCCTAAAAATACTGCGGGACCCTTCAGCTTCAGCTTTAAGAGTTGAGTGCAATAGCGATATTCTGTTCCTAGGGCGTACTTCAAACGCTTAGTGTATAAAATCTTTCGAACTTGCTATGCACCCACTACATGGTCTTAAGGGTGCAGTAGCGTGTGTGCTTTTGTAGTGGGTGACTGGCTTTGAACTATGAAGCCATTGTGATAATCCCATGTTCTGACGCCTGATGGCAATGTATGCTTGTACACCGCATTATTACAACAATATTTCATGTTGTATTGGAAAGCATGTATATGGGACGCATGTGTTTGTAAATCATGAAGGTTACTGTCACTGCATTTCCAAGCAGAGGAAGTGATTTCCACTGTATTCGCAAGCAGAGGCGTGGCTGTGTAGTCGAACACCCGCTTGCTATGCAAATGACCTGAGTTCGAACCCCACTAAAACCCAGAACTTTTAGGGGTAAAGCTCCTTAAAGCGGCACCCGTTCTTTCCTCGTCTCAGTACGTAACATGTCTTATGCTTTGACCTGCAAGGTGGTGCCGGTGGGAGATTTCTCCTGTGCATTGTTGAACAATAAAAAATTCGCAGTGTGCGCGATAACTAAAAGCCGAATTCTCCTGTCTCTCATTCCCCATTAGCAGCCATTGGCACGTACATTGAGCACTATCTGACAGGAAAAGGTTGCTACGCTATACTCGCTGGGCGTAACGTCCTCGGTTTTAGAAAGGTTTAGCGAGCGTTGGGCTGCGGTGCATTGAATACAGTGAACTAGCATATACCATGAACTCGAGGTGGTTAAAGTGGAAAGTACACACGAAGCGCAAGCTGTAAGAAAGCTTGCGTGTGCCACCTCTCCTTTAGTCCTTGGAATGTCCCCTGGATGGCGGTGCTTCTATATGCGGAATATAATGTCAAAAGATGCGAGATAGTGGTACTTGGAGTGTTGACTAGATGGACGAACAGACACACAGACAGATGCATGAACGAACGCACAGATGGCTGCACGGACGGATGAACGCATGATGGACGCAAAGGTGGATTCATAGACGAATGCAGGGACCGACGCACAGATGGACGCACGGACGGTCACACAGACAGACACATGGACAGACGGAAGCAAGAATTAATGGACGGACGGATGCTTCGCCCCACTCTCCATCATTCACCATGTGAATATGCTGCCATTTTTTATTTTTTATTTTAATTGCATTTTTCTTGTTCTGCAAAGATTTTAGATTTTTTGGTCACATAATGATTATGATTTTTCACTCACAACTAATGATGTCGCCGCCGGAATTTCAGCAAAACGAGCTCTTTAACGCTATCAGATTGATAGACAATTTCCTCGCTTACGACCCTTCCACAGCAATTAAACCACCTTTACAAAGGGTTACATACAAACCAATATACACTTAAACAGCTGCTTTCACAGCTTAGCAGACATCCACTGCAGTGTAACCACCTTAATAAAGTGTTACATGTGGACTAATCTACAAACCTGATTGTAAAAAAACTCAATCTTACAAGAAAATTAGTTATATCAGAAAATTCATTATAAAGGTTATTCCTAATGCTGTATCTACTGCAATGCTATTCTTCAATTATTTTTGCTATAACCGATATTTTCATTATATCCATGTTCGTTGTACTGAATTTTGAGTATGCCTATTCGTTCATACGTTGAAGTTATTAACAATTTAAATTTGAATCAAAATGAATTTGAATACAGTAATATTTGCGCAAGCCTAGTAAGTGGCCATCAGGGCTGCTATTTTGTAACAGTGCATTTTCTGACTCCATTGCGTTTCCACATTTTGTAAGTGTTAGAGCAACAATCTGCCCATGTTATCAATAGAATCAGCCGGCCATTAATAGTCGATAACAAGAATATAATTGTTGGAGATTAATGTCCCAAAATCACGATATGGTCATGAGAGATGCCGTAGTGAAGGGCTCTGGAAATTTTCACCTCCTGAGGTTCTTTAAAACGCACCTAAATCTAGGTGCGTGAGGGAATAAGAATGACAAAGACTGGAGCAGAAGGCACTGGTACAAGTGGCCCACCCTTTCTTTGAACTACAATATTTTGGAATGAAGCAAAGCAGATAGGTTATGCACTTACTGAAACGATGATCCACAAGAGAACCGCGATCGAAGGAGCATCTGTCGTCTCTTTGTGGAGAAGCATCCACAGGGCTGTTGTTTCCATAAGTGTCTGCAAAGGCAAGAAAAAACACATTCAGGCAAGGACCAGATGTGACAGATACTTTGAAATTGCCAATTCATTAGACTCTCATTAAGTGGAACCTGAAGAGACCAAGACAGTATGTTCAATTTAACAGAAGTTTCGTCCACTGGCAGATGAACAAGGGTGCAAAATACGAGTACAAAACCAACCATATCACAGGCAGTTGTTCTATTTAGGCAGCAATTCTATTTAACCGATTTCAATTTACTGAGAGTCCACTGTAGTTTTAAAGTTTAGATTTCAAGACAGCAAACTTCTGCTATGGAGGCTCAGTGTGCAGAGGTAACAAGTGTGCTTCAGGGACATAAGGATAAGCTAAAAAATTTAATTGACCACTGGCACTGTTTCCACTATCTGCTAAGAGAATCTGTTGTTAATTTGCTTGGCTAACACAATCATCAACGTCTTCGTCAGCCCATTTTAGGTTCACTGCAGCATGAGGGCCTCTCGCAATGATCTCCAATGTGCTCTTTCATCCTGCTGATTTCATGGAGAGTCTTTGAATTACAACACTTTTTTTATTTCTGTATTCGGGACAACTGTGGCGAATCTTCAATTCATTCACTCATTCATTTATTGTTTATTCAGACAGAAAAATATTGCCTAGATTGAAGGGACTAAAGGCAGATTACCTTAGCCTGACTAAGGTCCTCTCTACGCATGCATTTGCTCAGAATACACTGGAACGAAAAATATACATATTTTCTTTTTTTTGGAGGAGGGGACCTGCAGGAGGGGACCTGCAGGAGGGGGGGCGTGCTACAGTCAAATACCTTGCTCATCTTATTGAACCGCTGGCGAGGAAACGCCACCAGAACACTGTAATCCTCGTAACATTGTCACGCTCACCAGATGATGCTGTGATGTCATCTGCTCTCAACGAGTCTCCTGGCTGTCTGTTCAAGTGTTCACCACTGCCAAATGGTGTAGTGTCCTACAAAACGAAATCATGCGCACAAGTTATGGGTGGGCAACTGATCCTGAACAGCAGCGACATGCTTCACAGTAGTGAACGAGTAAACGACAAGCACACGAGTCTTACGAACTGAAATCGATTGAGCCAAATAACAAAAAAAAATAAAAGATACGCAAATACCGTATTTACCGAATTCCAAAGCGCCCGGGATTCACATGACCTGATAGTAAGCTCTGACTGTAACGCGTCCCCGTGGTCCTTGTCCAAAAAGAAAAAGTAACAAGCTGTACATGCAATTTGCACAAACAAAACTGGGCAAACGTTTTGTTTGTTCACCAGCTCATTTCCAAGACGTGGAGATCTTCCGGCTTGCGGACCATGGCAGCCTTTACTTCAAGACTTGCACTTGATGATTCAGCTTTCGCCAGTCGCACGTGCAGGTATAGGGACTGCCAAAATGACAGGCTGCACTCCTGTTGGCACTCTCTCCTTCGTGCAGAATTTTCGTTTAGGGCTACTGTCATGGCGAACTCAACACGTATTCTCGGCTGCTGCATCCATTCTTGAACAAGACATCTGGCAGATCACACAGCGATGGGACAGGACGCAAGCAATTTCAAATGGCTCTAGCGACTCAGAAATCAACAGGAAAACATGATACTGTGGTTGCCAGAAACAAATGAGCGGTCACACTGCATAACAACGAAGACAATGGACAGCTGTGGGGCAGCATCAGTTTGTATTTGAATTTAATGCGCATAAAATTTTAAGGCTTGCTTTTCTCGAATTGAGGGTGCGCTTTACAATTAGGTAAATACGATATGTCATGAAGCGAAAAAAAAAAAAAAAAGACTGCTTACTGAGCTACGGTTGTTACATCGTCCATCCTGGGCACAGAGGGAGTTTTTTCGTGAGGATGCGGCAGAGTGGTCCAGGAAGCTGCTAGGCTCTGTGCTTTGCGGCCGAAAGGCGGCACTGATGGAACCACGGGTGCTGCTGCTGACGCTCTCCTGGGGACCACGACCAAGAAAGAGCACGAGAAACGAGGTGTTACGGAAACAAGAGGAAGCGCTTTTACGGAGAGTGCTAGGACATGTAACACCAATGCATTGTTCTACGGGTAAACCTGTATTCAATTAAGTTGATGGTACCATGTAATTACCCGGTTCAATCAAGACCTTGAGCACAAATAAATATGGAAAATAAAGTAGTTCAACAATAAAACGAAAGAAACCATTTGCAGCCTGCATCAGCACCTGACTGTGGAATCATTATGTCAGAATCATCCTGCAATGCCATGCTCAGTCTAGAATTTTATCACAGTGTACAGAAATGAAAAAACTTTAAACAAGAGAGAAAGAAATAAAGAAAAAAAAAACACAGGTCACACGGCACCTGCACCTCAGCATTTCAGTGTATCTCCCAATACAGCAGTCTCTCTATCTAGACATGTGACAACATTATTGAAAAACTGCCTACTATTCTTTTTGGCCCCACAGTAAAAGGCCACCAGAATTAAATGGTAGCCTTTTACAGAGGCAAGGACCGTTTGAACCACAAAGTTAGGAAATATAAAAAGTAGTACCAACTTTACTACTGACTTTTCACTCATTCAGACAACGAGCAGAGCTTATGTGGAGCATGAAAAACCTTCAACAAGGGCGTGCCAATTTTGCCATCAGAATAAGAATGCGAGCTGCCAATCTGAATCCTTACCTATCATGCACTAAAACGATTAATGCAGTATCAGTTGTGTACCTGCATGCCAGCCTCAGCGCTAAGGTCTTTGGTCCAAAAGTGTGTGTGGGCGATCTCCAAGACCTGCATGGCACTGGCCATTCCCCCCATGCCACAGTTGTTGTAGCTGTGCTCCAGGCCTCCAATCACCAACTGAAGCATCCGCAGGGTTCCCTTATACACTGCTTTGGAGATCATCTGGCATGATACAGGAAGAAAAAGACAGGCACGTGTTTCACAAGATTCCTTTTCTTCTAAACCACTATTACTAGGGTACCAAAATTATAAATAAATAGTGGGCATCTATGCTTTCGTTTCTCGCAAATGCAGTTTACCGAATGGCTAATGCATAAATTCGAGGCCTGTGTGAACAGCAAATTTTAGGCTAGAAATGAATTCGAAATGAATGGTGACTTGGTCAAATAATATTGAATTGAATTCGAATAGTATATATCATATATTATAAAGAAAAATGGGCATGTTTGGTCTGATCCAACTCAACTGCAAAACATTTTTTTTAATTGAAACATGGCATGAGAAAATGCTAGTCTTGTTGGTTCAAAGAAGTGGAAACAACTTAAAATAGTAGCAGGACTTGACTTTCAGTAGAATGCCAGGGATAAAATGTAGAATACATTGCATTTTAAAATTTACTACATATACTACTTAGAGCCTATAACCCGGTATAACAAGCTTTTAAACTTAAAAATAATGAATCAATCAAATTGAGGGTAATATGTTCATTCAACATTAAAGAGGGACTTCTTGGCAGTGCCCATCTCCCCTGGCTAGGTGTTTTCACCGCTTAGCACCCCCTCCACCACGGTAAAACCACCCTTACAAAAAGTTCCGTGCATACTAATATAGTACATCTATTCATTTTGAATACTTCAAAATTTACAATAATTTAAATTTGAATGGAAATAAATTCGAATACTGTAATATTCATACGAATATTCAAGCCGGTCGTATATTCATAAAAGCTTAATAAATTCCTTCAGCCCCAGTAAGATGCAACCTGAATACCTCGTAAAAGACTATGAAGCTGCTAAAGAAGCATCATTGTTCACTCAAGAATAGCATTGAGAAACTAATTCATGTATATATTTAAAACTGAAATGGAGGCTAGCACCACATTTTTTATGTACACAATATAATTAACACATGGCACATTAAAACCTTAATATCTTAGATTATAGATCGGTTCAGATATTTCTTTGCCAAAGTATCACTTTTTATCTTCCCACCTTATCTCAAAAAGCTTTTGCAGTAGAGTCTGAGTACCTCAAAATAATGACACTGAAAACATCCTATAAACAAAAACGTCATAGAGGCTTCTACATCATTTGTGCAATTACAATGTCACTGAAAAAAATTAAAAAATAGAATTATGCATTAGATTTAGCTGCACCGTATGCAGAAAGCCATTTTTCCTATTCTGCTTATCTTGAAACTTCGTTCACATCCAATTTTTTTCCAGTTTTCAGCAAATTTTTGGAGAGCTTTACTTCAGACGCATCAATACCACCCAGCAGGGTGGTGTAAACGTACCACATCCTTGATGTGACCGTCAGGACCAACCCTTCGCTCGAGGGTGCGATTGAGTCGCAGGACTACTACGTTCCTGTAGCTTTCATCCTCCATGAGACGTGCAATGCGGTTCTTCTTGAACCACTTGATGCCTTCGCCGTTCACCACAGAGTTTAGCACCTCCTTCAGGAACTGCTGGTTGTCGCTGCAGTCACAAAGCTTAGGTTACAAACAGCACAGCACAACTGGCTTGCAGTATGTACGCATTACTCAAATCTTGTCACCTGTACATTCCATATGCTAAGCCATTCTGTGTATTGCTGTTCACGTTCTCATAAACTGAGCTTGGATAAACATGAACTATATCAGGTAAACTCAATCATGCTCAGCATCATTTGGCACCAAAAACATGCCTGGAACTCTGAGAGAGGCATGTCATTATAAGCCTGCTAGCTCCCAGGATCAAATGCAAGAACACTGCTGCCTTTTTGTGAACATTACCGATTTAAGGATGGTGAGCAAAGGAAATCATGTAAACCACCATACATTGCTGAAAACCATAGCCATTGTCGAATGGAATATGTTACCAGCTGATTTAGTTGGCCGCAAGACTGCGGATTCTCTCTATGAGTCACTGTGCCCCCCGCAATAATGCCAAGATGGCGCTGCGGGTAATCTTCAAAATAAAAAAAATAATAAAAAAGACAGGTTGCTCAAAAAATGAGTTTGAATATATTTTAAGGTGGGAGCCTTCACTTCAATGATTAGTGCTAAGTTTGTAACGCAAAAGCTTGGCTGAAAAGAACAGGTTGCTCAAGAAACTGTTTGAATTTGATTTAAGGTGAGAGACTTCACTTCAGTGATTACTGCTAAGTCTGTTACACAAAAGCTTGTAGAGGAATATGCGTACATGCTATAAAAGATACACGTAGTATATGCGTACAAAACACATGCGTACATGCTAAAGCTGGCCTCAAGATATTTGAAGATATCATTATTGAACTTTCTCCGGACTAGGCACACCACAGGCACTTGCTGAGGTGTCACTGAGGAATGCTTTTCGGAGTAGCACAATGAATTACCAGATGTGCCTACGTATATAGCCATTATTCTTTGTCATAAATACTAATAGTAGGCAAAGTCAAGCGAGGCTTTTCAGCACAAGCTTCTGTGTATGAAATGAGGTGATAGGATAATGGGAGTGGGAACCAGCAAAAAGGAAACAAAAAAAAGAGAGCAAGCATCACATCCACCCACCTCTGCGTTGAGGATTGTTCCTCGAAGGTCTGCACAGAGCGCGGTTGTTCCTGGGGTTGGACCCTTCTTCCCTGCTGTGGTGTGATGTGCTTGATGAGCGGGGTCCGTTCCACAGGGCCCCTCCTTCCCATGTTAGCTGGCGCGTGCGGCATCAGGGGACGCATCATGCCAATTGTTAGTAAGGTTAGTATTGCAATAGGATGGAAAGGTGGGCTAGTTGGTAATTCATGATGGTTCAGCAAACTGGGAGCGCGGGGGTAAACACATTCATAATTCATAAATTACATTCATAAATTGGCACATGGACTGAAAAGTGTGGGGAACAGGTTTGGATGTGCGCGCTTTTCTCTCTGCACCAAATAAATTAGGCCGTATATGCGCCATGGTGCATAGGAGGGCGCAGGGCACGTCAAAAAGCAGAGGATGTTTGCAGAAACATGCAAAACATTTTCTCAAGTGTGTTTTAGGAGTGGTGTATAGCATACCGCTAACGTGCGGTTGCATGTACATCGGCCAGACCGGGCGATGTTTGAACATACGCCTCAGGGAACATTTGAATTCCTTGAAAAATACTCCTTTTTCTGTTTTAGCTTCACATTGCAATTCCTGCAAGTGTCAACCGTTGTTTGAAAAACAAGTGTACTTTTCCGGCATCCGCTTCAAACCACGCGTGAAATTTCCGAAGCATATCACATTTTTCGAAATAAGAATCATTGTATTAGCCATCCGTCTTGACTACTTGACTGTGAGTTTAACTATATTGATAATTCGTAGACAAGTGCATCGAATGAACGCCACGCTTGCTGCTCTCACTATCATCCTATTTTTGACGTGCGCACCCTTGTGTACTTATATGCCCTTCAAACGTGAGAACAAACCAGTAGTTAGTTGAGCGCTCGTGCTGTGTGCCTCTTCTTTGCTTTGTGTCTGTGTTTACCCCGCGCTCCAAGTTCGCTGAACCATGAAGATTAGTATTGTTAGTCAAACAATGGGACCCAGGCACACGTGCAGAAAAAACATAATTGTTCCACAAAGCATGCAAACGGCATGCTCCCTTCACTATGATGTGGGATACAGCATGAAAGCTACAAACCAGTATAGGGGAACAAAAAGCAACACATATGAAGTCTTATGAAGTGCATACAGTGAAGTACTTCTAAATTCATTTGAGTCCTGTGCTCAATTTGTGATTGTTCGTAGCCTATAATAGGGGGAAAGATTCGATTCTGTTAGTGTGGATGTGTCTCTTCCTAGGACACATTTTCACCGTGCAATTCTCACATCTCCTGTAAGTCAGCTTCAACTCGTGATGTTTTCTATGCAGAGATCAGCATAGCTGCGAAGTCGCGTGAGAGTCGGCACCGACACTCCAGCGGTGGCGCTAGCCAAAGATGAGCTCATCTGGGTGCATGAAAAACTGGGTTTCTTTTTTTTTTGGCTGGCAATTGGCATTGTGCCCAGCGGACTCTTTGCACGCTCTTAAGAGAAAGCACGACGGAACTCTCCACCAGGCCCCTTGGATAACATGTAAGCTGGGCTTTCTGGTACGGGCTATGTATACTCGCTAGATCAAAAGAAACTGCCTGAGATCTCAGGATGTTGCAAGCTAAATACAAGAGTGGTAAAGTCAAAGGGAAATGTAATTATCTCTCAGACCTCAATGAAACCTATTAACATGTTTTTTACACTTCAATGGTTGGTTAAAATCTTTATTCTGCTGCAATATTCATCCGTTTTTTATGGACTACCCGATACATATTTTTACTGCATTTACACATCCACCATTTCTTTGTTTCCATGTACTATGTGAAAAGAGAGGGAAAAAAGGGGCACTCCTGCATTTTTAGTTATTGTGCCCTTCATATCTGTGTTCTTTTTCATCAGAGCCAACAAAACAACACAGAAACATGGCGCATTGTGCAAAAATACAGGTCATGCAGCTTGCATCATGCAAACAAAGAGAGGTAGTCTATTATTGGTATCCTCAGTTTCAAGGTTAAAATGCACATGCCCGGAAACAAGAAGAAGGCGAGTGGAACACAGGTGGCCAAAACATACAAACTAGTTGCAGAAAATTAATGCAGGCAGAAAATAGTGCTCCATTTACCTTTGGGGAAGGGTCCGAATGGAGGTGCTCTTTCCCTACCCTTAACAGCAGCCGACACTCTGTTGCCTGAAAGCAGCAGAGAATGTTGCAAAGCGTCCGATTGGCAATTGAAGCAATTTGGAATGCGGTGCAGAGCACAGAAGAAAGCAATTGAATCCACCTAGTGCACCTACTACAGCAACAAGAAGAAGCACAGACTGACAAAAGGGTGTTGAGCGCATGTCCTTGAGCACAGTGCATATGAAACACCTAAGGTTTCCGCAGAATTAGGTAGAGATGGCTCGAAACATACAAACCTTATCATTTGAATGTTTAAACCACATTCAAAAGTGCAAAAATTTCTCCTGTAGGAAGGACTCCACAAATTCTGCACAAAAGGCTTTGCAGCAGTGTACAGCAGCAGTGATGTTTTGGTTATGAGCAACACGTGGATTGCAGCTTTCACCCGAATACAGCTTTCGCATTTTTGTTCCGATTCCGAACTAGCAGTGAGAAAGCACTGAAACTTGATATAACACTTTGACAGATGCCCATTCACTTGCTATTAAGTTTGCTTACAGGCTGGCAATACTTCTACAGTACATGCTGCGGAGGACTCACAAAATAAGACGAGTTCTCAGAGTACACTTGGCTTTCTGTATATATATTCGAACTAAGCGGCTGGGAAAAAAGACTAACAGTGTTAGCAGCCTACTCATTGCAGCAGATAACAAGCTTTCCGATATTTATAAGCGATGCCATACTTTTATAAACTATTCCGAAGCATTACGACAGGTGTCTGAGATATCGCAAGCATTAGATAAAATCACCTACAATTTGCATATCCTGATTTCTTTTTAAAACTCTGCTATGAAACAGAGACAGTGACAATAAAATGTTTACAGTGCATCTACGATCACAAATTCCTTTCCCTCAACTGCCAACTCTAGCTATAAAGCCAAACAGGCTGATAAATAAATGAACTAGACATGATCTCCAAAAGGAATCTATGTACTAAGGCAAGTGATAAGTTGAGAACAGGTCACCCTCGCTAGCAAACGCGTGCACCACGTCTGTACCACTGTAGTCTAGCACTCTTACCAAAGAGCCCAGAGATGCCCTGGATGACGTTGGAGGTGTGTGCAGCAAAGCCGTTGAGCTCGCTGCTCACAGTGGACATGAGGGAGCCCGAGTCTCGGCGGTGAAACAATGCCGGCTGTGCCTGCTGCTGCTGCTGGTAATGCTGTTGCTGCTGATGTTTGCTGCTGCTGATAATGCTGCTGTTGCTGATAATGCTGCTGTTGCTGATACTGCTGCTGCTGCCCTTCAACTGGTGTCTCGAGAGACCCACTCTCCTGTTTCTCTTTGTCCCGGTCACTCAAGGCCTGCATTCACACACAAACACATGCGCCTCCATGCAAGACTGTTTCTTATTACTAGTCTATGGCAAGAGAAATGTGAACAAAGTGGTTTTGCCAGCAAAGAAGCAGGACTCGCTTAAAAGCTTCTCTGCAAAAAAGGCACCTGCACGGCATCTCACCTAACATTGCCCTTTACTGTGTAAGATGTGCAGAATTATCAGATACACACCCCGGTAGTACTATGAAAGACATTGTTGAAGAGGTTCTCGATTATTTCTGATTGCCCAAGCATTGCGAAAAGTATGCCTAAATCATGGTGCATGGGCACTCATGTATTTTATCTTAATTATCCTAATTAGAACATGGCCATCATGACTGCTAATCTAGTCGACACATGATCAGCAGCTCAATGCTTCAGCCACTATACGACCACAGCTAGTGACATAACTAACAAGACTAGCACAATAGAAAGTTGGGCGAGTTAGTATTGATTCATGATGTCAAAAGGCGCGGCTAAAACGGCACACAGAATGAAAGGGCACAGAGTGACGCGCTACTAGCAATCAACCCAGTTGCTAGTAGTGCAATCGTCTTGTGTCCCGTGTCCATGCGTTTTAGTTGCGCTTTTTATTATCAGGGCTATCTACATATGTCTCTACAAATTCCATGACTTTTACTAGAAACCGCAAGCCCCGAGCTTGGGAAGGGCAGCTTACTGACCTTCATGAGTGTTTTGCGGCCAGCCTCACGAGCCGGTTTGGTGGCCTCCAGAGCAGTGCGGCTGACCTCTGCGGCAGCCTTTGTGGCCTCGCGCGCCACTTCCTTGGCCTCGCGCGCCACAGTCTCAAACAGTGAGCTCTGGCTTCCCTACAAAATAACACGTTCTTTCAGCAGTGGGGCTACTCGAAATCCCTAAGCATAATGTTGAATGCTTATAACATGCTATCTACAGATTGCGCTAGCATCAACCAGCAAGGAATTATGCAAGCCATTACCGTACAAGATGCACATGTGTCGAGCTTGTGAAACCCGTACATTTGTGCAGAACGAAGATGTGTCAGACGTCTGAACATGCTGGCTTGAATGTGGAAATTCTTAAGTGTGTTCTATTAAGTATTAAACCTACTGATGTCTGCATCCATAGCATTGTAGTTACAGTATAAGGCTTTATTGTCGGACATGCCTGTGAAATCTTCAGTGTTGGACTTGCTCATCTTTTTATGTATTGTTTGTTTTTAAATATTCTATTGTGTCACATTCTTCTTTTTTTTTTCTCCAAATTAATTGGTAAGCAGTGCTGCTATAGCGAAAAACAACTGGCACACGCTTTTCCCCCAGTTGCTTCTACTGCTTGGGCATCAAAAAGGCACGGTTCACCACTATGTAAGGAAGTCGCGAATGTACATGCTGCGGCAAAAATCAAAGAAATGTTTTTTTGCGCTATGCGTTGGCATAATGCGAAGCTTATGAGAGGAATGCAAGAATTCAAGGAATAATAATAATAAAAAAGCAGTCATGACAAAAATGAGCACACGTAGTGTCTAGTATTTTTGCATTAGCAGTGTTGAACCAACCTAAACCTAAGAACCATTTCATTAGAAACACAAGGGTGTCTTGGTGTATAAATAAATGTTTGCCAACAAGTACATGCCTGCTAATTATATGCTAGGATTTATATTTGCGACCCCTCACACCACATTTACATGGTTTTTACCTCCGGCTCTTTCATCTGTATGGAATGAAATGAATGAAACAAATCTGGAAGGAATCACTGAATAAATGATGAGCCCTCCAGCCACATTACTTGAATATGTTCACAGAAGCTTTTTAGGATAACCGTACAAATTATTGTAAAAAACAAGAGCAATTGCTTACACTTTTGCCAAAAGAAAATCGTACCAGGCCCTACACATAACACTTATCCCTTGGTGCCAAGGTAACACAACAGCAATGCGAGATGCACATACTATGCAAGCAGTCAAGAAAATATGCAGCACTACTAAAGCAACCTGTGCGACTGAGTTGATCTGTCACTGTCCACGATGGTGCACACGAACATGCAAGTTCCCAGCAATTTTCATCTGTGCGCATTTACACATCCAGCGACACCTTGCGATGAACCCTGATGCTCACCTGGGAAGACAAACCTGCTCGGTTCAGCATGCCTCCTAGGCCTCCGAGAGGAGGGGCACTGCGGGGAGTGCCGCTGCCACCACTGGTGGTGTCAGGCGGTGTGCTGCGACCGCTGCTCAGGCTGCCTCCCGGACTGCGTCCAGATCGCACTGTCGACGGTGTCGGGGGCTCCCCCTCGTTGGAGTTGTCGCCGCCGCCTAAAATGCTAGTGCTCCCTCCGATCCCGCTGGTCTCTGGCCTTGCCTCCTGCTTTCAATAACAGGGACAGAGAATGAGTGACTTCCTTTGCTCCAGGTTGAGGCTAAGGGTCCTGCAACGCTCGGTAAACAGGGTAAGCAGAACTATCTGACTGTCAGCTCACGATAAACGAAAGGACATGCAGACACGGGCATGTGCGAGAATTAAGGACACAATTTTGCTTGTTTATATTTGCACCCCTTGTTCTTTAACATAAATATTGCCGCATGTGCTCCTTTTCTTTCTATTTTTATGTTACTGCCCCATTCCACATGTAACTGCTACCTCGAGCAAGCTTCACTCCGAATGACTAAAAGATATCTAGACAATTTCAGAATTTTCCGATCAGAATGCACACACAACACGGACATTAGAGTTTGTTCTGGAACTTACGTGGCCACTAGCGATAAGGCTGAGATCTTTGATGGCACATGTATAAATGCCGATACGCTTCACTGCTTGACAGAGAATCAGGTGGCCGATGCTCTGTTCGCTGCTATCTCTCCACTACATGAAGTGCTTGTGGTACCTCACCTTTTGATTTTCCTGGCAAAGATTCCCACAAATAAAACGTTTAGTCTCGAACATGTTTCCTGCTTCCTTTGTCAATGTCACAACCCTGTGACATTTAGTGAAGGTGCGGGATACTAACCAGCTAAGGTTTCTGTTATTCCGAGACTGGCAACTAATGCACATCACAGGCATATTTTCAGCGCCACAGTAGAATCTACAATATATTCCACTTTACTCAAACTGAAGATGCAGTCACTTTTGATAGGATGCCCTTACATGGAAACAAACTACAGCCACATGCTACCGATCATCTTATTGTTCCAGGTTGGAAAATATGTATTTTCAGCTACAAATGTGTCTGCGAATTCTGCAAAGAGCAAGTCTGTCAAGACCATTTCTGAACATCCAAATCCGTTTGACAGCGAACACCGGCTTTTGGCTGCACTTACACAACTTCCCAACAGACACACTCTTTTCACACCCAGCGTTTCCAGCGTCCCCACGGCTTGTTCTCGCACTGATCGAGAGAACCACTGGCCTATACGCCACTTCATACTTCTAGCGGTAGACGCATCAACATCAAGAAATACTTCAATGATTTCACCAACTGTAATTTGATTTTTTTCCCTCCTTTTAGACTGCGTAATCAGCAAAGATGCTTTGTGCCTTAGAAATAAACCACAATATTTATACGTTTGTCAATTAGCTGCTCTGTAATGCCTGTTTTCTATCATGGGCTCCTTGATCAGTTGCAGTGACGTGAGGTCAGAACCAATACCAGAGGCCATGTTAATGACGATGACATCCAAACGTTAGATGCGCAGACTTACAAGCACAGCTTCTAGAGCTTTCCACATAATGTATGAGACAAAGTGCACAGCTTCGTGCAACTAGAAAAGCCTCTGATATCTCCATCAGTGCTCTGCTTTTCAAGTAGACCCGCAATTATAAAGTGAATCTAGATTGAGCGTTTTCCTGAATCATAGTTTTTTTATGAATTCTATTAAAAAATATATGAACGAAATTCTGCTGTACTGTGATTCCTTGCCCGTGTAATCATACTTCCCAAAGTAAAGGGTAAGCAGGAAGAAAAAAAGAAAGGCAGACATACCTTAGCACCTGCCTTGGGTGCTTCAAATGCATCTCCAGGATCTCCTTGGGGTTGACCTGTTGGGCTGTGGGAATGATAGAAGATCACACATTACTTTAGATACTGCAAGAATGGTTAGTATTTGTATACTTCCAAGGTAACTGAATGCTGCTCAAATATGTAGCCCAAGTTCACGAACTTTTCAATGAGTGCACAACTGCAGGAGTCCTTAAACAAGTTTCTACCGCCTGAAACAATAGATTATTTGAAAATATTTTTAACATGAATTGCACAAATGTATGCAACCAACTGCACCTAATGTTCCCACTGTACACAAGTTCTGCTTTTTCTGGTATTGTTTACTAGTCAGTTTAAAGGCCCGAACAGTGTCATGCATTGATTGCGAGTGGGGGAAGGGGGACCACTAATAAGAGTTTTCATGATGTCGCTGTTTAGCTAATAGGTGTATTATCAACACGACATCATTTTATGGCCACAGATAACTTGTTTCAACATGCGTTTTACCTGCTAAACTTGCACATGTGTCCCACCTTGAAACTCACAGTATTAGCATTGGCTTAATGCATGCGCGCATCTTCGCGAGTTTGCAGGTGATAACAAAGTGAAGCGAACTTTGCTGCCTTTCAGGGGAGCAGCACTCACCTGGAAAGCGAAGAGCTTGGAGAGGAGGAAGACACAGAGCCGTGTACAGAGTTCTCGGAGTCTGTACGTTTCAGGTTTTGCTGGCTTGCACCTGGAAGCTGGAGAGTCTTGGGAGGGTTGAATGCAGCCATGTAGTCTGCACGATTGAGTATTGCTGCTGATACCTCTTCCATATGAGCTCCACCTGTGAAAAAATGCACAGAAAAAGTGATTAATACATTGAAAACCAAAGGTTTATGTTTTGCCAAAGTGCAAAGCATCCACAGTGACTACTAGCACATAAGCTCCTCTCTGCATCATCGTTCACTTCTTGTCACAAGAATAATTTAATTGCGTCTTAGAATGGAATATTGGGCAAATTCGTAATGCTGCATCTTAAACATCAAAAGAATTTATGGGTTTCAGGTGCCAGAACCGTGACATGATTAGGAGGCCACCATGTTAGGGCAGACTACGGAATAAATTTGACCACCTAGGGTTCTTTAACATATGCTTAAATATAAGTACATAGGTGATTTGTAATTTTACCCCTGTGAAATGCTGCCACTGTGGCCAGGAAGCAGACCTGCTACCTCAAGCTTAGTTGTGCAACACTCTGCCAAGTTACAACGGGAGGTGATGGTCCATTTTCAACCAATTTTGACAGGGACAAGTGAAAGAACAAGTCCTGTATTCAGCACCCTGGGCAAAACTCATTCCAAGAACTCTTTCTCTTTTAGTCTGCATTGTACTTCATGGCAGTTCTATTAGTATTGCATAAGGAAGCTAATTAAGCAGTCAGGATATCGAGTGGACTTGGTCAGGGCCCCAGCAGTTTCAATACAGAAGCTATACTATTTGTAATTAAAAAGAACTGCGCCAACAACAATGCCTTGCATCGAGAATGGCAAAAGTTAAAACAAATTCTGCTCTAAGAAACATTAGGCTTCGCACAGAATGTTTCTGTGATCTTTGCTAACAGTTCGGAAACACAATAAAAAATATTGACCATAAGTAAGATGAGAAAGAAAACACATTCAAAGTTGATATCACGATTATGAAAAAAGCTTAAAATAAATAGCTAGTTCTCATAAATCTTAAAATTTTGCCGTTTGGGGGGGGGGGGGGGGATTTCGGCGAGAAGTAAAAAGAATTTGGTGCCAGAAGTGAGTGAAAAGTGGTCTAAGCCTCACTTACCCAAGTGATCCCCATTGAATTCCACCATATCACAGACAAAGTCGCTTAAGGAAGAGTAGGAGGAGCTCGTGCTGCTGGCATCATCACTGTCGCTGCCACTTTCACCTGAAAGTTGAGAAGAAACAGTCCGTGGCACCACATTAACAAAGTCTCTACTTACACAGAGAAACTGGCCAATCACTAAAAGTGAAGGCAGAAAGAAAAATCAGACAGAGGCAGTTTTACTTAAATTCGACGAATAGCAATCCATCAGTACGTTCAATCGGAAAAACTTTTTTCGATCCCCTATAAAGCTTTTATAAAAGGTACTCTTTCACCGTATCCAGAAAGTTTTGCATGGTTTTGGCAACTAAATAAATGTCCTCAATGCATTTCGCCGTACTTTCACACAGGTCAGCACATTTTTATAAGTGTTGATTCCCACCTCCGCATGATTTTAAAAGATAAGCTCATAACGAAAGGATAAAGATCAGCAAGTTCTTTTCAGTCCCCCCTGCTTTCTTGGCAGTAAGAACTTGCTTCTACATTGTGTAGTAATCAACATTATAAAAGAGAGGAATGTTGCATGCATCTTTGACCAATTTATTTGAGGGTTTTGACTCTGTGTGCCAATGAATTCAAGCACAAGCGATTGCAATGAAAGGACCTTGCAAATGACATGCGCCGTCAGTTTTAATTTTTTGGCACGTATAGTTTATTGTCCATTGGACTATAATAAAGGCAGGAGAAACAGTTTCATGCTAAAAGAACATTCCCTGTAAGCATAGAGCAACATGCGATTTAAATTTCTTTCCCAACGATAAATGCGAGATCAATATTGCTGAGTCATGCCTGTTGCCCAAGGATCCCTACATAAAGAGTTTCTTTTTACAAGCATGAAAATCACACTAGGTGATAACCCCTCTCCCCCCCCCACACACACACACACACAAAAAAAGAGGAAACATGTCACCCCTCATAAGGTAATGTTTTGCAGCATTAAAAAAAAGAAAGAAAAGAAAAGAGAGAGAGAAGAAAGAACACACAAAGAGCACCCTAGTCGCATGCTTCAATGCACAAAAAAAATAATAATAGCAGGCACTATGAGAAAACAGTGCACGGAAAACACCACAAACACTCACCCGTGCTTGCTTCGTCAGCTTGACTTATGGAAGCCATGTCGATGTTGAGCGTGCAATTTTCCGACCACACGTCGAACTGAATGGGTTCTAGCTGGTGGCAGTACCACTTTCCCTTATCTCCTATCACGGCAGGGTCAAACACACCTGCAAGCGAATTGTAAGAAAAAGTCATTATTAATGAAAGCTCGAAGACCAGAGAATCCCTACGCTGATGTTAGGAGAACCTTGCTCGTGTGTACAGCTTGTAAAGTATGCATCATGTTAATGGACAATAAGACCAGAGAAAAATTTGGCAATGTATTACTATGCCCAGAGAACCAAACTGTAGAAATCTTCACTTTAGCAAAGCTGAAGGCCAAAATTATCGTGCTGTAATGAGGTCATAACTGTGTAAGTTAATTAATTACAGTTACTGACTACTGATGCAAACTGCCCAGAAACAAGTTTTCTCAGATCTTTCACTCTTCGAGCTGTCAACACCAAAACTAAGACACATCTTTCTGTATCTGTTGTGCGAAACACATAGCATGGGTCTAAATAGTAAATTCGAATTGATATACAGTCCATTATATTAAGTAAAATATTATTCTGCCTTTTATGACAGCTTGGTAAATGTGGCAGACAGCACCAATAGGCTCTGAATGCATCATAAAAGAACCAGTGAAAATTTCAGCACACCAACACTGAAATGTTTGTAAATATTGCCAGCACTAAACAAAAGATGCACACAAAGGATGAGAAACGTCAGTGCTCGTATGAGTCCGTTTTTCTACAAGTGATAATTAAGTGCCAATTCCACCAAATAGCCTAAGCAATTTGGTGGCTATTTAAATAGCTTAAATAGCTACCAAATTAAGTGCCAATTCCACCAATGCTTGGGGCACATTCCCAAGTTGGCAGAGTTTATGCAACCAAGCACATCTGAGGACCGAGATGTGACTTGAGGCGACTGTTGTTTGCAGCAGCCAATTCGACTAGTCCCTCACTACAGTGAAACATCTTGCATTGCGCTGTTCACGTCAGCTTACACTGCCCCCATTGCTTGAAATACGCACCAGTGGAAACACTAGATGCACTGCTCCCGTGTCACTGATTGGTTAAGCGAAGTTTTGATCAATGTCACCCGACTGAAAAATCAATCACTGAGCGACTCACTTAAAGTAGTCACTTTTTTAACAAGGCGACCCCATACCTCGGCAGGCTGCCAAAGTGAGTGAGCCCGTACACCTCCTTGCATAAAATTATTTCAGCATTTTATTCTGTAAGACTTTTTAAGGGCCCCAAACAACAGAAGCCTACCCGCTTCTTACAAAATTTTGTTATTTCACCAATACCGCATGAACACTACTCAGAGCTACAAGTTATGGTGTGAAAGTTTCTTTTAGTTTTTTTTTCGCATGTGTGTATGTAAAAATCAATGCATTGAGTTTGAGCAAAAGAATACGTGCCTACCTGTATGTACACGAAGAAAAGCAACATTGGTCGGGCAAAGAGACCACTCAGCATAAAATTCAACAGCCTGAAACAAAATGAGGGGTGAGTTACACAAGGAATAAAACATTTTGTTTCTTGTGAGAATTAGCAAACTTTATCGAAGATTCAAGAGAGCAGGTATATGCTTGTAAATTAGAAACAAAAGCAAGAAATATTATAATCACTACTGACTATGAATGCGGACACCACGCTATAACATCAATGCAATAAAACTCCTTCCTCAATATTGTTCTAGGCACACATGCTAACTAAATAATAGCATACTTCCTCTCGGTACAATGAAGGGCTTGTTGGAACATGTGGATTACAGTGCTACTGATCTGTTCAAGAAAATGGGGACACTCGCTGAAAAGATTGCTTGTCACTACTGCAGCAGCACATTAATGTAGATTCACTACAGTAGCCTGTCGTTAAACGAAACCTGAAGAAACCAAGAATATATGCCCTGTTTAACAGGAATCCCAATTGAACACTGGAAGAACAGGCTCCAAGTACAAAACCAATTATTAAAGGCAATATTAGAGGCAGTTGGTCCATTTAAGCAGCAGTTCCGTTTACTGTATTTCCTTATTAGTACATATTCATACTAAGTTTTCTAAATTATGCTTTGAATATGACAATGGCAGACTTCACCAAAAACTAAACAATGGCTATTCACCCCATATCTTGGCTCCAGATGTTATTTCACAAATAACATCCGATAATACCAGATGCAAACAGTCGAGCCCCTCGCACAATCCTTTGTTGCTAAAGCATGGTCAGTGTCAAAAGTTCTGAGTGCACTACATGTGCTAGCTTCCCTCTTTAAAGAAAAGTGGCAGGACTTTCAACACACCTTTGGTGCTCTGAAGCTGTAAAGAATGAGATAGACTGCCATCCTCATTTCAGAACTGTACTCTGCAAGACTGGAATCTAATGGGATTATGCTACTACTAAACAGGACAAAGTAAACTTTTATCAGACTAAGGTGGGCAGAGAACTTTTGATGGGGGCTGCACAACCTTTGAAGAGCAGACTGCCTTTAAATATCTAAGGCTATGTAGATGGTATCATTAAGGGCCCCTCACCAGGTCCTGTCCCAAAATTTGCATCATCACGTGAAGTTGTAAGGAGTGCTCTGGTGAGCATTTCAATCAAAAAGCTTTTCAAGTTGGTTCATCAATGGACATGTTCGACGAACTATCCTGTCCCGACTGCTGCAGGAGGCAGCCTTCACTGCCAGAGTCAATGTTTTATCTCTTCCACAAACAGTGTAGCTCCCCGACGTTCCCTCAATAGCTAGGTGAGAGAGAGCACGTCATGTTGACATGATCAGACCAAACTTCTTTTTTTCACCCTTGTGCTTCAATTTCCTTTCTCTCTCTGCACTTGCAAAGTACACACACTACTAGGTATATTAGTATACGAACAACTTAATTCACGTAGAGTGGTCAGTGACCTTCCGAGGCCAGTCTGTGGGTGCAAGTATACAAACCGGCAGTGAAAGTTCTCATGAGTACCTGTTATGTAGTATACACTCTCCCCGTCACTGTGGCTCCCTCGAAAGGAAGCATGCGCAGCCTTCTGTCTTAAAATCCCACCATTTTCACAATTTTTCATAGTTTGCAGACTTGAGTCTGCAACCTGCAGACTTGCAGGTTGCAGTCACTGACCGATCTGTGTGCTGTGATTGTTCATCAGATAATACATAAATCTGGTGAAGAGCCCTTTAAGACCTCACTACTTCCACCAATCAGGATAAGAGTTTCATGTCAAAGGAGCTGGCACAATGTAAGGCTACGCAGATGTTTGCACAAGACAGTAGTACAACGAGTGGCAAGCGTAGCCTATAGCAACACATGGAGCCAAAAGAAAGTTAGGACTCACCTGTGTCCTAACAAACTTGCGCAAAAAATTAGACTGCTTTGTACGCGAGTGCAAAAAGGAGTTCACTTGGAAGGCAACAACAGGACGAGGGTAGAGGCGTAGTGTCCGCGTGTGTTCCATGAAGTGTGCGAGAACTCCCACAGAATTGAAGAAGCGCACCTGCACAAGGGGAGGAGGCAGGGCATAAGCAAACGATTTTTTCAAGTTCAAAGTGTTGGGCAAGGAAAAGTATAATCTATCTGCAGAAAAGTTCTGAACACATCGCAAATACGAAAGTCACATAAGCAAGTTTTACATCATAAACCTGCAAATACAATGACACAGCTCGTTTTATATATGGTAGACGACATGATTGCAGCAGTTTTCGGAGGTGCTATAATTACTCGAGGAAAAAAATAAATCGCATTTTTGTTGGGCAATGTGGGGGATGTGAGAATTATGCGAGTGCAAGGATTACGCAAGAAAATACGGTATGAGCTGCTGTGCACGAGCATTGGGCACAAGCCGCTGCTCAAGCACAGCAGCTCATATTGAATGAGATATTGAGAAGAAACTACAGTAGGTTTAGACTCTTGAGGAAAATATTACGGTAGGTTTAGCTATTGTGGCACAAAGCATATCCTCTATCACATATTCTTCACACTGGCCGACAAAGCAGTCGTGGCTATCTGCAATCTTACCATGGCTATTCGCGTGGCCACGTCCACAGAGTCGACGTCGTTGCCATAAATGAAAGGGTTGAAACCGGAGAGAGGAGCAGGTGCATCAGGTGGCTTGTCTGCAGGGGCACCACCAATAGAAGGCCTCGGTGGGGGGACCCGGTCGAGATTCTTGATTGGCTGCGGATTGATGCTCATAGAGGCAAGCGCCTAAAGAAAAGAAAGGTGGGTGTTTAGAAGATTACACTGAAAATTTCGTACTCTATTACAACACAACAATGTCAATATTTGCAATTGGCTAAATTACAAATGTGCACCAAGACTTGCTTAACTTTCAGATCTTGCACCATATACTGATGGCTTTCAAATTACAGAAATGCTCTCCAGTTGGTATATACTGTTCATTTAGTTCTTGGAATCGGTTAGAAGGCACCAGTAACAAGACAAAGGAAAGCACAAGTGTATCAAGTAAAGAGGAGCAGCCCTGCATAATTCAGGTACTGCAACCAGCGAGTAAGTCCATATGCTGCCCACAAACAGATTACAGCTATATTCCCTGTTCTTGGACCCTAAAGCACAAAGCCACAAACTAGCTAGCAATAAATGAAAGCCACTTATGGGCAAATGATTTTTTTTCGCAAGTATGCTGTATGTGCAGGTATGCATGTGTGTTCTTGCATAAATCACATTTACCAGTAATCAAAGCAGGAGATACAGCTATTACTGGACAGCGGTGACTGCAAGCACAACTGGTCATATCTATAGCATTTATGAAATTTGGCAAGAATTCTACCTCAGGGATATCCAACAGCCTGTTCTTCTCAAAGCTATAGAATGTCAGTTTGCCTTTTCTTGTTTTTTTTTATTGCGATAGCAATTATATGGACACTCTCGACTGGATTTTGCCGCCAGCATCGGCGTGGCATATGTATACGTATCTATACATACGAAAATGCAAGAAATAAAAATAATTCAGAAAAGACTCCGGTGCACAGAATCAAACCTGGGACCTCTGAAACGTGAGTGCGAGGTGTTAACCACTGAGCCACGGAGGAGACACCTTCAACGTTCAAACGGCAAGCTATTTACACAACGGCAAGCTATTTATATCTACCACTTACCGCTGGCAAAGGGTATCTCGGGGGGGGGAACTATAGTGTTTTTAGCACTGCCAGCAAGATGGCGCAATGAGCACGCCTCCCCACATAGCCCCAACATGCTCTTATCTCCCATGTGTACTTTGTGACACCAAGAGGAGGGGATGATGCTCACTCAGGCGCCCTTATCTCGCAGTGGGGAGGATCCTATGTCTTGGCTGGCGTTGGGCTTTCATTGGAACGATTCTGTTCTGGTTACCGAATGCACAAAGGTCACTTCAATCATTGCACAGTCCCGTTTGCGAAAAAGGTGCGCTTTTCAGACACAGCAAAATAACAACTGAGATGCTTATTCGCATTCATCTGTACCTGCAACTACATTTAGTGTGTCCTTTGTGCGTGAAAAACGCGGGGCACGTTTCGATCTGCATGGTATTCTGCGCGTGACCTTCCAATATGTTCAATTTGTTGCTATCGCGTTCATTGCTTCGCCTTTGCGGCAAAACTGCGACTTTTTTTTTCTTCAAGCATTAATGCTCACAAACCTGCTCCTCAGGCCCCATTGCAAATTTGGTTAACTACTCGAAGTTGTGAGGTGCAACACAAAGAGTGTTCTACAGAAACAGACTTAAGCTCTTCAAATCACCCCATTATTTGTGAAGTTGAAAGAAATTAAACTGCTCTATAATCCTGTCTTTAAAAAGCAAGCTTCACTGCTAGACTCTCCAGTTTGCTTCATCTAGCGTTGAGCAAACCTCTTCACTCACTATCAAGTGCCAAGGAGAGAAAGCAGATCATGTTGGCATGACGAACCTCGCCTGCTTTCTTCTTTCCTGTTCATTTTGCTTCTCTAGCTCGTGCTGCCCCAATCGCAAATGAGTCTACTCATCTCTCAACATGTCCACAATGTTCTCTCAAAGGTGTTACAAACCAAACCTTTTGGCTTAGGTGAGGAAATGCCATACCCCTTCTGATTGGAGGGTGTTCATACATATCACTTTTTCATTACTATGGTGGATGACAGAATTCAACATATTCCACCTGTCGTGGTTCCATCAAAAGAGTAATGATATTTGAAACATATTAGAGCTACCAAACTAAGGCGAGGCCGGACACACGGTTTTAGGGGTCGGCTCCCAAACAATAAACTCGCTATGCTACAACTAAAACTTTACACAAAGATGACCCCTAAGCATTCATTCATGTAATTGAGACCAACATGTACACAAGGCAAGCTGCAAAAGAAAAAATAAGGACCTTGATTTTCATCTCCACAGTCCCCTACTATAGTGAGAAAAGATCAGATATGTGCATACCTGTTTAAGGTGGTATGCAAGATGGCTTCCCTCAGGGTCAGGCAGTGGCGGAAGATCCTCCACACCTGGCGGTTTGAGCACACTGTTGGAATCGAGATCAACCAACCAGACATCATCCGGCAGGCAGAAGGAGCGCTTAACCTTGAAGAATGTGGCCGGCACACCAATAATGAATGGTGTTGGGGCCAGCAAGAGCTGGAAGAACGGAGAAAGAAATGGCAATATAAGTTCTCATGTAATAGACATGCTGACCATTTATACTGAAATAGAATAGAGAAAGCACGATGAAAGGGGAAGGAGGTGACGGCACTAAGTCATAGTGCCAAGTCATAAAACCATTGAGCATCTGATTATAGTTTATTCAGACATAACATGGAACACAAAATGTCCTTAACAGCGCCCATTTGGTTTCTATTGGTTGAGCAGCATCAATTCTGACAGAAAACTGCAGTATTTTGCAATGGCCGGTAAGTTAGTGTGACACCCACACTATGGTGCACGCATTCTGCAGACCCCATGTCACAGTGCACTAAATCAGTCACTTTAAGCATGCAGCTAGAAGTGAGCGCATTATGATTTTCTTTAGTTAGTGTCATATTCATGGCATTCTAAACCATTTTCTAGGTCATCAAAAGCCCCCTGTGATTGTGTTCCCATGAATATGGTTTAACTGTGACCAGACAAGCCTTCTCATCAAGTCTATTCCCGATAGCAAAAAATTAGACACTGTACGTAGTATCTCTGACCAGGCTTGTGCGAATATTCGTATGCTTCGAATATTCGAACAAATAGTTGAGTATTTGAATTATCTTCAATTCGAATTTGAATTATCGAATATTTTCGACGTATTCGCAATGACCGAATAGATGTATACTAGTCCGCACGTCACTGCCTGTAAAGGTGGTTTCACTGCAATGCATAAATAATAAACCGTAAAAACACCTTTTAAAAAAAAAACTTGTCTTGCGGCGAAGCCCCCCTTCAAATTTAAAGGGGCCCTGCAACACTTACTGCACATGGTCAGAAAACGCTGCCGATCGGTAGTCGAGGCTACCGAGAACACGCAAGGCAAATATTATAGCGCAGCACACGGCCTGTAATTCACAATAAATTTTCAAAGCTAAAAACTTCTTTCTTCCATCAGCAAATGACACTACAAGCTCACTTGTCACAGCCAAGAAGGAATATACGACTCAAGTCACAGCCATTGGCTGATTTGAGCATGGCGCGCTCGTCGTTACCAGGGCCGTCACGGGAGGCCGCCGCTGGTCCACGAGTAGGTGCGCGATCACACTGAAAAGCCGCGTATTCGAAGAAAAAAAAAGGGGGGGGGGGTGCTCAACGTCACGAGGTGCATGTGACGTATTTTCTTTTGCTATGCCATTCCTACCTGCTTTACTTCTAACTATTTATGCGGGACGAAAAGAGAGAATGCAATTGCAGCGTGCGACAAACTTTTGGAACTCCGCTAGTACTGGACTGATTTTAGAAACTTTGCGGCGGTAAACTTGTGAGGCAACAAGCATGTTTACTGGCTCCATAGCTACTTGAATAAGTGTTGCAGGGCCCCTTTAATAGAACATGTTACCCTCAAATCAATTCTTTATTTTATCAAGCTTGTTATGATAGCTTATGTGCTCTAAGTATAATAAATTTTAATGTGTTAAGTATCTTAAAGGTTATTACACGCATTTTACCGAAACTACAACTCTAAGGTTGTTTCGACTTACTTTGAACGAAAAAAAAAAATTGCATTTGCATAGAGCCCCTATTTCAATTCAGAAGAAATATTATGCAGGTTAGTTAGGTCATGATATATATTCCTTTTTTTTTATATGTCATACATATAATTCAAATTCGATTTGAAATTATTCAATCAATATCACTATTCGCTTTGAGCCTAAAATTCACTATTTGCGCAAGCCTATCTGTGACCCATCAAAATTCAGTAGCTTCACTGGCAGTTACTTTTGCTTTCTAAAAACTAAATCGTGTGAGGACAGTAAAATTTCCAAACTTATAACTACAACAAATTAGTTTATTAGTTTGCCCAATGCAGCTATGGCCCAATTCTAACCCCTTTTAAGCACAAAACAGGCTATACCGATACAGTCTGTAGTTAATGTCAAAGCTGTGCTTCCCAATAAGCAGTCATCAGAGGTACATAATTGATGAAAAACCCTCACTCACCTGTTCTGCAGACTGCCATGCACGTAGGCAAAAGTGGGATCACAGGAAACATGTACTCCAAGGGGTAGATCATTGTGACAAAGGCCATTACGCTCATGCAGAGCGCATTGTAATCGCGCGACTGAAGCACAAGCTGCAAGAAAAAATATGCGGCACATTTATACCTCAGACAACCATGCTGTACCGTAGCAGCCTACGCAGCTCTGGGTAAAGTCACTCCTTCACACAGATCACGAAATAAAAGTGAACTGAAGCTCTTTGGAACAATCTACCTCTTAAGACAACTCACACAAACTCACTAAAAACGTATTCTCTCTCTTTTTTTTTCTTTCTCTTTGCACATCTATATAGCGTGGCAAAGAAAACAAAAGAACAGACAAGTACAAACAGTAACATTCAGTACTGTTTCATGAATTTAGTACTTCCCATTATAGTTGAAGCCTTTATGAGAGACACTGATGTAACGGGCAACTGAATGTCAGAGACATCACTGCGCCCAACATTGAAGCAGAGGTCGAACTGAAAATGAGAACACGGTGCCGTGCCTACAAGAGACAGCTCGTATAAGGGACAAGAACTATTCTCCCAAGTGCTATGTCCCTTAAAGAGAGGTTCTTTTGCACATGTTCTTGAAAGAAAAATTTGTCATCTACCCATTTTGCAAGACCAGAATTAACTTCTCAAGTGAGAAGCTTCCTTTTTAAGAAATCTGTATGTACTTCTGCAACACTCATGAGGCCTCGAAAGGCAGTACATAGTAGTTAATGTTCGGATTTCCAGCTTGTGTTACAACAAAGTGTTGCACAGTTTTACCGGCTTCAACTGCAAACCACTAAGAAATGGAAAGTTTTCTCAGATTCCAATGTCCCGACAACTTTTGTGGAGGAGTGTACAAATTGTCCTTTGCATCGCTGTTCATCACTATAGCAGAGTAGTCGTCACACTGCACTAAAACATGAGGCTATTTTATGCTTAGCTCTCCTTTTAGACATATATATATGAGATCTAACAGAAATAATGCATAATGCAATAGAGCATCAAACAGGTTATTCGAAGGTCATAGGTTTGATTCCTGCTCACGGCAAGTTATTTTTTCATCCACTTTTCTTTCTTATTTACATTACATTGGTTCTAATGACTTCCCCTATACATTCCTTGGCATTATTGTCTGTTAGATCTCGTTAATATTGTGTCAAAACATGAAAAACGAGCCCTTAAGTATACACTTCCCTTATATATATAGTATATTTCATGAGATTATATTTGCGGGTGCTGTTCAAGTGCCCCAGGTTCAGGCCACAAATTAAATGATGCGCTCAGTAACTACAAGTACCATACTGACAGTTTCACTATAAGCGCTTAAGAGAAACCTGTCTCACAGAGCACAAGCTTGCGCATGAAAGATCACATAAATTGAAACATTCAGATTCCTGATGCAAAGAATGGAGGAAATACAGTAAATGATAGTGAGCTGAATATGGCTAGCTGCTGTCTCAGAACACAGTGCCACATGTTCTACCTGAGCAAAACCTCAATAACATGCTCCCTTTACATCACATTTTCACTGTTTCTATGATGCGACGCGACGGCATACAACCGGACACGGTAGACTTGTGTGGCAAGAACAATTTGACGAGAAAGAAAGAAGAATGCACTCACCTTGTGCTCCAGAACAATGCAAGTGAGCACTTTAATGCAGGTATCCACCCCAAGAAGCTCCAACGGAAGGTGTAGCGGAAAATCAACCAAGGAGAAACGAGTGTGGTCGGGAAGTGCAAAGATCAGAGGCTGCTCCACGCGTCTAGGCAAAATGGCAACCTGCAGAAAGGGAAAGCACAGCAAAACGATATGGTCATACAATGCAGCAAAAATGTCTCACACAAATGATTTCAGCACTACAAAGCAAGGTCTAGCTATTAGCGCATCAGGACTAACACGTACAGCTAACATAAGCATGAAATGGGTTACGCAATGAATTTTTGCTTTGCTGCAAGTTGAAACCCTCGCGAAGAAGCCTCATGTCAGCTTTGCTGCAGCGTACAGGCATTTTCGACAAGGTGTAGGCTGCCTGCTTACCATCAAACAGTCCTAGAAACTGTGCAGCAGCTTATCAGTATTTTAAATATTGTGAGTAGTCTGAGACAACCAAGCAACCTACCAACACAGGACCGCATGTTATGATAGGATAGGGTTTTACTACTCATGTTTTCACTTCTTCCAAATACAGCTTTCCCACAGCAAAAAAGAAAAGCCTTAATTGTCAACTTAAATGTCATCTGGGCCAAACAACTACAATAAGACAGAAAGGCTAGCTGTTTGGCCCGATAGTAGAAAGTAGTTAGTCTGAGCTGGTCCTTGTGTACTTTTTTTCTTGTGCCTTCATACGCCAAATGACTCCACTTTAACCATTTTTATAAAGCCATAACTAAAAGACTGCTACAGAATACATTCAAACAACTCCACTCATGCTTCTTGGGAACTTTTTTGCCAAGACACACTCCTATTCATTCCATATAATCTCAACTTATAACATAACAAAACAAACCAAAAACGCTGCTGTGCGATTCAGTCCTCCCCGTCTCACACTGGCGTGAGCGAGCGTGAGGGACGAACCTCAACACGTGTCTTGCCAGGCACAGGAACAGGTGCACTCAGCAGCTTCAACATCCATGTCTCAATTTCTCTCACTTCGTGGAGGACGGCACTTGAGTACCCTTCAGAGACACGGCCTAGGAAAACGTTCCACACATTGTCTCTGCAAAAAAAATACAAAATTGAAAGTGCAGGAAACAATATTTAAAAAAAAGCATTGCAATCTAAGAAGGTTTATAAGACTATAAATGCCATAAATGACTAGTAAACGCTATCAACGGCATGATAGCTGAACAACAGTATTGGGGAGAAAGCAGAAGTCACACGAAGCATCCACAAAGAATGACTGTTCAATGCATCAAACAGCATTTATGACGATATAACACTCAATATCATTTATTCAGCTCATTCCTTGTGGCACTACCTTCACTGACCATGAAGTTGGCAATACTGAAAAGATACTGAAGTAATATTGTTGACCAGATACCCCCCGCAATCTTTATTGTCTCTGATGATGGCAGATCCAGTGCAGTAATACACTTTAGCAGGGCGAGTAATTTATAACCATCTAGAGCAGCATATGGCTTTGCTTATGGATTGTGTTGCAGTGGGTGTACTCAGCCCTCTGGAAACGAGTATAATTTGATGGTGATTTCTATGTTTTTCTTACATTTCGTGTATACCAGTATCAATTTTGTTGTAACTTTGTTGTACCTTTATTTTACCTACGAACTTGCTGTACCTTTCCTGCTTGGACCTTAAATGGTTCGCAGTATATGATAAATAAATAAATAAATTAAAATATAAACAAGAAACAAACTAATAAGGAGCAAGAGGACAGTTTCCCAATGTTCATTTAACTGACAACTTTCAATGCACTTGGGAACGGTGCAACACCAACTAACCCTTCCAAGAATGACCAGCTATAAACATTGCAGATTCTAGGCAGAGAGACTGACATTCTTGAGAGGGATTGACTGAGAATCCTGCCCTTCACAGGGCCCTTTCATGACAGAAAGAGTTGGTGGTTAGCTTAAGCACAAGAAACATCAAAACACAACAGCGACACCTCAGGTGCATCATCATGGTTCTTTGTACAACATGTGCAAGTGTAGGTTGTTCTACAGATGTGCTACTATGAACAAATGCAAGATATCACAAAAAAAATGCATTTTCGCAAGTAATACCCTGAAAGCACAATGGAACACTGCTACTTATCTATTTTATTGAATTTAGTACAGGCCTCACACTAACCCCCCCTTCTACAAGCAAACTTCAACATGAAAATTGTCCTTCACTCAAGCAAGGTACACACAGTGGCACCACTCAACTGAACATGACACTGTGCATCTCAAGATGGGATGAAGATCATCAGTCATAGGTAGTGATCACTTTTGCCAAGAGTGTGGTGCTGCCACTGAGCTCACCAAGTTGGAGTAGGGTGAAGGGACATTCCAGCTTACAGGGGTAACCATACAAGCTGACACTGCTGCAACATTACACAAGTCTGCAAAAGTGGGAATTAAAATTGTGTTTAAGTTGGGCCGGACTCGCTCACGTTTTGGCAGTAATAATAATTAAGGAGGTTTAACGTCCCAAAACCACCATATGATTATGAGGAGGAGGAAGCAAGCGGAAAGGGACAAGGCAGGGAGGTTAACCAGAAAGACTTCCGGTTGGCTACCCGACACTGGGGGTTTAGGAAAGAGGAATAGGAAGATGAGAAAGAGTGAGGAGAGAAAAGAAAAAGGGAGAGAGCAGCAGTGAATTCACTGTAGGGTGTGGAACTCCACCACAATTCACAGAGAAGGGAAGGCGTTCACACAAGCCTTCCCTTCTCAAAAAGCCCAAGAGAGCTTTTGCTGCCTTGGGGGTTGTCGAGAAGTGTGCACGGTGCTGTAATAACACCTGCACAAAAAGTGGCCAATCATCCAGCCATCGCAATGCGTTGGCAAGTACATTGCCTCTATAAGGCAAATCGAGGACAGTGGCACAGCAAGAGTTCAATATTTTTGTAGGTGCCGCAAGCATCGCATGCTGCACTGCCAGTCATTCTAATTAACATGGTATATGCTTTCGTGAAAGCAACTCCCAACTTGAGGCGACAGACAAGCTGTAGCAGAGGATCCTGGAAATTTCGACCGCTTGGGGTTTTTTAACGAACACCTAAATGTAAATAGACGGGCCACAACGATTTTCGCCACCATCGAAGAGGCGGCCGCCAGAGCCAAGATTCAATTCCGTGAACTGCAAGTCAGCAGTTGAGCACTATTACCACTAGACTACAGTGGTGGGTCATGTTTAGATAGCATGTGATGAATTGCCTGCATGAATCTTGCTATAAATAAATATATAGATGAATGATAGGCAAGTTAGGGTGAGTAAATGCTTTAACAGTATAAATATTTTAAAAAGTGGACTTGCACTTACATGAAGCAATCACAACTCCGCAAAAGTAGTTCTTACAGGAAACTGTCTGCAGCTTCATATACAGCTGGTCTTTAATACACACCTACATAAACACACAATTAAATGATAAATTGAGAAGCTAAAAGTAAGCTGAATCAATGACACAGTGAGTGCCCAGCAAGGCCCATGAAAGCATAACATCATAAACCCAGAACAAAAAAAGTTACTCGTAAGCACAAATTATCGCTTAATATAAACGGATGTCAGCAGGTCACTCTTCTTTTGTCAAGTGTTGGTGTTGCTGTCTGTGACACTGACAGCCTATGAGCCACAATGATGCACCAGAGAAGCACAGTGACAGTATCATCTTTTACAGTGGCTCCCTTTCAAGCCCAATATCATAGATGAAGAGCAACTGGTCAACAAGGCTTTAGAACCTGGCCCCATAAACCCCTGCCAGCCCATCGTACCTGCTGGGTAGCCGGTTGGCCATCCTTGAGCCAAGCAGCAGGCGCTCATGCGATGAGTCGACCAGCTTGCGTAGCGCAAAAAGGCACTCACGGAACGTTGAGAAGAATGGGTGGTGGCTAATGATGCACAGCGACACGAGAGAGTGGCTCGACAGGCGCTTGCGTCGCCTTGCCCGGGGTGCCGGTATGGGCCGCCCACCTGGGTACTCGGGTACACCGCCTCCTCCGTCGCCACTCTCGACAGACGAAGACCGCTGTGTACGCAGCGTCGCCCGGTCGATGGGCCGGAAAAAGTTGACACAGATGCCGTACCGCACTCGACTCGTGTCTTTCTCGGTGAGAGAGAAGACGAAGGGCGTCGACTCGCGAAGGCTCGTGCGCCTGGGCCCAACAAGCAGGCACCCCTCAGGCTGGCAGAAGAACACCACGTCTGTCGGAAGCGGGAAGTCTGCATGGTCTTCGATGGGGTACCGTCGCAGCAGCTCGGGTGGCTGGACGGGCAGATTCCGGTTGGGTTGGCGGACCCCAGACACAACGATGTAGTCTAGTAGGCGTGGGCTGAAGTACTTGCGCACGGCGTCCATCGGCGACGCCTCTCTTTATTTTTGTGTGCCTCTTTTCCTTCTTTATTTTGCAGACTCCTCCCCAAGCCTACAGTTCACAACACTTAGATCCCCGAGGGGTAAAATGTTTACTTTGCTCGCGCAAGTTTTCCTCGCAATTTACTTCAGCTGTGTTCGGTAGACCTTGTTGTCTTGTTGACAGAGTCGGTGAAAAAGAGGTCCGCTCGGAGAAGTTGCTTCAGGTATCACAAACTTGATGCCAATGTCCTCCAGCAACAAACTTGTCTCGAGCGCTCAAGTACTTGAATGTGTTCCAAGTTTAAATAAAGACACGAAAGAAGCCTTTAAAGCACTCAATCCTATGTAAGCACTTTGGCAGAATGAGATATGTACACAAAGTGTGTGAGAAGCAAGGCCTCCAGAGGAAGGTTCGATAAGAAATTGAGGGTTTGCACAATAAACTAAGCTTCTAATGGGCAAAAATTAAAAATTAAAATAAAGAAAAAGAATAAAACTAAATGACAACTAAGGAGGGGCAAAAAAAAGAAGAGTTCATTTGTAGTTATCTGTTGATGTAGACAGTGCGTGTGGGCTGCTCCATTGTAGTTATATTGCTGATAAACACCGTTGCTCGAAAGATGGCCCACCGCGTCTCCTCCGGAAGTGCTGTGCCCACCGATGCCATGGCTTAGTCATTCCTTTGCACTGCACCAAAATTTAAAAAAGAAGAAAACATACTATAAGTAAGGGCATGCAGTGACTGCAACAGTTTCATGACACAAACCACTGCAGCAAATGCAGATATGCATCTCCTTCGGTATCCCTCATGTGCAAATGACACTTTGATGTTACTTTTAGATCTATTCGTGATTTGGGCATATTCACAGCCATACTCCCAGCACTTCATTATTTATTGCCCCAAATAACACCATGAGGCTCCTCACTTAAAGAAAAATAACTACTCAGGAAAAGTTTTCGTGGGGGCAGTTTCATACACAAAAGGAATATATATCGCTACATTACCTTAGCCACATAAAGTGCCTTTAAGCTTAAGTATAATGCTTCCAAAGAAAATTTATTTAGAGTACTGAAAGCTGCAAGCAAAAATTCTCTTTGCTTGAACACACTCTCTATAACATAAAAAGTAAACAATATCATTTGCCTCAAAATTATGTGAGAAAAAAAAGGCCAGGCTTGCGCGGAAGGCACAGCACAGTCACAGCTAAAGCTAGAAGAGAGGCCTTTCAGAGCCTTGCTTGCTTGCTTGTTCCTTTCTTTTGTGGCTCTCACCCACTAAGGGGGATTGGCCAAGAAGCCGGTGGTTAATGCAAGTCAATACCTTAAGGTTTTCTAGACTAGGGGAATATGATTACTGTGTTTTGACTGTGAAATTAATTTGGTGCAATGTAAAAAAAAGAAAAAAAAGGGGGGGAGAGAAATAATAGAATTTGTTGAATATCTGAGGTGGAATCGTTATATGAAATTCTCCTGAAAGTTGAATCATTGCAGTGTATCAGCTAAATAATAAGTGGCAGTGTGGCTAGTAAAATTCGAGAGCTGATGGCTGACTCAGCAAGGTAATCTTCTTGTGTTATATATGAATTCGCAGAGAGCCCCGCAGATGTTCCTGTAGCTGTGTCCCAATGAAATGGCCCCAAAAGACAAAATATTGGGAGTACTAAGTGATATTCATAGTTTTCTGAATAAAATTTCGAAGCAGTTTTTTCTTTGATTTTTGAAACGGTGACATGTGATAAGAAAATGGTCTATATGTTCAGGTTCGTTACAGCTCGAGCACAGAGGGGATGGCACCAGACCAGACCTGTTTAAGTAGAAATTAAGAGGTGGTACACGGCAACGTAATTTTGTTATCAAGACTTCCAATTTACGCGTGGGACACCATTTATTATTCCATGTGAAGTGCAGGTGCGAGAAATCTGGATTCGGTATCATGATTTTTGATGAGTCTTCAAGAAGGGAAAGTTTTCTAAACCTTGCTGCTGTTACATAAGCTGTTGGAGGCATGATTGGCACAATCGGAAGATCAAGAGATGTTAGCGCAAGTGAGTCAGCCATCTCGTTTATAAATATACTACGATGGCCTGGCACCCATATCATTCGCACTAGACGAATGTTTGCTGGGATTAATGATTTAAAAGTTTCTAGTACTGCTGACTGTCGATGAGGAAGATAAAAATGAACACACGGAATACGAGTCAGACACTATCACAGCTGTCGAATGAGTCGCAGGAAGTTTATGAATAGCTAGTATAACGGCCATTAATTCAACTTAAATATTGGTGTATAATCTGGGAGGCGTAATGAAAAGGACCAGAATAATAAGAGAAAAAAAATACCCACACCTGCCTTCTCGCCACTCATAGATGCATCCGTTGCAATTACTATATTAGTACCTAATTGAGACAGGTGTTGTTCTAATAAACCAATCAAATATTTAGAGGGCAAGTGTTTAGCGTTCATGGGGAAGATATCGTCAAATTTTATTTGCACTTAGCCGACTGGTTTGACAGATGGTGTGATCTCGAATATATTAACATTTAAAGCATCTAGAAGTGTTTGAACAAATAGCTCTTGGGGTTTATATACACGGGACCAATGCTCATTGAAAAAGACACCAGGCTCGGCAAAGAATACAAACTGTCGCCTTCTTAACGTTGATTCAGAAAATTTTAAATAGGTTTTTACTGTTAAAATACGAAATCTGCAAGCAAGGGTGGGTATCCGAGCTTTTGATACAAAACATTGTTAGCTGTGAATTTTGGCACACCTAAACAATTACGTAGAGCTTCCCGCTCTAAGAGAATCAGGGGGTTTATTTTGTATTCTGGTCCACCAGAGAATAGTACACATCCGAATTCAAGAATCGGACGAACGTACATGCGATAAATCATGATCAGCGTATCTCTGCGAAGACTGGAACGGAGGCGGCCAAGCCTACCTATCATTCCAACAGCGCGTGTAGCCTTAATTTTAATATACTCAATGTGGTCACGCCAGCTCAGTTTTTGATCGTATAGTTAACCTGGGAAATTGTTTCTTGATGGTACTGAAGAGAAATATTAACTGGTGCATCCAATGGAAAAACTAATATAGCACTTTTAGTTACGTTCAGGTTCATATGAATTTTCTGAAACCAGGTTTCCAATGTTGCCAAATAACACTGTAAAGTCGAATGTAGTAAAAAAATATCGCTGTCAGATGCAAAGAACGCGATATCATCTGCATATACATATACCTGTACCTTATCACTCAGTGGTATTGAACTTAACAAAATGTTAAATAGCACAGGCGATAGAACAGAGCCTTGAGGAACACCTCTCGTTTGGCTATACTTCGGCGTGGAAACACCTCGTTGGAAGCAATAAAATTTTCTGTCTTTTAAAAATTCGTATATCCAATTTGTTATGTACTACGGGAACGTAAACTCTTTTAGGGCATTGATAAGAATAGGATGTTCAACACTGTCATATGCCTTGGCTAAATCAAGGGTTACTAGGGCCGCATATTGTCGTCTGTGCCGAGCAAGCTTTACACGAGGCTCTAAATCAATGCGCCCACCATATAGAGTAACCTGGTCTAAATCCAATCTGGCACGCACTGAGTATCGCATTATCTGTTATGAACTTCGTAACTCTAATGTAAAGTATTCTTTCTATTAACTTAACTACGTGTGATGTTAAAGCGATTGGCCTAATGTTATCTATCTGCATTTCTAGTCCCTGTTTTTTAAGAAGCGGTATTATTTTTGCAAGTCTCCAGTCAGGAGGTATCCAACTATTTTCAAGTGAATAGTTGACAACGTTAAGGAGGTCTTCAGGAGAGATGTCGAATAATATTTTTAACATTTCTGAAGTGATGCCGTGTGGCCCAGGACCTGTGTTTGGCAGAATACGAACGACGTGCGCAAGTTCATCCCTACTTACTTCAATAAAACCATTTCCGAATGACGGTTTTGCACACTTTATTTTGATTTGTGATGTAAATCTCTTCTCCAATCCTAATGCAATTTCAGTAAATGTATCTTCCAACTCAGTTGGAGAAAAAATAACTGAGTCAATATTTACGTGTGCTGTAATAGCTTTACGATTATGGAGAAATCTGAATAGAGCTTTCTTGTTGCCGCTCTTGGATAGATAGCTGTACCGTTTTTCTTCATAATCATCTTTTGCTAATGAAACTGTTCTCTTAAAGGTAGCTTTAGTATATAAATAATTTCTCCAATTAGTCGGACATTGGTTGGTAAGAAGTTTTTTCCATGCAGCGTTGCGGCGTCTATAATCTCTGGCACAATCCACATTCCACCAGGAGATATGAATTTTCCCTTTGTTGAAGATATAGTGAACTGTGATTTTTAGATTGTACACTTTAGGGTGGAACAAAGGCTCATAGCTTTCATAATTGCTTCCATACTGGGCAACGAAGACAGCATTGACTGTAAATTCTTTTTAAATTCAGAGTAGTTTACAAAACTTTGCACCTGGCGATCTACCGTCACTAAAGGAATGCTGACTTCAAATACCAGGGGGTAGTGATCACTACTTGTAGCGGTATCAAGAACAGTCCAAGACAATATTGTCATACTTGAGCTAGCAAATGTCAAATCTAAGACGGACCTCGAATTACATCGAACGAATGTCGGAACTCTGGAGTTCCAACAAATAAGGTTATTCCGATTAGTCCAGTCCCATAACAGTTTTCCTGATGAATCAGTGCGGAATCCCCATGACACGTGATGGGAATTGAAGTCTCCCGCAAATAGTATACTGTTTCTGCAAAAACTCACAGTCACGTCAAGGGCTCTTTCATCTTGTATTCCAGCCGGAAAGTAGTTGTTGACTATACATAGTGGCGCGTATCCGGGAAAGTGAATTTCCAGAACCAATGCTTCATAATCGTGTGATATTTGTTGGTAAACTATAAGTGCTTTATGACAAATTTTGGATGAAATGAAAAACATTAATCCTCCACCACGTGAGTCTCGGTCCAGTCGAAAGCACTGATAGTTTTTTAGATAGAAGTTTTGATCAACAGACAGCCAATATTTCTTGTAAAATTATGACATCTGGAGATTGTTGAGAAATTAGGTATAATAAGTCTGTAGTTGCAGAGAGATTTGAACGGCAGTTCCACTGAAGTACTCTAAGGCACCCTACGATGATAAGCAAGCAGTAGGAACTGCTTGATCTCAGATACTGTTTTTTAAGAAGTCCGCTTTAGTCCTAGGTTCCTTCACACTCCTTTTTGTTTTTGAATGAGAAGAATTACTAAGTTTGCTAGTGGGTGATCTGGTGCCTTTCAAAAGGCGAGCATCCACATCTACATCCCGATCACTTATTGATTCTGAATCAGATATACCTTCCTGCTCAGTTGTGTTAGACCTGGAAGGCATTGCCTCATTACCGATAGAGACATCTGACTGATGTTCAGCAGGTTTATTAATTGAGGCACTAGGAGGTTGGATACGCTTAGTTATTCGATCAGATGCGCCCGACATCTGTGAATCCATAATATTATTGAGTGAGTCGGACAGATTGAGTAAAAATTTTTTTTCTAATACTTTTTCTACGGCCTTTTCTACCATAGCAGAAATGGACTGAGAAAGTGGTGCATCCATAGAAAGAGATGGACGAGCTGCTATGCCGGCATAACCCTGATTCTTGCTTTGAATTTCTGCAATTGCTTCT